CAAAATAAAATCTTCTTCATGTAGAAAAGTGATCTTAGGAAAATAATCTTTCTTATCAATATATGCTTTAAAATGCAGCTAAAAGCCTGAAATTCATGCCATTTATCTTATTTTTTAAAACTCTATCTATTCCTCACTATCTTAAATAACAATACTCTTTAAATCGATGAGTGAAAAATCTGACCCCCAAAATTGGACCCAAAAAATTTTATCTAAGCTTTTTTAAAAATTACATATAAAAAATATTAATCTAGTAATAAATTATATTTTAATAATGAATTTTGTTTAGACAATGACTTTTATTCTAATAATGAATTTTGTTTTGACAATGGCTTTTATTTTAGTAATGATTTTTGCTTAGACAAAGACTTGGTTATATTGGTAATGACTTTTGTTTAGACAAAGACTTTTATTGATATAAAAAATCCCCTATCCCCCGTGGGGGGGGGGACGGGGCACTGCAACTCGTCAAAAATCAGCTTTATGAGTCCGCCCGATAGGCAGCAGTAATGCGACAGTTTTGACTAACCCCTTAGACAAGACCCAAAAATCCCCTTCCCCCAAACCCCAGGGAAATCAAATCTCAGCTTTTACCCATGGCCCCGACCATATTACTAGCGTAATAGTGTTGGGCTAGATTAGGTGCTAGTTAAGGACCAAACCCAAAACCCAAACCCAACCCTGATATTAATTTATTAGATTCTTTCATAAAATTTAAAGTAGTCACAGTATCTTTATGTTTGCCTAAAAGTTATTTCAGTTTCATAAGTCCTTTATTAAATTCATATATTTTAATTTATTTATCAAAACCTGCTGCTACAATTTTACATTCTTTATTTATTGTAATTGAATAACATTTCTTCTTTTATTAAATTGAATATTTCTCCATCAACTAATATGTGAATGATTCAAAATCTTATTATTTGTCAATAATTTCTTGATTCATTATTTTAAAATTCTCATTATTATTATTTATTGTTGTAATCATTTATTCTTATTTAGTTTTAAAGATCTAAGGTTTATTATTAAATTGAGTTTATTAGTTTATCTCATTATAAACCATAACGTCCTTTGTCTAATAATAATATTATTTAATACAGTTAAAACCTTTTTGAAAGCTCGAGCTGCACAATCTATACATAATTCTGTAAAATGTTATTTACATAATAGTTGGTCTTCATTAGCATTCATTTATTGATAAATAGAAAAATAATTTTTAATGAATTCTGATCTAATTTGGAGAAAAATTATCAAATGCCTTAAATAGATATTTTGTTAATTTATTAGAATATTAATAAAATGGAATGTTATTATATGAATTTTAGAAATAATTCAATATTAAATTATGGAGATCATTAACTCAGAATGCTAGATTTTTATGGCGATTTATATTAAATAATAACTTCTGATATTCAGTTTTCAGGTTTAAATTATGAAAATTTTTTAATAAATGATTGAAGCTTATTTTTAAATTTAACAATGATAATTTATTTAGTTTTCTATTCGTGATTAAATAAAAAATGATCTATCAAAATATTCAATATTTTAAATATTGGTGATTTATGGAATGTTCTAGAATCTTAATTCAAAGGTGCAAAAATAATCACTTTAAAAAATCAATAGAAAAATTTTATTTAAACTTTCAAGACACTCAAAATTTACTTTTTTGGTCAAATCACATCTAAAAAAGTGTAATTATCTTGTTTTAGATAAGTGAAAAATAGTTATGTGTTACAAAAACTATTTTTTTTGCTAAAACTTGTGTGAAAAAATGGGGCTAATCAAATGTTGGCTTAATGAGTATATAAATTAAATAAGATAAAAAAACTTATGAGAATATAATTTTTTTAAAAGATTATAGCAGAAATAGTAAAATTAATCTATTTAAAATCTTTTTTACCCTAAAACCAATCAATTTTAATTATTAGATATTAATCAGTCTAAGAAGAATATACACATAAAGCTATTTTTATACTTTTGATATAATTTTACAATAATCCTATATTTATTGAATATTTTTTCTCTAGGAATTTATAAACGAAATAATAATCTTAGATACCTGAATTCATATTTTTTTTAATTTAATAATTATATTATATTTAAAAAATATAAAAAAATGAAATACCATTAATTAGAATAACCAATAAATAAATAATTTTGTGAGAACGCTTTAAATTGATCATTACATAAATAACTCTAAAAAAACATTTTAAGTTTAAGATTAACAAAGTGTCACTTTCAAATTATTGAAAGTACAATATATGTATAATATTAACTGATAGAATAATTATAGATTATTATTATTAAAAATATAATTATTTTAGATTTATAATTAAAAATAGAAATTCGAAAAATAAATAATAATATAAATTTTATAGATGGATTATTTTATCAATCATACAGAGTTTCTCCATTTATATAAGGACATACATATTGATAAATCCTTCTTAAATATTATTTCTTCTCATCTCAAACCATAAATTTTATATTTTTCCATTCTTATAATTACCGCAATTAATTATTTGAATAAGACTTTGAATTTGATTAAAATAATATACTTGTCAACATTAAGACTTAGATCAACCCACTTACCATTTTTTAAACCATTGTTATCATAGATTCCACAACCACTAATTAGATATTATATATTTAATACATCAATTAAAAAGGTTAAAATAGGTTTTTTAATAACAATTCCCATTAACCTTATTTTTTTCCATTTTTATATTCACCCTATAAAATGGCTTACTTCTACCTAATCAATAAACATCAAATTAATACTCATAAAAATTTTCAATAAGATCTACCCATTTACCATTTTTCAATCCTTAATCTTATATTATTCACCACCACTAATAGTAATAGTTAATTGATAATTATTCTACATTTTTTATAGCATTCTTTACACATAACCTGTTTTTTTATTGATCGACCATCTTCCTTACTTTTTCCCATCTTAATACAATCCTTTTTCAATTGTTTAATAAATACTAATATGATATTTTTAAATTTACCAAGAGCAATTGATACTCAATTCTTCCCATAAACCTATTTTCAAACCATTTTCCTTATAGAATCCTTCACCACTACATAAATAACAATAAGATTATACATTAATTCTTTAGTTGACATTCTCCCATATTTCATCTAATAAATATTCCATTTACCAATTTTATACTCATTTTTATATTTACCATGATATTGATTACTATATTTAATTTTGCAATTATTATTTTCAATAAAACTTATAGATTATAATTATATTAACATTAAAATTATAATTTTAAAATACATAACCAGACCTACAATAAGTAACTTAATTTTAACTAAATAATTTAATATTAAATTACTTATCAAAATCATCAGAAATATCTTTCCAATATCTCATAGATTCCACAACCACTAAAAATAATTCATTTAAAAAATACTACTTTAATTAAATTGGAGTGTCACTTTTATCTCTAAAATAAATATCCCATTTAGCCCATTTTTTGCCATTTAAATAATTACCTTTAAAAATAATTTAACTTTCACTTATACTAATATTCAAAATATTTACGTGTAAAAATTATCAAATAAGTCAATCCAATTTCCATTCTTTTAACCTATTCTATTATATTAACCACCTCCACTTAAAAAATAAATAAAATATTCTACGTTATGCTATTGTTGAAATTGATTTTCCATTTACCTAATTTTTTATTTGTGATATTCCCCTAAATAGGTAACTTTACTCTGACTAATTAATAATAATATTCCATAATAAATAATTACTCAAAATAATTAGAACTCAAATCTAACTATAAACCAATTTCTAAACCTTAATTATCGTAAAACCCACCTCCGCTTTTAAATAATAAAAAGTTAATACATATCCTAATGCTAATTCTAATATCTCCAAAAGCCAATTCTTTTATCATTTATATATTTTCCAATCTCCAAAATCTTAGCCTTTCTAATAAATTAAAATAATAAATACTCCCAATAGTTTTTTATTATATCATACCATAAACCTTGCTTTTACCCATCTTCGTTACATAGTGTACTTATTCGAAATTAGATTATACTATTCTCCAACTTTTCTAATGTTCTATTTGTTCCAATTAGCAACCCATTATCCAATCTTTTTTTGATTTCTGTATTATCCTATCCATTGATAATTTTTTAATTTGATCTCTAATTATAATATATATAATCCCTTTACTTTCTTTTAATATTACCCTCTTTTGTTATATAAATAATTTCATTCTTTTTGGTTTAAGCAACTAGAATCTTAGTTTATTAAAATTTTAATTATGAGTAACACCAAAATAGGCTTTTTTTCATCTAAGATATCATAATCATATTAATCGAATTCTAAATCCATTTAATATATATAATAAGTAAATATAAATAATAATCATATTAGATCAATTAACAATTAATTATTAATATAATTATCTAAATTCCCAATCAACGATTTGAATAAAATATCTAAATATATTATTTCAAATCGGCTATTTTGCTTTTGGACAATAATAAATTATTTATAAATATAGATTTGATAAGTTGGATAGAAAATATATTTACCTTTTTGTGAGTTTTATAATATCAGTTTAATTTTAAAAATAAATTTAGATTAAAAGGTATTTCTTAATTATATAAATTTTATTAGTAATAAGTTATTTAGTTTTTAAAAATATAAATTTGAATTCTAATTCTAATATAATTGAGTTTATCATGATGATATCATTAATATATCATATGAATATCAAAAATATTTGATTTTACTAAATTTTAGGATCAAGAAACTTTATAAGAAATGAAACTTAGCTTCAAATATAAATATGGCAAACAATTTAATATTAGAAAACTCTAAAATATTAATCTATAACTATACTTTATGCAAAAAGCAAAAAGATAAGCTTCACTAAATATATTGGATTTGAAGATTAACAAGCTTTAAATCTATTTAGATATTGGAAAAAAGTTTGGACATAATAGAAAAATTTAACCAAACATTAAAACGATTCTTTAAAGGTATTTAGATTAATTATCTGAATGATGATAATTATTTTAATAAAGATATATACATAATTATTCTTCTAAATAATCACTTTTTTAATCAAATTTAAATAGTTCGAATAGATACTATGAAGCATTATCAAATATAAATACTGAAAGAGCTAATAAAATCAACTCTCAAACATACGTTTATTTATAATAAAAAGTATAATCAAATTACATAAAGTAATTACGCTAATCTGTCATAATTAATAATTAATGAGATCTTCAAAATAAATTGCAGAAGCAGCAAAACAAACAGATGATACCAGAGGAATGAATGTATATTATTTTTTATATTTTATGTGAATCGAAATATTTTAAAGAATATTGCTTCATGATATCATAAAAAAACATTGAGTGATTGATCTTCAATTTTATATTATTTTCAAGTTATAAAAAACAAAATAATATTTTATGGTTATGCGAAATTTTTCAAAAATATATTATATTTATAGTAAACAATATAAAATCAAAAAAATTCTTTAATCCATATTTAAAAATAAATTAATTTTTGCCATTATAATTAAGTAAGTTTGAGAAATTAACTTTTAGAATCGTATATCTTCAAAAGAAAATTCTGAAAAACCTTTAACTTTATTAAACAGATATTTTCAGTGCATGATTTCTAAATTGAATGAGTAGTCAGAAAGTATATAGATTTAATCAATTAAAAATTTTGAACGGTTAAAATTAATAGTTAGTTAAAGATAGGCAAATTNTAAATTATTTATAAATATAGATTTGATAAGTTGGATAGAAAATATATTTACCTTTTTGTGAGTTTTATAATATCAGTTTAATTTTAAAAATAAATTTAGATTAAAAGGTATTTCTTAATTATATAAATTTTATTAGTAATAAGTTATTTAGTTTTTAAAAATATAAATTTGAATTCTAATTCTAATATAATTGAGTTTATCATGATGATATCATTAATATATCATATGAATATCAAAAATATTTGATTTTACTAAATTTTAGGATCAAGAAACTTTATAAGAAATGAAACTTAGCTTCAAATATAAATATGGCAAACAATTTAATATTAGAAAACTCTAAAATATTAATCTATAACTATACTTTATGCAAAAAGCAAAAAGATAAGCTTCACTAAATATATTGGATTTGAAGATTAACAAGCTTTAAATCTATTTAGATATTGGAAAAAAGTTTGGACATAATAGAAAAATTTAACCAAACATTAAAACGATTCTTTAAAGGTATTTAGATTAATTATCTGAATGATGATAATTATTTTAATAAAGATATATACATAATTATTCTTCTAAATAATCACTTTTTTAATCAAATTTAAATAGTTCGAATAGATACTATGAAGCATTATCAAATATAAATACTGAAAGAGCTAATAAAATCAACTCTCAAACATACGTTTATTTATAATAAAAAGTATAATCAAATTACATAAAGTAATTACGCTAATCTGTCATAATTAATAATTAATGAGATCTTCAAAATAAATTGCAGAAGCAGCAAAACAAACAGATGATACCAGAGGAATGAATGTATATTATTTTTTATATTTTATGTGAATCGAAATATTTTAAAGAATATTGCTTCATGATATCATAAAAAAACATTGAGTGATTGATCTTCAATTTTATATTATTTTCAAGTTATAAAAAACAAAATAATATTTTATGGTTATGCGAAATTTTTCAAAAATATATTATATTTATAGTAAACAATATAAAATCAAAAAAATTCTTTAATCCATATTTAAAAATAAATTAATTTTTGCCATTATAATTAAGTAAGTTTGAGAAATTAACTTTTAGAATCGTATATCTTCAAAAGAAAATTCTGAAAAACCTTTAACTTTATTAAACAGATATTTTCAGTGCATGATTTCTAAATTGAATGAGTAGTCAGAAAGTATATAGATTTAATCAATTAAAAATTTTGAACGGTTAAAATTAATAGTTAGTTAAAGATAGGCAAATTTAAATTATAATTTTAATAATGAGTTGTGAAAGTTTTCATTTTTTATTTTTTAATAAAGCAATTAGATCGTAGAATTAATTTTCTTCTTATTTGCAAAGTTTAATTGCTTGCTCATAAGTTTCTATGGCTAATTAATATTTCTTCTTTTGAGTTAATAAACTTCCTTTTTACATATATGTAAGTAAATACCTTTATTTTTATAAGCGTTTACTAATGTCGGATCTATTTAAATTGCCAAATCATATTATTTTAAGGCATCTTCATATTTTCCTTTATACTCTAAAGAACCTCCTAATTTAATAAAAATTAAATAAAACCTTTATTATTATAAGCCTAAGCACAATTTGGATCTAATTCAATAGCTTTATTATAACAATTAATAGCATCACTATATTTCTTAATTTCATCTAACATAGCACCTTTTAAAATTTATTAAGATATCTATACCTTTATTAATGTAAGCAATGATACAATTTGGATCTAATTCAATAGCCTTATCATAACAAGCAATTGCCTCATTATATTTTTTTAGATTATTTAATGTTTCACCTATTTAAATTTAGAAATATATTATAAACCTCTGTAAATATAAGCATTTATGTAATTGGGATCTATTTATATAGCTTTATCAAAACTATATATTGCATCTTAGTAATTTCCCTGTAAATTTAAAGAACATCCTTTAAAGTAGAAGATAATAAATTACCCTTCTAAAAATGGCCTAAACTATAATTTTTTGAAATTAGGAGTACTTTATCAATCCATGCTATGGATTATGTTTAATGATTCCAAGCTGATAATGATGCACCTATTTTATTTTATTAATTCTTACTTTTTCTATATAATGCATGAAGATGGTTGGGATTTTCTTTCAATATTTTTTCGCATTCTAAAATTGCTTTCTCATACTTTTTGTCATCATTTAATGCATAACCTATTTAATTAATTGTGTTCTTACTTTTAGTAATTAACATAGCAGTATTTTTTGGATTTTTATATAATTCTTAATCTGATAATTCCAATAAATCTCTAAATAAGCTATTATTCAACTTTTTAGCTTTTTCTCTTAATTAAATTGCTTTTCCTGGCTAATTCATTTCTAATAATGCAATACCTATAATATTTATTATAACAATTATATTTACATTAAAAGAATAGAGAAAATGATATTTTTTTCTCTAATATTTATATTTGCTTCGAAAATGATTCATTTGCTTCCTTCCAATTTTATTTATTTAATAATAGAATTCCTAATTGAATATTAAATAAAAAGAAAAACCTTTTTATTAGAACTCTAGATTTTCTTATTAATATCCTTAATCTAAATTCATAGCATTAACCATTTTTTCTACATTTCTTAATAAACTTCCTATTTATATTAGAAATATATAAATACCAGTTTTGTTTTATTTTGTAACCTCATCCGGATGAAATAGATATTAATACAATTCTCTAATAAAAAACATATCATCTTTGATCTATTAATAATCTTCATTTTTAAGATTATTTAGAGTGTTTCCTAATTATGTTTTTAAAGTTTCTGATTATTTAGAAAATTCTTAATAATTATTGCTAACTTATGTATAACAATTATTCAAACGATTAGACAAATTAAGCAATACCTCATCAAATTGAGTAATATATGTTGAAATCTACCCAAATGGTTTGAGATCTTTCTTGCATGTTATATGTTTCTTTAGATCTGCTGCACATAATAGACAAAACTAAGATCTTGACTCTTTACAATTTATATTTAAACAGAATCCTTAAATTTCTTATCCTTCATGTGCTACATCTTAACACGTAAATAAATTTTAATAATTCATTATTTAATTTATTAATTTTCTTTTTTTATCTNGAACATCCTTTAAAGTAGAAGATAATAAATTACCCTTCTAAAAATGGCCTAAACTATAATTTTTTGAAATTAGGAGTACTTTATCAATCCATGCTATGGATTATGTTTAATGATTCCAAGCTGATAATGATGCACCTATTTTATTTTATTAATTCTTACTTTTTCTATATAATGCATGAAGATGGTTGGGATTTTCTTTCAATATTTTTTCGCATTCTAAAATTGCTTTCTCATACTTTTTGTCATCATTTAATGCATAACCTATTTAATTAATTGTGTTCTTACTTTTAGTAATTAACATAGCAGTATTTTTTGGATTTTTATATAATTCTTAATCTGATAATTCCAATAAATCTCTAAATAAGCTATTATTCAACTTTTTAGCTTTTTCTCTTAATTAAATTGCTTTTCCTGGCTAATTCATTTCTAATAATGCAATACCTATAATATTTATTATAACAATTATATTTACATTAAAAGAATAGAGAAAATGATATTTTTTTCTCTAATATTTATATTTGCTTCGAAAATGATTCATTTGCTTCCTTCCAATTTTATTTATTTAATAATAGAATTCCTAATTGAATATTAAATAAAAAGAAAAACCTTTTTATTAGAACTCTAGATTTTCTTATTAATATCCTTAATCTAAATTCATAGCATTAACCATTTTTTCTACATTTCTTAATAAACTTCCTATTTATATTAGAAATATATAAATACCAGTTTTGTTTTATTTTGTAACCTCATCCGGATGAAATAGATATTAATACAATTCTCTAATAAAAAACATATCATCTTTGATCTATTAATAATCTTCATTTTTAAGATTATTTAGAGTGTTTCCTAATTATGTTTTTAAAGTTTCTGATTATTTAGAAAATTCTTAATAATTATTGCTAACTTATGTATAACAATTATTCAAACGATTAGACAAATTAAGCAATACCTCATCAAATTGAGTAATATATGTTGAAATCTACCCAAATGGTTTGAGATCTTTCTTGCATGTTATATGTTTCTTTAGATCTGCTGCACATAATAGACAAAACTAAGATCTTGACTCTTTACAATTTATATTTAAACAGAATCCTTAAATTTCTTATCCTTCATGTGCTACATCTTAACACGTAAATAAATTTTAATAATTCATTATTTAATTTATTAATTTTCTTTTTTTATCTCTAAATTTATTAAACAATACTTATTTCAAATTCTATTATTTAATTATATTATAACCACATATAGATATAAATATTATATATAAAGTTTTACTAAAAGTTATCTGTTCTCCATAACATTTAACAAATTTAATTCAAGTTATTTTTGATTAATTAAGTCTTTAAATTAACTAATTTTGTTTATAAATTTTTTTTAGTGTAAATTATTCTAAAAGTATTATATTTAACTCTAAACACAATTGTATCAAGTTTTTGTTTAATTATTAAGTCACCCTCAAAATTTTTATAGATTTTATTTATTATAATATAATACAGAATTATTTTACTTTATATAATATTGGAAAATAAGGACTTCAAATTCATATTAATTTCTTCTGTTTTGAAAAGACACTTTGTTGTTGAATCCCTTCCTTTTTTAAAAAAATTCTAAAAACTAACAAATCTATATAATTACTAAAACAGTAAATTATCATCGTCTCTCTAAATTAATTAAATATTATTTTTACAATTCCAAGTAAAATGTTATCTTTAATAGACTCTTAAATAATATAAACGAATCTAATTTTAGAAATTTTATGTTAATTAAATTATATAATTATTAAGAAATCCAATAATGAATTTTTAATTTATAAAGATTAAAAAAAGGGTATTTTAAATTAATAAATTAATTAATTTAATTCTACTTACCTCAATACTTTATTAACTGTGAAAATAATATAAATATTATTATCTCTAATGGTATTTAAATAAAATTTTAATGATGGACAGTTTGATAAATATTATTTTCTATTATAACAATTCACTCTTGATTTAAGAATTAATCATAATTAATTTGTGTATTGTTTAATTTTAAAAAAGATAATTTAATTTTCAAACAAAATTATGATTTTTAATTCAAAAAACTTAGAATTAATGAAGTTCTCATAAATTTCAATATTTTTAAGGGAGAAAACTTTTTTATTTCTAATAAATTTTGATTTTGGATAGATAATAATAAAACACTTTAAACTTAATTTAAATTATTAAATATCAAAATATTAATTTGTAATAAATTTGTTGAATCTAAATTAATTAAAATTTAGTAATAATTCTGACAAATTACATTATTATTTTTAATAACAAATTCATTTAGTTAGAAATATATTAAGAATATAAATCTTCTAACTTTTTATTTGAATTACTCTATATTGTTGGTTTAAAATTATAAAATAGTCTTAAATTTCTTTCGATAAATGATTACCAAATTTTCTTGTTAATCCAAATTCTTAATTTTTATCAATCTATAAATTAATGCCTTTTTCCAATTTTCTTAAACTATACTTTACAAAGCTAATTTTTACTCATTATTAAAATCTATAACTATTATAGTATATTGCAAGAAAATATATGATTAATTAAGCAACAATACTTACCAATGTAAAAAGTATAACTTATGTTTTTTAAGGATAAACATTTTGGTATAGCGATTCTTTATCAAGAATAGGCAAGGATTATCATTTAAAGTGTGATTAAGGAAAAAAAATTATTTATATCATCTGAACTCAATAATTTAGAAATATTAAACTAAATTACAAATTCAATTAGAATATAAAGTCATTTATTTAATTAGATATAGATAAATGATAAATTTTTTTATCATTAATATCTCATAAATGACAAAATATTTATTATTTATTGTAGGTAACAATAATACTATAATTTGTTTTCATTATTTGGATTAAATAAAACAGAATATTGTCTTTAGACTTAATTTAAAGATTGTTGATATCATTTAAAAAAGAGATCATCTCTTTATTTAAATAAAAGAAAGCAAGACAACAATAAAGTTTGTTATCTTAGGTTTATTTTAAAATCGAAGAACTCTAGACTGATTATGATGAAATATAAATTAATACTAATAGAAATATTGTATTTTTTAATTTAAAAAAGTATTAAATATCAATTTATTTATATTATAATTAAATATATGAATAAAAAGAATAGAAATCGTTCAAAAGCTCTGAAATCTAAAGAAACAGACCCTAAAATTTTAGATTTAAAAGATAAAATTTTGAAAACAACTAAATTAGAAGTAGAGGATTTAAAATTGATTTAAACTTTAATAGATGAGTATTAATTGTAATCATTCAATTTAAGTCTTAAAGATTTATTTGATGGTTGTATATGGAAAATAATTTTTGTATGTAAATTCTAAAACTATTTTAAAAAGAATAATTCATAAAAAAATTAAGAGACTTGAGCTAATATTTTAATGGAATTTTTTCTTTAATATTTTAATTGGCAAATGGCACATTTTATCGATAAGATGGTTTTGAAACATAATGGTATTTTTTGTAATAAATGCAAATGTATTAAGTATTTTTTGTAAGTTCAATAAAAGAAAAATAAATAATGCTTTTATTCGAATGTGCAGTATTAAGAACACCGAAATTCGATGATTAAAAAGTAAAATTAATTCTATTTTAGTTTGAGCATTTTGAGTTTATTCATACAATAACATTTATAGATGTATTTGTAAAAAATTAGATAAACGATTAAATAATTAATATTGTAATTTAAAAATATTAAGAATAAAATTTACAAGATCCAAGAAAATAATTTCCAATTAATTTAAAAGAAAGTCAAGTTAAAGGATAATTTGATAAAAGTGGAAAGTCTTTAAATATTTTTCAGTTGTTTTTAAAAAATGAGGATTAGAATTGGAGTATATTCTAATTTAAAAATCATTATCAAAAAGTATGTTATTGGTATCCTAACATTTTTGATGATTTGAAAATAAATGATATTAGTAATTTAGTGAAAGTTGATGATTAATATCTTTAAAAGGATGAAGAATAATATATATAAAAAAAAGAATAAATATAATAAAAGATCTAAAACAATTCATTAATACTTTAATCATTAGAAAATTGTTATTAACTTTCCAAAATATTGGAAATGGTTTATCATTTGTCTGAACTATCAATGAAAATAACAAATTAAGAATTAAAAGTAATTGATACTAATTAAAATGCTTTAGTCATTGGTAGAAGTGGAACAGGGAAAACAACATGTACCATACTTAAGATATTAACTTAATAATTATTATTTTTAATTTCTTAATAGAATAATAAAAATTCAAACCAATTCAATATAGTATTTACAACGTCTAATTCTTTATTAGTAAATGAAATGAGAAAGTATTTTAAGAAATTATTAAATATTGGAAATTCAAAGGTCATTTAAAATGATTTCAAAAATCTACAAGAAAATTTTGAAATAAATTAAGTTAAGTTTTTGTTAGAAAAAATGTTAAAGAGTTTTTCCTCTTGGTCTATAGACAACAAAGAAAGCTTTTTAAATTCAAAAGAATGTGATTTTCCTGCATTTTTACCTATTAATTAATTTCTGTTATTTATTGATAATTCTTTAAAGAATCCATTTTTTAAATAGATAAAAATTGAAAAAAGAAAGATTGATCATGCAGGATGGCATGATAAAGAAGGTGTTTTTAATTAAAATGTTTTAAATTTAAATGAAAATAATAAATAAATTCAATTCAGAACTGATTTAGTTTCTTAATAATAATTTGAATTCTATGAAGTTGATTATGAATATTTTTGTAATTCATTTTGGATAACAATAAGAAAATAAAATTTTAATTTAGAGGAAGAAATATCTTTTTGTAATTTTTTATGGAGTTAAATATATTCTATAATAAAAGGATCATAATTTAGTCATACATATCCTAATCGTTATTTACCTGAATAAGTTTATTTAAATTATCAATAATAACAATAAATAGATTAATAAACATTAATAAAAGTTTATACATATTTCATGCTATATGAAAAATGGAAAAAATCATAAGGTTATTTTGACTAGATGGATTTAGTAAATTATATAATCTAAAAAATAAAAATGCATGAATATAATGGTGTAAGTTTGCATTTTTTATATGTTGATGAAGTATAAGATTTCACTTAAGCAACTTTATATTTATTCAATTTGATAGCAGAATAAAGAATTATGTTGTCTGGAGATACTGCTTAAAATATAATTAAAGGAGTAGGATTTAGATTTTAAGATTTAAAATAGTAGTTTTTTGGTATGAAAGATTTCTAAACTTTTGCATTAACAATTAATTTTAGATCTCATAATGAAATTTTACAGTTAGCCAATAACGTTATTTCAATTATAGAAATTTTATATCCAAAAACAATAGATTGTTTAAAAAAAGAGTAATCTCCAAATTCAGGGACAATTCCTACTATTATTTCTTCAAATGATATAAATTCTATTCTTTTTTTAATGTAAGGTCAAAATGATGGAAAAATTGAATTCGGATGTTATCAAGTAGTTTTAGCTAAAAATCTTAAGGAAATTCCTGAAATTTTGAAACATCTTATTATATTAAATATTTAGGAATGTAAAGGTCTAGAATTTGATGATGTAATAATATATAATTTTTTTGATGATGATTAAATTCCTTAAAATTAATGGGAATTATTAAAATATTTGATAATTGAGAAAGTTGATGAAGAAAATAAACTTAAACCAAAACCAAACTTATAGGCAATTGATTTAAATAAATATACAATTTTATGTAGTGAATTGAAATATTTGTATGTTGCTATAACTAGAGCCAAAAAAAGAATATTTATTTTTGATAAAAATCCTAATTCAAGAAAATATATAGAAAAAATATGGACTGACTTAAAATTAGTTAATGTTCTTAAATTTGATGAAAATTTTGAGTAATCTAATAAAATTGAACAATTAATTAATATTAAAAATTCTGAAATAGAATGGAATGATTAAGGTATCAAAATGTTTCAATTAAAATTTTATGAATAAGCTGCAAAATGTTTTAAATATTCAAAAAATTCAGCTATGGAACACTAAGCTATTGCTTTTTAATTAGCATCTGAAGCTTAATAAGGTTTATTTCAATTAGAATCAGTTTCCTAATAGAGTAATTCTAAAATAAACAATCCTAACCATAATAAATAATATTATTTTGATTTATTTTTGAAAGCTGGTGAGAATTTCATATAAGCAAATTAATTAGAATAAGGAGCAGCTTGTTATTTTTCAGGTAGAAAATACGATATTGCATTAAAATATTACTTATAAGCTTAGTCTTGGAAGTCAGCTCTAACAACTATTGAAAAACTAAATAATTACTAAATGATTGCGGGTGTTTTATATTGGAAATGTAATAATTATGAAAGATGCTTAAGTTCTTTTGAATCTTTAGGAAATCCAATATTATTTATATATATTCTATCCTTTTTAAGAGTAAAAATTAATGAAAGATTATTTTAAGCAAAATTTTAAATTTGGTTTCCATTACTAATTTTAAAATTATAAAAATTGAAATATTCGGATTTAAATTTAAATTTAACGATTTTAAAAGAAAATGTTCCTGAATATATTACACAATTTAAGGATATATTATAAATTTTAGAAAATTCTGTTAAATTAGAAATTTGTCAGAGAGAATAATTATTAAATTAAATATTTAATTATGTTTATCTTTTCTTAGATGATATTTTACTTTTAATGACAAAAATACATATTAATTATAATATAGAAATTTCAAAATAAATTTTAAAATTTGAAAAACCTACTTCATAATATTTTGTCAAATTAAAAATTTAAATATTACAAGATATATTTACTTATTATAAATTAGATTCATTTTTAGCCTTATTATACGAATGTTATAATATAAATGATTAAACTAAAAGAATAATCTCAATGTTCTTCTAGGATTCTATAACAGTTAATAATGGGAAAAAGCTTAAAATACCCAAAAATATCAGTGAAATAAACTAAATATTTCAAAATATTCCTTGTAGTTGGACATCTAAAAATTATCTATAACTTACATTTTAAATTTGTTAAATGGGATTTTATTAGTCAGGAATATATGTAGTGTAACAGATTTTATCCTAAAATAATTTATAAGAATAATAATATCAATATTGTTTGGAGGATCAGAAGGAAATAAATTATATTTTCTTCCAAACAAATTACCTTATAGGTTTTGAAAAAATAGTTTCTTAACTGGATTTCTATTTTTAATCATCAAATGATATGAATGAATAATTAAATCATATTGATGGATTTTCATATATTGAATAAATTCAAGATAGAATTGATAATAATAAATAGTTAGAAATGGATGAAATATAATTTTTATTTTAAAATATTAATCCTTTGGATTCATTAAACCTAATTAATCCAATACTTTAAAGTAGACAATTATTTGCTGGCATAATACTATTAAAATTAATAGTAGAAATGGAATAAAATCAAAATCATGTTATAAATCAATAATTCAATTAATTAAATCATTTTTAATATTAGCATTTCATTAGATTTATTTAAGTATGTATAGATCTGTGTAAATTTAACCAAGATTTATATTCTTAAATAATTAGTTTATATTCAGTTTAATGTGTATTTTCTATAAGAATAGCATCAAAATTAACAGTAAATCAATTATCTTAAACAGTAATGTTTATTCATAAGAACTCATCATTATTTAAGCTTAAATTAGTAAATGAAAATGGTTGTAGATTTATAGATCATGAAAAATAAGTTTATATATGTAATTCAAAGGAAGTTTTAAATGGTATATCTCAATATTTGAAAGATTTTCTTTTAAAATATAGTAGAAAATATTTTTACAAAGAATAATAAAATATATCGAAGGCTCCATTTATAATCTAGCATTTTACTTATTTAAGATTAAAATAGAAGGAGAATTAAGATGTTCCTGATGGAATTAAAAAGTTTTAACTATATTAAGAAGTTTATTATGACTTTTATTTGGAAAAGTGTGTTAAATTATAAATAATAGATTCATTATTTACAATAATTTCTCAATGCGCAGAACCTAAATTAATATTAACAAAAAGAATGCTTGCTGAATTATCAACTTATTACTTTTTTAAAGGTTTATAGGAATCAACTATATAATAAATGCATAATTATATCATGATTGGGATATGTATATAAAATATTTCTCATGAACAACACATATCACTTAGATTTATTGATCATTTAAAATCAGTTTAATAACAATCTCCATTTATAGATAATTATGTACATTATATCAATTATTTATAAATAACGAATTATTGTTTTTCTTTAGATGCTTGTAATGAATATTTTTTATTTCATGACTAATAAAAGGAATTACTTCAGCCTTAATAGATATTGAAAGATTTATCATTAATAACACTAATTTTAACATTTTATAACTCAATTTAAAATAATGTGAATACTGTTTTAGTTCCTGAATCTTCATTAAAATTTCTTTAACACAATTTAATAAGTGATAATAATTATGAGATATAAGTTTAATAAAAAAGTTCTTTAGAAGATTTAAATAGCAAAATCTAAAAGGAATTGGTAGAAAAAGTTTTTGAATAAATATAAAAATAGTTAGATTAATAAACATATCGTGTTTATTTAAGACTTTTATTATAAATAATTTTAAATGTATCAATTTTATGGGATGGATTAAGTGAGAGACTTTACGAAATGGCAGATGAATTAGAATATGAAAGTTAAGATTAAGATTTTTAAATAATGGCTGAATTAGTATTAAAATCAATAGAAGAAAGAAGAGAATATCTATCACCATTTAGAAAGTTCTGTAATATAAATTTTAATTCTAAAAATATTACGAAGGAATAGATTGAAGATTATTTAAATATAAAATATAAAAAGAAATTATTAGAATCAAGATTTTTAGATAAAATGAATTTTTAGTATTAAGAATACTTTAAAAATAAATTTTAAAATATCTATATTGGATTAAGATTAATATTGTTTAGACCATTAAGTTTTTAGAAAGGTTAGATAATGGAAAAGGAAATAGAAGAGAAAGTTATAGGTTAATTATATGAGAAGATAGATTTAATAAGAAAGTATAAATATATATAGAGATAGATTTTAGAATGTTAATAGAGATTTTATATTCCAAAATAATTGACAATTGTGCTCATTTTATAGCAATTACAGATGAATTAAAACTATTGAGTAGTTTAGAATAGGATGTTGATTAATTTATATCAAGGAATGAAAGATAAGGAAATAGGAAGATAATAGAACCATAATAATCTTTGAAAGAATTAGGATAGATATAAGAATAGATAGAGAAATGGAAATAATTAAATTAAGATTTAAATGAGAATTTGAATTCTTTAGAATATTCATTCTAGAAATAATAAGAAGAAGAACAAGAAGCGTTTGAGTTATTATAAAAAAGAATCAGCCAAATTTTAAAATGAATTATATGTATAGATATTAGAATAGTTAATCATATATATTTAAACTAAATCTGAAATTTGTATGTTTATAGATACAAGATATAATGGATTATTAAATTTCTTACAAATAATACGTAAATTCATTGATGCAATATCAATAATACAGTATGGCTGAAATAATTAGACATAGAGATTCAGTATTTAATGATGGTCAAAGTCTCTGGTGTTATAATTTATAGAATCATTTTAAGTAAAAAAACTAAAGAACATTTTTTGTAAAAACATTAAATAAATCTAAAACAAAAGACTTATAATTAGGAGATTTGCATATTTAGTATTCTAAACATGTATTAATTAATAATAATAATAGAAATATATTAGTTTGGTGAATTCATTTCTAAAAATATTATTTAAACAAAATGAGATAGTAGGTTTTGTTTTAGAAAAGAATGATCATATACTTGAAATATATGGAGACACTCAAGACTGGATAGATTCATTTAAACATTTAACTACATAATTAGATTTTACATCAAACTATAAAATTACTAAGAAAATAGGATAAGGAATAGCAGCTTAAGTTTATTAAGCTACTAATAAAACTAATAAACTTAATTTTGCAGCAAAAATATTCGATAAAAAGAGAATTTTATTGGAAGAAACAGAAATAATATCTATAAATAAAGAATTGCATTATTTGAGATTGTTATAACATCCAAACATTATTAGACTCTATGAAGTATTTGAAAATAAATAACATATTATTTTTATTACAGATATATGTGAAGGAGGTGAACTTCATCATTCTTTAAGTAGATATGGTTTAGAAGAGAATTAGGTTGCTGAAGTTATTAAGCCAATCATTACTGCCATTAGTTTTATGCATTCTAAAGGTATTTTTCATAGAGATTTGAAACCTTAAAATATTATGTTAAGAGAAAAAGATGCATTAAATACTATTTCTTTGATTGATTTAGGATTAGCAGATAAATTCACTAAAGAAGGAAAATATTTATATAATAGATGTGGAACACCTGGATATGTTGCACCTGAAGTCTTACAAGATAAAAAATATGATCTTAAAGTAGATATCTATAGTATTGGAATTATTACATATCTTGCTTTAACAGGAAAAGAACCTTTTGCTTCTAATAATTATGAAGATTTAGTATAAAAAAATTATGATGGCAGAATTAGTTTTATAAATTTAAATGTTTCTGAAAACTGCATAGATTTTTTAAAAAGAACACTTTGTAAAGATAATAAATTAAGATTATCTTCAGAAGAAGCATTAGAACATCCTTTTATTATTTTTGGAAAAGGAAATCATATTTTTTAAACAAATAAAGGTTCTACTACATAAAGAATGAGTATGACTTCTCTAAAATCTAGTACAGAGGCATCATCTGAAAATGGTTCTATTCCTAAAACTCTTAGAGGTAAAATCTAATAATATATGAATACAATTTAAACTCTCAAATCTGATATCAATTCAGAAGTTAAAAAAGAAAAAGAAGAGAATCTTAAAAAGAGAAAGGATTATTGTATTAGAAAATCATAAATACTCAAAATGAAATAAATATACAATATACCTAATTTTGAATGATTATTTCTATATTATTTTTTATTTGTTTAAAATTTTGAATACATATATATATTTATCCAAACATTTGAATAAACTTATGAGGTTCTGTAATAAATAATCAATAATTGAATGATTATTTATAATCTAAAGAAATTGTAAATAATAATTTAGATCGATAAACAAATTATGATAAATTAATAAAACTAATCATTACAATAATCTAATAATTAAATCAAGATATAGATCTAACAAGTTCAATTTGAAATGCAAAATATTAAACTTGATTTCTAAGAGTGATTAAATTAAAAATTACAGTTGTAATAATTCGAGTTTTCTCTTCATTTAATCATTTGGAGAGAATGGAAGAATTAAATTAATGAATACAATTACAATAAGAAGATTAATTTTTACAATAATTTAATAATTTAGTTAATGAAAAAGCATAATTTGAAAAACAAATAGAAAATTAATAAACATTGAATGAATAAATATAATAGGAGAAAATAGAGTTAGAAGCTTCTTATCAAAACCTAATTCAAATGTATAATTAATGATTATAAGTAGATATGTCATAAATTGAATTATCCTAAAATAGGACTAAAGTGTTAGTTAAAAAGTTTTAAATAAGAATTAGAATAATTAAAATTAGAAAATATAAAAATAGATGGAATGAGAACTGGATAATTTGAAAATAGAACTTAAAAATAAAAGTAAGAAAAAGATATTTTGAAAGATAAATTAAAATATTAAAAGTAAAGTGTGATAATTTATTCAATTAATTAATTTAATATAAAGTAAATAGATAATTAAATAGTAAAAAAGTGTAAAAGCAAAAAAATAGAAAATAAAATTAAATTTGATAGAGAAGGAATTAAAACGAATATATATCTTTGTTTGTCAGAAATTTTCCTAAGATTGATAACAGTTGATTAAATAATAATAAAGAGAATATCGAAATAAAATAAATAAATAGACTTGAAATGTATCTATTTTCAGTTTCCAAATTTATTGGACATGTAGTAACAATACCATAGATAGGATGTTCTACAAATTATAATCCATTATTATTTTCAAAGTTAATTCTTTAATCTTTTGTCATAAATGATGGTAGATTATATCAAATAACATTTCTAGCTACTCTTACTCTCCTAGAAACTCTTTCAAGTCTTGGATCAATTTTAATACTAACATATTCACTAACAGGTAATACTCCAATTATGTTCTTATTTTATTTAATCCTTCTATTTTATGATACTCTTTCATTATATTTTGTAGATAAAAAGAAAAGGAATTATTATAATCTTCTGGCCTTGCAGCAGCTATACCAATTGATCTATTTTCATTAGTCAATCCTCCTTAGAATCTTTTTGTAATCTTCAATCCCTTTTTCATCCAAATACTATTTATTTGCTTCTCAATTTTCTGATTCATGTTATTGAATAAATAACTTATTTTAATTTATATTTTAGATATAAACTTAATTTCTAAGCTATATATATATATACATAATCAGTATTAATACATAACTTAATATTCAAACTTTCTCTAATTACACAAATACTTCAGTTATCATCTCTAATCTTACAGGTTTAGTAATAAAAGCATCAAATCCAATATTACCACATCTTTCTTACTCATTTTAATCGTCATAACCTGAAATTGCTATAACATTCACTTCATCTACTTACTTTTTTAATATCTAGCCTTTATAATATTATATACCATTTCTCTAATCATTTTTGTGGCTTGCCAACCATTTAATATTGGCATTAATAAATCCATAAAAACATATTTTATATTTTTTTATTTCTAAAAGTTTATCAATTTAGTTATAGCTTGTTAACCATTATATGCTTCTAAAAATGTTATATTAGAAGATATATCTTATAATAACAATTTCAAAGCCAAAACATTAAATGGTTCATCATCAACTATTAAAATTGAAAAATGAGGTTTATTTTATAATAGCTTTTATAAACGATGTCTTGGATCTATAATATCTTAGGAATCATCAAGCATTTATTCTTTAATTTTAATATTACTCACAGCTGGTGAACGTTGATTCTTCATATAATTTATATTATTAAACTTCTATTGATCAATATCTTCTTATTCAGGATGAAAATCTTAATCTTGATCTGTATCATGTTTATCAACTTGTCTTTAATAAACATATAATAAGGATGATCGAACAAATGTTTATTGAATTGATTATTAATCATCAAATTACGAATGACTCTCCATATTAAAATTCTTAGAACTACTCTCTTATTTAAATACACTAATATAATTTGGAGATCTTTTCGGATCATCTGATAATCTAGAATATATTTGAAATGACATCTTAGTTCCTCTATTTTATTCACTCCAAAGATCTATATTCTCAGATGGTCCCAGTAATTTTATTAATTTCTTACAAACCATTAATCCAATTCCTGTACCACATTTATTTTGTACTTCTTTACTTGAAAATGTTGCAAACATATTAAACAACTTTGGTTTAATCAATTCAGATATACCACATCCTGTATCAGTTATTGAAATTGTATATATCATCCGATTAGATCCACTAACTGATTTTACGGATCTACCAGATAATTGTTTCCTTAACTATCCTATTGTTTATTAATTTTATTATTGACTAAACATGTTTTTAGATGAACCTGTTCTGATAATATGTTAAGATTTATCTGTCTAATGAGAAGTAACTGATATTTTTATAGATCCTGATTCAGTAAACTTTAATGAATTAGAAATAAAATTCATTAATACTTACTTAATTCTATTTGGATCACTGTATATCTAATATGTAGGTAAATCATAATGCGTAGTAATCACAACTCCCTTTTACTCTGCTTAGATAGCTACTAATTCGACTACTTCTTCTATAATTTCATTCAAATAGAAATCACTAATGCTTAATCTTAATTAATTTTTTTGAATCCTAGCAAAATCCAAAATATCTTAAATCATGTACAACATTAAATATACATTTTTCTTTATTATTCTTAAATAGTATTTCTATTATGCATTTGTATCAAATTTCTCTTCCATAGCTTCTACTATAGTTGAAATCCCATTAATAGGAGTCTTAAAATCATGAAAAACTGTTGCTAAAATTTAATCTTTATTATCATTCTATCTTCTACTCTCTTCTAATTCATCATTCAATATATCTACCATTTGTTAAGTTCTTAAATCTTTCATTTAAATCATAAATGCCTCCTTGTAATCCCAAATACAATATTAAACTTAGATGTTTACTCTTTTTTATTTTAATTCCTATAATGAATCTAAATGATATTAACTGTCTTTTTATTATCCAAACTTACTCTTTTTTACTTAATAAGGTGTATCTTCATTAAATTAAATAGAATTTTAATTTTTTAGTGAATTACCTTAATTTTTAGGACTTTCTATAACTAATTCTTATTTATCTTCATTAATTTCATCATGAATAAATGTTGAAACCTTTTTATGTTAAGGAGTATCAACAAATGAATAGTCTTCATTCGATATTTATTAAAGTTTACAATATTAAACTAATTATGTAGGTATTGTTTATAGTTTTTAATCATCAAATATTGAACTTAATGTTTTCTGACTAGAATTTTGAAATAATTCAAGTGTATTAATAAAATTTTTTTAGTTGGTAATTTTATAATTGAATTCAGATTCAATTGTTTTAGTATGAAATAGAGGTTATTTAGTTTAAGCATCTATTATTAATATAGAATTAGTTATTGTCTCTTTGAAAAATTCAGTAATTAAATTAGAAAGATTTTGTTGCTGCTTATCAAGTTTGAACAATAATGGTATAAATACAAGACTAAAATAAGGAAATAAGTTTGTATAAAACTCTAATCTTATACATAGGTAGAGATAAACAATAAAAAAAATACAGATTCTAAATGAAATTCTTTAAATAGCTGTTATGAGTACCAAGAGTCTTATGATGAAGAAAAGCATATATTCCTAATAATTATAATTGTAATTACAGCAGTTTGTTATTATTATGAGAACTCAATTTACAAAATTTGGCATAACATATATGAAATTATTAGGTAGCAATCTCTGATCAAGGCATTTAAAATGTTTTTGTATAGCAAAACTATAAAAGCAATCATCAAAAATAACTCTGTTAGAAATGATATAGCAAATCCGAAACAACAGGATTCCTAACAAATTATTACTACTCCAATCACAAGACAAACGAAAACATCACAGATGCCAAAATATAGTAATCTATTGTTCATATTAAATTAAAATTTATAATATATCAAGTATTCTCTATTTCAAATAATAACCACAAAAGAATTTAGGCTACTTCTTCCTTACTTTATTTCAAAGTTAAACGGTGATATTATGTTTTAATATTGCTAATGACTTTGACGTATTAATCATTTAACTACTTATTTTTTATTATTTTTGATAGATTTGATATGCATTATCTTAAATTATCTTTATTTAATATAAATTCTAATAAAAAAGGAATGATTAACTTTAATTTTAATTCTAATCTATTTATGAACTAAAAATTATTAAATTAATAAAATACCAATTATTCTTTTTCAAAATCTTCTTCCATTTTAATCAATTAAGAAATGTATTAATAATGTTCAATATCGAAATAGTCAGCTTCTTCAAATTCTTCAAAGCTATTTTATACACTCTATGAATTAGACATAATAATTCAAATTAATTTAAAATAAAATAATAAATTCAAAATTGAATAAATTTGCTTCCTGATTTTTAGTAAGGACTTAAGCTAGATTACTTAACTACAATTGGAGTCTAATAAACATTGACATTATAATAATGATCCATAGACATATCTTTCAAATACTTTATTCCAAACTATTATTTAGTTCCAATCTATTGAACCTTTGTCAAAATGACTGGAGAATAATGTTATACAGGTTAATCTCTTTTTTATTAAAAATAATGACTAAAATATTAGTTAATTTATTAATTATTTCTTTATTAATTTGGAGATCCCTATTAAGTAGGATGACTCTTCTTTTAAGTATTATTATGACTACTTGAATGATGACTCGATATTTAAGTTAAATGCTTATTTGCAGGTTCTGGAACATGAGTTAAATTCTTCTTTCTATTTGCTTTCTTTTATTACTTATTTATTAGAGATTCCAAAACTTATTTTGTTTAACTCTTTTATTAGTTTAATAATTGATTATTTAATTCTTATAATCTTTATATTTCATATTATAAAGCAGAGTTTTCATCTTATAAAGATCTTTTACTTTTTGGTTTAATCGCTTTAACCAATTAATTTTTATCAAAATCAAATTCAATTTCAATTTCCTAAGAACCTTATTAAATAAAATTATCTTTTAATTAAGTATTGAGTTATTTTTCTAGATTCCAATAATTACATTTCCAATCATCTAATTCTGTTTCTAACTTATGTATGTAATCTATTAATTTATTTATTCTTTAAATAATGTAAGATTCATTAATTTCAAAATATTCTCCTACTGGAGATTCATCAAAATTCATTTTATTTAGAGCATTTAAAATTTCATTAAATTTAAAATTTTATACAACAGACTAATTTAGACTTTTAATTTGAGGACATTCACTTTCTTCTTATATTATTTATAATTCATCCATTCTTACATGATGACTATTTTCATTATGTTATTCAAGTAAATCTAATTATGGTTCATCAAAAATTGAATTATCTAAATTACTCTTTAATTAAGCAATTTCTCTATTATGTTATTTTTCTTATTCATAATATCTTTATTGCCATTCTATAATGATTGCTTCTTATTGTTCTATTGTTTCTAATGATGATATAATTTTCTATTTCAAATTCTATATAAGTTTTAATGATTAATTACATCAATTTCTTAGTTTTTAGAATCTAAGTCTTTTTTCAATAAATCGTTCTAATTACCAATCTATAATTAGCAATATAAATACACATGATTAGTTGAATTTTAAATGTGGCATTAATTAGAAAATTCAAGACTTCTTCTTTAAATAGAAATTTAATTAATCGAGACTCTAATAGGTGATGGAATCCAAGATTCTGATCTTAATCTTGCTGATTTATAAATAGTAGTAATTCTTCTTATTGGATGAGAAAATGATCTTTACATTACTATCATTTTCTGTTAATTAAAATTTATAAATGGATTAATCAGAATATTCTTATCTATAATGCCCTGCTCAAGCTGCTGCAATCTAACATGAATGTATTTACTATTCAATGATATTTAGAATAGTATATTAGAAAAACAGAGAAAGACAAATAATATAGAAAGATATTTGGAGGAGATGTTTAGTATGATTAAATTGAGATTCAACATATTAAAATGTTAGAAGAGGAAATCCAAAAAAAAGGAATAAAATTACCAGATGGGTATAAATATATTTATTAATTAAATTTAGTTGGACTTAAACGGACACACTTAAAATTATATATAATGGTAAATTTAAGATTAAAGATTGCATTGAAGTAATAATATGATAAATATCAAATATAGAGATTAATACTTCACATAACTTGGAGATTAAATCCAAATATGCATACCTTAAATAAATAAATGTAAGAATTTTTAGAAGCTGGATTTTTATACACTTTTGGTAGAGACTATTAATTTAGACCTGTAATTTATTTAGAAGCATATAGAGTAGATTAGAAAAAAGTAATTTAATATTATGATTTAAGTATCCAAAAGATTTCATGATCTAAACACTATCATTCTTTTTAGGATTCGTTAAAAAACATATGATGATGCCAGGAAAAGTGGAAAATTGGATATGTGTTATCGATACAAAAGATATAGGAGTTTTTGGATTACCTTCTGGATTAGGAGATATTATAAAAACTATGGCTCTTAATTTTGTTGGATGTTTACATAGAATGTATGTATTAAATCCATCTACAGGTGTGGATTTATCATGGAAAGCTGGTTCTGCATTTATGGATGATGAAAGTAAATCTAAAAATGTCTTTTTAACAAAGAAAACTTTAGAAAAATTGAAAGAAGCTATTCCTTAAGATTAATTAGAAAAAAAGTATTTAGGAAATGCTGAAAATTTAACTTAGTTTTGGCCACCTTAAATTTCTAAAAAATGATATAATTATTTGTATAACACATTAAAAAATTTAAGAATTCTTAATTATTAAAATTAATGCAAAAACCTACACATTATTCATATTCTTAATCATGTTGGATTGTATTTTATCCGTATGCCATCATTACAGCAATTTGGTATATCAAATAATAAAATTAGGATACCATTGACACTTCTTATAGAGTAATATATTAAGGATGTATTGATGGTAACACTTGTTGTTGATTTGATTGCAACTTCAATTGTTTTCATTCAATCTTATAGATATAAGTATATATAATCTCATTATTAGTAATACATCAATTTATGATTTCTATTGGTAAATCCCAGGATTTTACTTAATTATTTATTGGGTTTTTAGAACTCCATATCAACCAAATATTTGGCTTATTATTGTTCCATTTGCTTACTTTATCAGACATAATTATAACTTTTTATCTTTTTGGCCAGGATTAACTTACGAAGATTTTAGGTATCCAGTGTTTAGAAAAAAATTAAACAATGAATTTATATATTGGGTTTTCAGTTATTTTGGTTTACATGTAGGACCTACTTTAATGATCTATTTTGGTCTATATCCTACTTACTATGCCTTATTTGATAGTGATCAAGATTATAATAAATGTGTCTTTTATTTTGGAGTCATTTTTGCATTTTCAGCTTTAACAATAGAAACCATAGCAGATTTATAATTATTTCCTTGGAGATCTAGAAAAACAGAAGAATTTATTGATGAAGGTTTATGGAAATATTCAAGACATCCTAATTATTTTGGTGAATGTATGTTTTGGTGGGGATTATTTATTATGACTTTATCATTTGGATATTAATATTGGTTCACTATTATAGGAGCAGTCATTATGCAATCATTGTTTCTATTTTATTCTATTCCAGAAATGGAAAAACACATTCTAAGAAAGAGACCCAAATATTATATCTAATAAAAAAGAGTAAGTGCTTTCTTTCCTTGGTTTAGAAATGAAAATGTGAAATGAAATAAATTAATTGAAAAAATTAATATACATTATCAACGAGTTAATAATAATAATATCATTTCTCATTTCTATAAATTAATTTTCTAACTTTATTCTCAGATTAAATAGCATCAACAATTTAATCAATGATATATCTTACTATATTCTTTATTTTTAAACAGATAAATTATAAAACTCTATCCACTTTATGTAATTAATTTATTATGAATTAGTGTATGTACTTTCTTGTTTAAAAACATAAGGTTTATAGATTAAAATAAACTCAATTCATCCTTTTATATCTCATGTGAATGTTTACTTTGAAAAAACCCTAAAGTTTGTTGAGATATTTGATCAACTTTAATTTCATACATATCAGTTATAAAATTATAATTATATATCAATTGAGGTTCTATAACTTCTACTAAAGTACTAATTAATATTTATTTTAATATTATTTTTTTGCCGAATCCAGAGTTCCTTATTTTCTAGTACTACTAAATTATGTAGGACTCTCTTCAATAGGCAAAGTATTAAATTAATTCCGATATCTATATTTTAATTATGCTGTTCTAGTCTAATGCAAGGCTTACTAAATATTTAGTTAAGCAGGTACTATACATTGACTAGCCTTACGAGAATTCGAGAGAGAACGACTCAATTGTTTTGGAGGTGATTTTGCTGAATTTTAAGTTGTATTCTATGTTGTATTATTTGTTGTATTTGTAGAGGGTGTCAAACCAACATTTCCATTGTTCAAATCAGGCTTTATACGACTCTTTATAATCTTCATCTTCTCTTTGCTCAACTTTGCTTATTGAGTTAAAATGTGATTCATTAGAAATTCGACACGTTATTTAATTTCTAAAGGTTATTAAGATTTTGTTGGCTTTAAAAATAACCTAGTTGGAGATCTCCCTGTATCTTCCTAGTCTTCAACTTATGTTAATAGATGTCTATATTTATTAATTATGTAATATTTACTTTTTGCTTGCTTTATTAGAAGGTATTGTTTTTTATTAAGTATTAGCATGTTTAATTACAGATGTAGGGCCTTCAGGTACTTTAATAACAATGACAACTTTATTAGCCAAAGTAGCTTTGTTATTGAATTAATGTGGACGCAATAATTTAGTTAAATGTGTAATTTCTTAATCTTCAGGTATCATTTGTTTATCTACTCCATAAAGTTTTTTGTAAACTTGATAAATTTGATTAAAAATTTAAGACATATGTGGAACATAGGTATAATAGATTTCTAGACTTTTGCAAAGCCAAATTTCAAGATTGGATCTATTATCAAAATTGGAATTAATAAATCTTAATTCAGTAGAAATACTATAAAAACTTAATCCAGCAAGCATGATTAATTCAAGTATAACTTCTTCAGTGATAACCATTTCAGGATTACTGATAGGATACAATTCTTCAATATCTACTTAAGTCATTTGCATTAGACCTAGAATTTACATTTAGAGCATTGGATGATTATCATTAAGATTGGGATACAATTTATGATTTTGATTAGCAGTATTTATAAGTGAAATAGATTCACTATATTTATCTAAGGATTAACTACGACTTTAATGACTTCTAATGATTTATATATTTTTTTCTTCAAATTAAGATTATGGCATAGAACATTTGATGAGTGCTAAAATTTCTTTGAATACTGTTTCAACAATTTAGCTATAAGATAATTTATGAGGTTGTTGAGATATCATGGATACTAGTGTCATTTCTGAATTAGCTCTTTATTTTTTATTAATTAAATTAGTTAGATTCATCTATTAACATAATTTGATGGTAGTTTCAAAGAGTACTTTAAGTTATTTTAATGCACTTTTAGCTAATTCTAATGCCTATTTATTTCTAGAGTGTATATTGAATATTATACCTTCTACTTTCAGAAAATAATAAAGTACATTAAAAGATGATACGCAATCTCATAAGTTTGTTTTATACAATCCTAGCTAAGAATTAAATGTCAAGTGGTTGTTTTTTCAATTGTTTACCTTTAATTTTAAGAATTTGATCACTATCTAGTAATAGATTGATCACTTCCTCTGTTAATCCATATTTTCTTAAAGCTAAAGCATAATTGATCTTCTAAAATAAAACTGTAGTATACTAGATTTAAACCCTAATAAATAATGGTTGCAAAGATACTAATTCTAAGTAAAGTAATCTAATAATTATTATCCTCTAACATGGTACTCTAATTATTCGTTCTCTGGAATATCTGACATTGCAATCCTAGTTAATTCATTCATCACCTGATCACTACAATCTGGCTTTAAATAAATTATCTCCTATGATTCTTCTTTCTAAAGTTGTTAACCACCAATATTTACTTATATCATAAAGTTCTCTTTAGAACTAAAGTTTTCTCTAATAAACACAATCTTTCTCTACAATAACTATTGCACAATAAATTAAGGTGATCTCTCTATTAAGCGTTGTTGTTTCTTAAATGCTTCAAATTTTAGCATTTTTTATATTAAAATTAAAATTCATGTCTTCTCTCACATCTATACAATACATTCATTTATACTACTACAACCACTATTTAAAAGATATTATATCATTATTGATTCTATTACAAATATTCTCTCTACTTTTTTATACCTACTAAATAAAAATTCAACTATCTCAAATCTATCCGAAATATACATTCTACACATATTAAATAATTTCACTTATTCATTTTTAAAAACATCAGAATTAACACTTCCATTTAATAACTAACTCACATTTTTTTATTATTCTTTCAATCACTCAAAACCTATAAATAATCTTTATATACCCTTTCATAAAAATTACATTTCAATCCTTTTTGATCCATTTATTTATAGACTTATAATAATCTTAAGTAAAATCTCTTTTAAAACATAATTTTAAAATTTTACACTGGAGTCAAATTTATTGATGAATAATTTTGTCAAATGTTTGTACCATAAATATAATTACTTAATTGATCCTTATATTGTCATTCTAATCTATCAAATCTTACAAAATGAATATTTTTGCAAAAATTGTTAAATTAAAATCTATTTCAGTGAAATTGTTGATAAATTCGGTAATACTAAATAATTATTGTGAGAAATACAAATAAATTTTTAAAGCATGGTTAAAGGAGTTAAAAAAGGATAATTGCTTGTTTTTTTATAATAAGAATTTATTATATATTATATTGATCTATATTATAAAACTACCACATAAATGAATTTTATGAGATGATGTAAACAAAAGTGCTAAAATGGATTAAAGAATGATTAATACAATATTTGTATATAACATAGGAGTAAATAATTATTGAAATTGATTGGTAAATTAGTTGTTAAAATAAAAACTAAAAATAATAGTTTTTGAATATTTTTATATTAATTATGATTAATTTTGGTGATTAAGTGGGACATAAATTATTTAGTTATGATTCATTAGTCTATACATATTCAGGAGAAGACTTGTTAATTTTAGAAAAGGAGACAATGAAAATGAGTAGTAGGATCAATGTAGGTAGTTAAATATAAACATTTGGGGTAAATGGTGATATTTATGTATTGACTAAAAAATCAGAATTTATTGTATATTGTATAGATGGGAAGTAATTATAGAGTAAGGAACATAAAGGAAAAGTATTTAATAATGCTCAATTTCATAATGACCATTTCATAGCTAATGATGGAAATAAGATTGTTAGAATAGGAACAACTTGTTCTATAATATATGATGGATAATAATTGACTAATATAAATAGTATTGAATATTCAGGATATAAGGAATAATTAATAATTGGAGATGGCAAGTGTATTCATGTAATAGGTAATGAAGATAAAATCTTAAGAGAATTTGGTATAGCAATAACAATAATGAAGTTAGATGATGATTAAGATCTTTTAGCATGTGGATTAGCTAATGGTTAATTAGTATTATTATAATATTCAACTGGTGTTATAATCTAATAAGATCATTGGCATGCTCATTAAATTAATACATTATTATTTTCAGGTGCATCATTATATTCTGCTGGTTAAGAAGGTGTTATTGTTTAATGGCATTTAAGAGTTGCAAGAAAAGCATTCTTTCCTAGATAAGGAGGAGAAATTGTAGCTATGTGTAATGCTGACGATAATATTGTTATTAATGTTTAGGGAATTAATCAAATTAAATAGGTATCATTAATGGGATAGAATAAATTACCTATTTATTAAGGTATTCATCATGTTTATCCTAATACATTTGTCACTTTCTAAAATAAATTAGTCACTTAAGGAGTTAATGGAACTTTATAAGTAATTCATCCTATCTAAGGTACTTTATTACATGTTATACCAATCTGCTAGAAAAATTACGTTTCTGATATAGATGAATAACATAAAAGAGATACAACTATTATAAATTAAGTATTATAATATTATATGTTCTAGTTTGCAATTTTGGATAGATTTTTAATTGTTATTTTAAAATCTAAACTTAAATAAACACTTTCAATTTTTGAAAATATTAACCATTTTGAATTCAATCTAATAACTACAATTGATTATGAAATAGAAGGTATGGATACAGGTCATAATTCTATAATTACTTGGGGGAATGGAGAAATTAGATTGTGGAGACAGATTAAATAAAGTAAAGGATAATACAATTGGAATTGTATATTTAGAGGTAATGGATATAAAGGTACTAAAATATTAACAGCTTCTATTTATAATGAAAAAATAATCATCATTGTCACCTCTATTTCTATATTACATGTAAATATAGAAAATAATAATATTGTTAAAGAATTCCCATTAGATTAAACATCTCCTGATGTTGCTTATATTTATTAATCAGATGTATTAGTATGTAATGGAAATACAATTACATTCTATCAAAATATTAAAAAATAAATTATTACCTAATTAGGTAATGCTTAATCAATTACCAAAATTAATGAAAACTTAATTACTATTTAATATTTAAATGAAATGTCATTAATTATAGATCTTAAATAATCAAAAATTCTACATGGAATTTCCTCTTAGAAATTAGTTTCAACTATAATTAATGGAAGGTACCCTATTCAACTTATATATCTTTAGAACTATATTATATTCTTATAATATTTAAAATAATCAATACAAATTTGTTACTGTTTTAAGTACAGAAAGAAAAGCATCTTTAATGATGGATGAATAAGATACTGCTCAATTTCAATAACTAGAACAACCTGAAAAACCCATTATCTAAGATTCTCCTTCACTTGATCCAAATGTCTATAAACGTTTACAATTAGCTAAATAAGCCAGATAAATGTAATATTATATTTTATTCCAAGAAAAGAACTCAACATTAAAGAATTTTTAACTACCTAATCATAAATGTTGCCTTCCTTGACATTTCTTGCTGATCGAGTTATTGATGTTTTTAAATAAGATCTAAATGAATAAAACAAAAATTAATTATATGGATACGATATACATCAAGAAGAATCAATATCTAATCAAAATAAGACTTCCTTATAATTACATCAATTAAAGAAATTGTTTAAATGATAATATCTGTTAATATCAACCTAGTCATTTAAAATTTTAAATATCATTTATTTTTTTAATCTTTCTCTCTCTCTTTATTATATCTTATTGCAAATATTCATTCTAGTTTTTTAAATTTGATAATTTCCAATTCTAAAAAAATTATAAATTATATTTCTACATCTAAGGCTCATATAAAATTAATTTGTTTTCTAATAGTGTTTTTAACTGTTTTTAATAATTTTGGTGTTTCTAAATTATGTTAGATTTACAGATTTACTAAGAACTTTTAAAACAATTTTATGGTTTTAATTTTATTTCCTTTTTAAGAATAAAATCGATTTATTCTTTAATCTTATATTTAATTATTTATTAATAATTATAAATAATTTATCCATTATTATAAATTATTAAAAAAAATAATATCAGTGATAGAATAAGAAGGGTTTAATAGGATTAAAAATTCATTTGTTTCATATTAATAGACTGAATATTTATTAGAATTAAATAGAGAAACTAATCCAATTTTCTTCTTATTTCTCTTTTCTACCTTAGCATTCTTGTTAATGAGAAGATAATATAAAAAAATAACATTTTCAACTAATCATGATGAAGTTTGATTAAATATTTTAGATTCATTTTTTCTGTTTTCAGAAATTGCTGATATTGTCTATCCCAATACATGAACTTTAGAGGATTAAGATTTTCATTGATATATTAATTTTGGGAAGAAGTTAATTTATTTTTTTATTTTTTGTAGGAAAGATTTTTTTTAGAAATATATTTTTTGGATCTTTTATTGAAACTATGGATTAAAGAATGAACTTTATTAGAAAAGTAATATCATAAATAATATATGTGTTACAAAGACTACTTAAGTTCATTTTGATATTGTAATTTCAATTTCTAAGACTTCTTCATTATCAATAACATTAAAATTGCTATTTAAGTTGTCTCTATATGTAACTTAAATCTATTGCATATAATATTTTGCTAAATAGTTCTATAAAACCTTTTCGTAAATTTGTGGATTTAAATCCAGTTTCATATTTTCAATACCATTGGATTAGACATTTAATTTATAGGGAAGCAATTATTCATGATATAAGATACCACCAGATTGAGTGTAATCAAAATTATTGGAAATTTTAATTTGTTACTCTGTCACAGTAAATCCATTGAAACGTTATTAATTTTTTATTTCAGCATTTAAACTAAAATTCATAAATTTATGTTGGTTCAAATCAACTTTCATTTAGGCAAAATTAGCCTTAATCTTGAAATAATTTCAAAAATAGAATTACTTTTTAAGGAATTCTTAAAAATTAAGAATTTTTAGGAATTGTCTGATTATTATAGTAACTAAGTATTTCTTCTAAGTTTTCAATTTCAAATTAATCTCCTAATGTTAAACAAACTTATTATTCTTTATTAAAAGAAGTATATATTTTAGAATTCTTGAAGTGATATTAAACAGTGTTTAAAAGATTTTAGAAATGTCTCCTTTTATAATTTATTAATTTTAATACTTCAACCCATATGCAATTCCTATTAGGTACCAGTTATCATCATTTATTTCATATACTACATCACTTTAACATAATTAACATAAATGAATTGTATAGTTATTTTCATCACATTCTTTAATTTCTTATTTAATGGCTTCAAATAAATCTTAAGATTATAAGGACATCTTATTTTATTATTATTCTAATTATTAAAAATATAATTACTTTCAGTCAATTAAAAGAAATTGATATCTGAATTTTTAACGTGTTTTTAATTATTTCTTAATTATTTTTATCCTTTTCTCTCTTCCTTTTCTACCTTTGAAATAATTTACTAAAATGAAAATTCTGTATCAATTTATTAATTTAATAATTATATTTATGATTACTGTTTTTGTTGATGGGCAAAATTATCATCTTTATTATTTTTATTCTCTAAATCAACTTAATTATTCTGTTTTATAGCCATCCTATACTTTTATTTGTTGATTAACTATTAATTTTATAATTCAATCAACTATTATTATTATTTTAACATTTCTTATTATTATTTTTATTATAATAATTTTTATTATAATTATTCTTCTTCTAATTTTCTTAATTTTTCTTCTCTTGCTTTTTATTTCTTTCTTTTTTTCTCTTTTTCTAATTATTCTTATTATTTTTTTTATGCCATAAAAATTTCAAATTATTCTTCATTATAATCAATTTCATTTTCTTCTAATTGTATAAAATTACTTTTCTATCCTTTCTAATGGGTTAAAGTTTTTTTTGGGATGGATTAATCTTATTTAGTTTCTAAATCAATTTATTCAATCTTAATAGTATCATTTATTTTCATATCTTATTGCAATTGAGAAATGGAATGCAATTTATTGCCTGTAAGTATATTTGAAGAATCTTTAAATTGATTTTAAGTTGGACCTTCATTTATGATATGTGATTTTGCATTAACTAAATCCTATTCATTATTTTTTTATTTAACATCAGAAGATGAATCTGAAACATTAAATTCTACTTATTCATTTTCTTAATTTTCTTCATATTAAAGTTCTTAATCAAATGTATTAGAAGAATTTTAATTTTGTATTTCATCAACAGGAATTAAATTAGGAGTATCAATTTCTTAATTCGAAGTATCTTCTTGAAAAGGTTCTTACTTCAATTTACTTTCTTAAATATTTTCATTTACAATATCTATTTCTTTTTTCAAATCTTCCTATTGTTAATTTACTGATGAATCAATAGAATTTTGATTTAAAAATTTATCTTAACTTTGATCATTTATTTCATTTTGATCATCTATATAAATGGGTTAATCTTATTATTTAAGTTCTGTTTCCTTAAATTGATTTTAATTAATATCCTTCTCTATATATTTGATTTAAGTTTGATCATTTGAATTAGCAGATTCTTGTTTGATTAATGTATTGGAAATTAAATCATTTGAATTATCATTAATTAAAACTTCTTAGTTAATTTGAATTTAGGGATCAAATTAAATATCTTCATTTTGTAAATCAGATTATTATTAATCAGATAAATTTATTGTTGACTATTCAATAACTTATTCTTATTCATCATTTATTATTTAAGTTGTATAATCATTATGATGAAATAATTCATTACTTTTCGAATAATTAACATTATCAGATTAAGTCTTTTCTTCACTTCTATGTTATTATCTTTCATATTCACCAATATTAAATCCATTTTCTAAAGTTTCATCTTCTAATTTTATGCTACCATTATTATCTAAATTTATGACTAATGGTTCATCTGTACTTTCTTCAATTATTGTCTTTCCATTTTCAACTTCATTTTATTATTATTATTATTATTATTATTATTATTATTATTATTATTATTATTATTATTATTATTATTATTATTATTATTGCTCATTCTAATTCTCTATTTGTTTATCATCTATCTCAACATTTTCATCCTCTTTTATTGTCTCTTAAAATTATTATTCATCTTAATTAGATATAACATCTTATTCTAATTATTATTCAGTCTTTCCTGATTCAAACTATTACAATTCAGTTTATTCTTAATCAATTTATTTTTAGACTTCTTCAATTTCTTATTCTTCCTTCTGTTTTTCATTAATTAATTTTTTCTCTTAATCTTCTAATTCTTGTAATTTCTGTTCATCATCTATTTTTTTTTATTCTAATTCTTATTTAATCTCTTTTTCTTCTTCAATCATATCTTCTACTTTTCTTATCTTTTGTAATCTCTCTGCTTCTTGAACTTCTTCAAGATAATCTGATGTCTCTACATTATTTTCCATCACAGATTCTTAAGATTATGTATTTTCCACTTAATAATTATTTTAATCATCAACAATTTCTTTATTATTATCTTCTTATATAATTTAATCTGTCTATTCTTATAATTCATCTTAGTCTTATTTTATTAATTATTACTCCTTTTAATCTTATGTTTCTGTTGGATTCTATTATTCCTCTTGATAAATTTAATTATTTATTTAATCTTATTATACATTTTAAATTTATTCGACTTAAACTTATTATTCATTTTAATCTTAATTTTCTTATTGAATTTCTTAATTTACTAATTTATCACTTTATTCATCAACTTATAAAACTTAATCTTAATCTTACTATTAATCATTATTATTACTTATTTCCTCTTATAAATTTTTATTCAATTAGGATTTTTCAAGATCAGTATTAATTTATTCATTATTTTCTTTCTCCTCATAATCTTGATCATTTTTTTATATTGTTCTTTCTGATGATTCAATAATTATAGATTCATCACCTTTTTCAACAGATGATGATTCCTCTTAAATTTGAGAATCAAGATCTTAAACATTTTCTAATTCAACTTATTATTATTAAGAATTTACACCAACATCAACAGAATCCTAACTAATATTTTAATCTGAAGTTAAATTCTCTTAATGATGTTCGTTATATTATTGTTCTTATAAATCTTATTAATTTTAATCTAATTCATTTTTATCATATTGATTTTGAGTTAATTCATTTTCCTCTAATGAATTTTGATTTACTTCAAAAATTTCTTATTAATCCTAATTTTCTTCATTTTAATTTAATAAATTTTAATTTTATTCATTCTAATCTTATTAATTTTGATCTAATTCATTTTAATTCTCTACATTTAAATCTAATTCATTTTAATTATATTCATTCTAATCTTGTAAATTTTGATTTAATTGATTTGAATCTTCTTAATTTTGATCTAATTCATTTTAATCTTATAAATTTTGCTTTTATTCATTTTAGTCTTATTTATTTTGAACTTATTCATTTTACTCTTATTCATTTGAATCTTATTGATTTTGATCAGATTCATTCTAATTTTATAAATTTTGATTTAATCCATTTGGATTTTATTCATTTTAATCTTCAAAATTTTAATCTAACTCATTTTGCTCTTTTAAATTTTGATTTAATTCATTCTAATCTTATTAATTTTAATCTTATAAGTTTTGATTTAATTCATTTGAATCTTCTACATTTTGGTCTAATTAATTTTGATTTAAATTAGATTGATTTTATTAATTTTAATCTAATTAATTATCTTCTTATACATTTTAATCTAATTAATTATTACCTTCTACATTTTGATTTAATTAATCTTATGAATTTTAATCTAATTCATTTGGAAGATCTGAAGAATCATTAAAGAATGTTGATGACTCTTTTTAATCCTATTCGTTGCTTTCGTTTTCATTTTAATTTTATTCTGTTATTTCATTCTGATCCACTTATTTTAATTCTAACTCTACTTCTTATGTAGGTTTAATTAATTATTCTTAGTTTTCTAAGGTCTATTTTTCAACCTATTACTAAGCTTCTCTTTCTTTTTTTTCTTCTGCTTTTTTATTTAAAAGTTTTCTTAAGGGATTCTCAGGAACTTAATTAATTGATTTAATATTAGTTTATTGTATATTTTCTTCTTATGGTTATTATTTTTCTTAAGATTCTGGAGATTGTTTTTACTTTTATTTCTTAAATTCTTCAATCTTTTTCATTAAAGTAGTTTTGGAAACATTTTAATCTGTTTGATCTGTAATTTATTCTTAACTATTTTATTCTTATTTAATTTAAATTGCAGCTATAACTGGAGGTTATTGAGCCTATTTCTTCTTCAATTCTAATTTTTCTCTTAATGTCATTTTTTTTTCAACAGGCTCATTATTTTCTGTATTAGTTTTTATTTGATTATCAATTTTAGTTTCTACTTTTGGTTCCTCCTCTTTTATAAAGTATTTTTTAAACTTTCCTAATTTTACAGGATCAGTCTAAAGATCAGTTTCCGCAATATTTTCAATTTATGGTTCAAGTCCATCACTTAATTCTTATAAGTAAGATTAAATCTCAATTTCTTTATGTTCTGGTTCTATAATATTAACCTCCTCCTCTTTGATTATTTCATGTTTACCAGATCGCACATTTTTATAAAACTCTCTAAAAGAAACTTCATTTTTAGTATCTTCTTCATCAATCTATAAAAGAGGCTTTTATTATTTTAATTATTCAGTAGCTTTCTTATATATTAAGTCTTCTGATCCTAATTCTGATTCCTCCTTGAATTTTGGTTGCATTTAATTCAGCAAACTAAGTGCTTCAGATCTAAGAATACATACTACTAACATACCCTGCATAATTAATATAAATTAACATACATAATAGTAGGCTTGTTCTAATTGTATACATTATACGTTTTATATGACTTAATTATATAATTTATTTATTTCACATTATAAACAAAATTATTATTCAATCATTCTATTTATTTTAATTTCTAATCTATAATCAATATTCCAAAATCTTTTTATTCATCAATTATTGATAAACATTGTTCTAGTCAGAAATTTAAATACATTCTATCAATATAACAAAATATTCAGTTCCTTTATAAACTATCTCATTAAACAATCTAAAAGTATACGTAATTGATAATATCTATAAATAAAATGAATTCATATCTAAAATTATACAAATATACAAAGATCAATAATTAAGTTTATACAATTTTTAAATAGTTTTACTCCTTATAATAATTGATATCAGAGAAAAATAATTGTTAGTACTTTCTATATTTCGAGAAATGTAGCAAAATATCATAATCTTTTTTTCATTTTGAGTATTTTTTATAGGTGAATAAATTTATTCATATATCTGGCGTATAATATTGTAAAAACTTTGAGTTTAGTGGAAATAATATATTAAAATTTATTTGTAAAATTAAAATACAAGTAAAGAAAAATATACATAAAAAATAATCATATTTCTTGATTTGGTCTAAATAACACAAAGTGACATTCAGAATTATCATCATCAATATTTTCATTATCTTTTTTATACTAGATTATTAAGGGTCATCTTCTTTTTTAGCATATGAAATTATTTTATATTATTTTAGCAAATATTATGATATATAGAGACATTACATCAATTTGATTATTTTAAAGATAGAGAATCATTTCTTTTTTAGGAATATCTATAGGTTTTCATTGAACATTTTTGAATAAATTGTTTCTTATTTTATTTTTTTTGCAAATTTCTTCTAGAGAGAAAGAATTTTGTATTGAAAACAATATCTCTCTAACTTTTAATCTTATTTTAGTTTAAATTTTATTTTTATGATAAAGAATGGAATCCTTCTTATAGGTTAGATGATTGTTTTAAGATACCATACAGTGGATGGAAGTATTTGCATATTTAATTGCTTAGGTGATGATTAAGGTTTTTTTCATATCTAATAGATTATAATAATCATTTTAAGATCGATAATACATAATTTTATTTTCTTTTTATTAAATTTAATTGATAGTTAACTTCTTACCAAATTTAATCAAATGAAATGAAGGATACCAAAATAAGTTAATTTAAATAGTTTTAATCCTTTAAAATATATATATAGTAATTATTCGATAAATAGACTCTTCTAATCTTCTGAGAGTTTAGCCAAAGATAGTTAGAAGTTTTCAAATTATTATTTAGTTTGTACTACATTTTTAAAATGGAAGGTGTTTAAATGCCCATTAATAATTTGAGACAACTATCCTATATATGAATTGATGGTATGAAAGTAGATTATTTTTTGAGTTCTTTCTTTTTTGTAGTTGAATCTAAAATTTTTCTATAAATCTGAGTCAATAATAATTAGAAATTTTCATCTTTTAATATATATTCATCATGGATGGAAACATTACTTCTAACTCTTAAATACAAGCATATAATTAAGTTAAAATTTAAAGTAATTTGATAATTGTCAATAATTTTTGGATACTTTGCCTTTAGAATTAGTCTTAGAGAAATTAAGTAGTCGAAAATAATAAAATAAATATAAAACTTCATTGTATGATGAGAACTTAAAAATCAATTATTGTAACCTTATAATGTATTATAGTAAATTTATTACTTAAAGAGTCTTTAGTAAATATACAAAAATAATTCATTATAATTTGGTTACTGAGGTTGGATTCAAGCTTTTTTTTAGGATAGTTAGAACACTAAATAGAAGTTGAGATTTAATTAATTAAGATGTTTTAAATATTTTGAGAGTTTCTAATGGTTTGTTTGAATAAATCTTTTTATTATTAGATTTTTCTTTTAAATAATTGATAAAAGTAGTTTAAGAATTAGAAATGAAAATAGTTGATAAAGTATTTTTCAAGTGAAGTAAAAGTTCTTGTGATATTTAAATAGTAATTTAAAGTATGACATTAATAAAGTTGAGAAAGAAATATAAATATATTTAAATAAAATACTATATTTTCTAACATAAAAATAGTCTAAATGAGGGGAAGATTTTGAATTAAAAAAATATAAAAGATTTATTAATTAATCAATAAAATCACCAAGATGAATAACACATTAAGTGATACTCTAACTTGTTTGCCCAAAGATTTTCAAGGAACTGAATTAGGAGAGGGACAGTTAAGTGATTAACAAAAAGTGAAGTAATGTTTAGTATATAAATAACAGATTAGTGAATTTGGGCATGATGACTCCTTTGAGTAACACTTTGACATATGATTTTGAATAAATGACTTTAGACACTTCACCAAAAGAGAGTGTTGTAAATAATAAATATTGTGAAAATATTGACACCATAAATGAATAAGAAGAAAATAAATACAAATTACAAGTAGATTTAAATCATTATGATTAAAAGAAATATCAAAGTTTCAAAGTGCCTAAAGAATAAATTAGAAAATCACCTAAACGTAAGACTTGTTAACCATAACATACTTTGGCTTTTTGGGATATAAGTGAATAAAATTAAGAAACATAAATCGATTAATAATCACCCGATACAACTTAAATGAATGCCCAGACATTGAAATTTATCAAAGAACTCTGGAATTCAGATAAAAATGAGACTGAATAATTTAAAGACATTGTTGAATCAAAAATCCAATATTAAAATCAACCTTTAGTGGATTATCATAGTCCAATCTATGAACCTGATATAGAAATGGATTTATATATAACTAATTTAGTAGTAAGAATTTAAATATTAACATCATAGGATCAACTATGGGGTAATTAGATTATTAGTAGAAAATTATAAAAAATGCTTGAATCAGGTTCTAATGATTAAAAAGAATTGATTGTACAAAAATTAGAGAGAGTAACTCCTTAAATTCAAAAAGATATATTTGGTAATTATGTTGTCTAAAAAGTCTTTGAATGCAGTATTTATATATCATAATCATTATTATTAGCCAATAATACATTGTAATTCAGAATGTTTAATAAACTCAAACCTCACTTTTATGATTTATCTAAAAACACTTTCGGTTGCAGAGTCATGTAGAAATTGATAGAATACACTTATAATAGAAATGATCTCCAAAATATAGTCTTATAATAATTATAATCCAATATCAGAACTTTAATTTATGATTTGAATGGAAATTATGTNTAAATATATTTAAATAAAATACTATATTTTCTAACATAAAAATAGTCTAAATGAGGGGAAGATTTTGAATTAAAAAAATATAAAAGATTTATTAATTAATCAATAAAATCACCAAGATGAATAACACATTAAGTGATACTCTAACTTGTTTGCCCAAAGATTTTCAAGGAACTGAATTAGGAGAGGGACAGTTAAGTGATTAACAAAAAGTGAAGTAATGTTTAGTATATAAATAACAGATTAGTGAATTTGGGCATGATGACTCCTTTGAGTAACACTTTGACATATGATTTTGAATAAATGACTTTAGACACTTCACCAAAAGAGAGTGTTGTAAATAATAAATATTGTGAAAATATTGACACCATAAATGAATAAGAAGAAAATAAATACAAATTACAAGTAGATTTAAATCATTATGATTAAAAGAAATATCAAAGTTTCAAAGTGCCTAAAGAATAAATTAGAAAATCACCTAAACGTAAGACTTGTTAACCATAACATACTTTGGCTTTTTGGGATATAAGTGAATAAAATTAAGAAACATAAATCGATTAATAATCACCCGATACAACTTAAATGAATGCCCAGACATTGAAATTTATCAAAGAACTCTGGAATTCAGATAAAAATGAGACTGAATAATTTAAAGACATTGTTGAATCAAAAATCCAATATTAAAATCAACCTTTAGTGGATTATCATAGTCCAATCTATGAACCTGATATAGAAATGGATTTATATATAACTAATTTAGTAGTAAGAATTTAAATATTAACATCATAGGATCAACTATGGGGTAATTAGATTATTAGTAGAAAATTATAAAAAATGCTTGAATCAGGTTCTAATGATTAAAAAGAATTGATTGTACAAAAATTAGAGAGAGTAACTCCTTAAATTCAAAAAGATATATTTGGTAATTATGTTGTCTAAAAAGTCTTTGAATGCAGTATTTATATATCATAATCATTATTATTAGCCAATAATACATTGTAATTCAGAATGTTTAATAAACTCAAACCTCACTTTTATGATTTATCTAAAAACACTTTCGGTTGCAGAGTCATGTAGAAATTGATAGAATACACTTATAATAGAAATGATCTCCAAAATATAGTCTTATAATAATTATAATCCAATATCAGAACTTTAATTTATGATTTGAATGGAAATTATGTCATTTTCAAAATGCTCGAAACTTACGATAAATTAAAAATGGAATTCATGATTCCTATAGTTGAAGAATCTGTATTTCTTATTATCTATATCTTTAGTTCAATTACATGGCATAACAGATCTATGGTTGCAAAATTATTCATAAAATTATTTAACAGTATTCTCAACAATAAATCACCAAAATCATTAGACTATCAGTCTCAAATTACAATATCTTAAGTTAAACAGAATATGGAAATTATGTATTACAACATATTCTCTAATTTTGGATCCCAAGTTAAGAAAAAGCTTATTTAGTTCAATTAGTTTTACAACAGTTTTTTTAACTAAGCATTAATAAATATGCTAGGTATACTTAAAATCTATGATTACCAGTAACACTGTTGAACGAGCATTGGAGGCTTTGGGAAAGCAAGAATTAATTTCTATTATGAAATGGCTACTTTGTAGAAGTCCTAATCAATAGTAGAATATTTATAATAATTTTAATAGCACTAGTAATTTCGTAGTATTAGCTAATCACCAATATGCAAATTATGTAATAAAGAAATTCTTAGTGCTTAGCGATCATAATGTATTAAAATTTATTTCAGATCATTTGTATTAGAATCAATCTGAATAAACAGCAATCAAATCTACTGTCCATGGTATTGATAATATGTTATTTTAGGTTAAAGAATAAAGAGCTTCTTAGAAAAGCAAATTTAACATTGGGCTTGATTGCCAAATAGCTTAGCCATTTTCAATGAATAAATTTAAAGAATAAAATAATATTATTTTCATTTTCTCTGCTACATGTATTAATGATTACAAGCTTAAACAAAATCAAACCTTTCTGTTTAACAATAATTTAAACATCCCTTAATAAATTCTTTACATTCATTTGAAACATGTGGTTTTGTTGGAAAACTAACATTCTCTGATTATAAAATGATCTGTAATAACATAATTAAAAAATACCTTATTTTTTAGAATATTTTCTTGACTATATCCTTATCCGAATGGTTTTACTCCATAAAGCATTTCATAGAATATAACTCCTAAAGACCAAATATCTACCTTATTAGAAATATTAGGTAATTATTCTCCAATATGAAAACATTCTGGAGGTAAATACCAATAAGTACCAACACCTTATGAAGTCAATTCCGTTTTTGATTTATCATTATCAACTACCTTACATAATCCAAAATCTGATAATTTGATTTCATTTTGATGAAATAATATATTTTATGGCTTGATATCATAATGAATTATATTATTCTAATGAATATATCTAATAGCATTAAGCATCTATTAAATAATTAATTTGGCTTCCTTTTCTTGAAAGTATTTATATCTTTTGATATAGATGGATAAATCACATCCATCACAATATTCAAGAACTGTACAAAATGTATTCAAATCAATTTCAACTGAATCATATAATCTAACTATATTGGGATGTAACAATTCTTTATGAACTTTATACTCTCTTGTAGCATACTTAACATAATTTGATTTTGAAATAGTTGACCAATCTGGATTTAATTAATGAATCTTACAAGCAACATACTTTAATTCTTTTAAATCATATCCCTTAATTTAATTATGAATAATACTTTATAGACTTCACTAAAACCACCTTTGCCTAATAATTAAAGTAATACATATCTTTCTCCTATAGTTCGATATTCATTAATCTTCTTAAATCGAGCACGTTTTTCATCATATTACCTCCTTAATTATTTTAAAAAGATTTGTTTCTCATTTTCTAAACGGCATAATTATTCTTATAATTATTATTCTTCTTTTAATAGTAATATATATTTCAGATATTAAGATGAAGATTGAAATTGAAATTATTTCTTTTTACTTTCTATATCCTCTTTTTAATTTACAATCATTTTAAGTTTCTCTTTTAATTATTTAATTTCTTTTCCATCCATCCATACTTCTTAAATTTAAGTCTTTTCTCTTTGATAAGAATATTCTCCTAATCTCTCTTTATTCTTCTCAATCTCTTATTCAATTTATACTCTCTCAAATTAATCCAATCCTATTACAAACTATTTTACTACATTTTCATTTTTAAATTATTAATCCTTCTATTCCTTTTATTTATATAATTATATAATTATACTTATAATTCTTAATTTAATTCATTTACTCTTGTTTCTAATTCCTTTATTCTGATATCTTAAATTGCTATTGTATTTAATTTCTATTTCAATATTTAATCAGCATTTTATTATTCATTTTCATTTAAATCAAAATTTATATTATAATTTTATTTCTTCTAATCACTTTTTGTAAACTTTGTAATTTGTAATTATCGAAAGAGTGTTTGATCACTAGAACTCTTACGAGGAGTTCCTTATAAAGATTATTATTTGATTGATAATTTATGATCTTTTTAAGAAGAAAAAACCTCAAAAGAATTTCCTTTTTAAAAAGCCTCTAAAATTTCAATTTTAGGTTTTTTTAGAATACGAGCTTCCAAATCTGCTAATCTATCCTAATAATTAGATGGCAATTAGTTAATTTACATTAATAAGGAATAAAGTAAGAAAATTAAAAAATAGATTAAATGAAATGAAATGTTTAATAAAAATTTAAAGGATAAAAAATAATAAAATTCATACAGCCATTTTCATATCAATTTTATCATGTGGATTATATCCAATTAATTAAAAATCATCATAAGTATAATCAAAGAATCCTTTATTAGTTTTAATTTTAAGAATTGGAAAAGGATAAGGAATTCTTTAAATTTATCCTTTTAAAGCATCTAAATGATTACTATAAATATGTGTATCTCCTAAGACATGAATAAATTCTCCTAATTTTAAATTACATTCTTTTGCTAACATATAAGTTAATAAAGCATAACTAGCAATATTGAAAGGTATTCCTAAACCAAAATCACATGATCTTTAATACATAAGACAACTTAATTTTCCATTAGCAACATAAAATTATGACATAACATGACATGGTGGTAATGCCATTTATTTTAAATCACTTGGATTCCAAGCTGATAATATAATTCTTCTACTATCTGGATTATTTTTAAGTTATTAAATAATATCTTTTATTTAATCTACACCTTGATTATTATAATCACTCTGACACTCTTTATATTTTGCACCAAAATGTCTCCATTAAAATCCATACACAGGTCCTAAATCATGTTCCTATCTATTTTATAATCCTATACTATTCAAATATTCTCTAGTTCCATTACCTTCCCAAATCTTTATTTTTTTATCTAACAATTATCTTCCATCAGTATTCCCTCTTAAAAACCATAATAACTCTTCTACCACTCCACGAAAGAATACTTTCTTTGTTGTCAATAATGGAAAAGACTCTTCTAAATCAAATCTCATTGTTTATCCGAATATTGATATTGTACCTACTCCTGTTCTATCATCTTTCTATACACCTTCCCTCATTATCTTTTTAATCATATCTAAATATTAATTCTCTTAATGTTCTTCATCTATATATGATTATTATTCATCACTATTCTTATTTATTAAATGTTAATAATCATAATTGATTCCATTTTCACTTTTAGTTTTACTAGTTTTTTTAACTTTAAATTAAGTAAATATATTCTTATCTAAATAAACATCACATTTAGTATCTACACCAATTCTAGTTAAATGTACATCTGAACAGTTATCTGTTGTTAAACCTTCTTCGAAAATTCTCTTTCCTCCTATTAAATACATCTTCTAATTTGATGAATTATAATATTATAATGCATCATCTAATCTTGGAAATACCTGAATATTATTTTCTTATTTCATATTCTTTGATATTACTACATTCACTCTGTTAGGTAAAGGTTTAGAATTCATTGATTCAAATGTTTTTCTTCCCATTATCACTATACCACCAGTTGTAATTTTCTTAAATCTCTGAAGATCCTCTTTTAATTTCCAAGGTAATCTATTTTAATAACCAATTCCTCCATTGAGTGTCATTGCTAAAACCATACTAAATGTTTTATTGGTTGACATTTAATTCCCTCCCTTGTTATTATTTAAAATATGTAATTTATTAATAAATAGTAATTATTTTCAATTATCTATATGATTTCAAAATATAATTTTATGTATAAATAAATTGATTATCTTTAAGGATGGGATATAGAATAATCTGTAGATTCTGATGAAGATTAAAAAAAATAACATACTTAAGTAACAAACATAACAAAAACTTAACCATCTGACAGATTGTGTTTTAAAAAGTTATTCTTAAAAAGTCCTTAACTTTCACCTATTAAAGTAAATCCTCCAAAACATTAAACAACTCCATTAAGAGAATCTATAAAATAGAAATTTAGTTTTGTGAATCAATTAATCAATAAGAAATAAGAGATAGAAAAGGTAGATGATTTTGAGAATGAATAATCTTATAAAGCAATTAATATAAATGGAAAAATGTAATAACCAATAAATGTTGCTCATTTAAGAATAAAATTGAATGCAATTCCTAAATAATCATAACACACAAAAGCATATACTTAGAATTAATTGTAGGCAATAATGTAATTGAAACGCAAGAATTTATATTTGAAATCAGTACTCAAAAAGGTATTGTTTTTTAAATTATTAAAAGGTTTGTCATGAAAGTGATGAAAGATATTCAAATCATTAAAAAGCAAATTAATAGGATATATTTTTAGGTTACAGATATTTAGATGAAGATATCCATAAATTACATAGTCCGAGTAATAGTATAAATATATAGTAAAATATATATTAAAATATTGTAGATCATAAAAATCTCGAAAGAATAGTGATAGAAGAGCTATTAAGGAAAAGTATAAATTTTGATAAACTTTCTTTTTCTTTTTAATATTTGATTAAAGAAATAAAATATAAATAAATTTATTTGAAATGGTAAAGAAGGAGAAGGGAAAAGCAAATTCATTAGGAGAAATAAGCAGAGATTATACAATAAATTTACATAAGGGTATTCATAAAGAAACATTTAAGAGAAAAGCTCCAAGAGCAGTGTCATATATAGTAGATTTTGGTTTGAAAATGAGTTGATTTGTGAGCTAGAAAGAATATGTTAACAGAAGATGTTAGAATAGATCCTTCTTTAAATAAAGCTGTTTGGGCAAGAGGGATAAGAAATTTACCAAGAAGAATTAGAGTTCGATTACTTAGAAAGAAAAAGGAAGAAGATGATGGAAAAGATAAATATTATACACTTGCATAACATGTTCCTGTTGATTCATTTGATGGTTTAAAAACAGAAATTATCAAGTCATGATGATCATAATATATTAATATTAATATTAAAATATAACAATCAGTTAATGCTAAATAAAAGTTCAAACTCATCTCCCCTATGTTAATTATGCAAAATGACTGCATCAAATCCTATCTAATTAATATGTTCACACTCTATGTGTATGAAATGTGGTGTCAACATATAAATCTAAGAAAATACTAGGTATCTATTTCAATTCATAAATAGTCAAATCTAAAATAAATTTAGAATATAATGTCCTAAATGTCGTAAATTGACTCATACTTATGATATCAAAAATTTATTAATAGAAAATAATGAATTATATCTAATTACTGATTCAAGTGAAATGGAAAAAGAAATATTAAATGAAGTAAGTTTCATATTCAATCTAGAGTCAATTCTCATTATAAAAAAATTAATAAGATGCTATCTTGGGGAGAAGACAATCTAATGCATATTAAATTTCAGAATTATCATAACCAATTAATAAAAATGCATAAAAAATAGGTGAAATATTAACTGTATAAACTACACATAACAATCCCTAAAATGCCTTTAATCATACCTAATTTAATAAAAAGAAACCAAATATAGGAACTGACAGAATCTCTCCTACTAAATAGTTATCTAAACCAATCTAATCAAATCATTAAAAAAAGTAATCTTATTAAATTCCTTAATAAGAAGTTCCTATTGAATGTATTTAATTTAATATTTTCAAGGCAAGGCTAAAACCTAAGCAAATACATCAAATATTTAATAAAATAAAATTAATGATTTCTTTAAACCCAATTCAAATACACCTGTTGCTACACCAACTACTATTACATAATAATTGCTCTTTTAATAAACTGATAATAAAAAACCTATCTAATAATAAGTCATCTAATAATCAACTTTATATTAATAACAATAATAACAATATTAATAATAATTATAATAGTAAAGTAAAACTGATAAAGTATATGAAAATAAACAATATTATCCAGAAGAAAAGAAATTATCAACTCCTAAATATAGTGAAATGATTAAAGAAAAAGAGAATCAATTTTTAAAAGAGATCTCTAAAGATAGTTCAAATACATCTAAAGAAATATCTGATAATTCTAGACATAAAAGAAGTTCTACTGGTCTTATTTAAGAAACAGAAGAATAAGCATCTGTCTAAATAATTTAATCATACTTTAAAATGGTTTAAAAAAATGTTTTAAAACTAGAAAAGGATGTAGTTGCAGCTGTAAATAATAAATAAGTAGATCCTTAAAGTATCTACTAAAAACTTAAATTATTAACTACAAGAATTGGTGATAATGAAGGAGAACTCATTTAATCAGTAAAAGTCATGCAAAAATTACATTAAGAAATTATAGGACTTTCGACTCCCTCCTAACATAGAAAAACTAGTTCTCACTAAAATACAAGTCATAGATATACTAATACAAGTAGTTATGTGAAAAATATTGAAAAAAGTGATTAAAGTATTGGAGCCATGCCTTAAGAATTAAAAATATATAAAAAGTTTTTATGATTTCTATTTATATATATTACAATCAAGCGTCTAGTTTAAAATGTTTTATTTCACATGGATCATTAATCTCAATAGCTGCTCTCTATGATTATCTTATAAATTCTTTTACTGATTTTTCATTTCTTCCATATTTAAAAAGACTCTACATTTACTATTTATTAATTACTTTTAGATATAAATCTATTTAATTTTTTCTCTTTAACACAAATGATTAATCTAAATTTCCGAAAAACCTCTTTTCAGGAAACTTTTCCAATCGTTAAACTATAGACTTATTTAGTTTACTATTTAACTCCTCAAGTAAACTATATCTTGTTTAAAATACCCAATAAAGAGATCCATATATCACTTTTATTTAGTATAATGTAAATTGTTTTTCTATTATTTTGTAATTTTTAACCTCAACTTAAAAGTCACTATTCTATTGATATATTCTAATATTACTTATTACTCATATTATTTACTATTTAAGTCTTTCTTGACTTTTTATTTATTTTATCTATTTAAGAAGCTCATTATAGGTAAATTTGAATTAGTTTCATTCACTATTTCATTTTCATTTTTAGTAAATTGATCTTCAGTTCTTATAGCCATTTTTTATGGTTTATTTAAAGAGGTATAATGAAAAAGTTAGACAGATCTAAACTTTTATTTTTAATAATAAAATTATTAGTAGGCAGAATTTTTTCTTAAATCACACTTAATTACAAAATACGATAAATTATTATATTAATAAATTTATTGATTTATAATTTTTTTTTTTAATCAGTGTGCATAAAATAATTCTATTTAAATATTGTAAAAAAAAACTTAAAAGAGAAAACCGAGTACTACCAAAAGAATGAATATTTATGAACAAGTATTATTTATAAATTTAATTATTCAATCCTTTCTTTTTTTTAATCAATTATATTTTATAATAAAATATTTAAAAACAATTTTTGTTTGCTCATTATGAGTCAGAAAAGACTTGTGCTATAAAATTAAGTGAAATTATAATAATAAAATATATTAAATTTTATTAGTATAAATACTATTTAGGTTACATAAAATTCAAATTAAGTTTGTAACTCAAACAATTTATTTCTAACTTTAATGCCCTTCAATTTAAATCTTCTTACTTGTTATATCAAAATATTTTATAATTTGATCATGAAGAATTTAGAATTTCTATATATCTCGGCCTTATTATTCATGAATAATAGTAAATTTTTCAAATTTAAATTGATCTTATTATACATATAGTTTTGATTTCTTGTAATTATTCGATTTACTAGATAACATGGTTTTATATAAATTTTATTCCTTTATCATAATTCTTTAAATATTTCAATTTCTTATCATGATAAATCTATATCATTTTTAATGTAATGAATGTACTTTCCAAAAATATTTTCATTTTTGCTAATATAATTTTGATAATTAAACAATTTTAAAATAATATGGACTAAAAATTTCAATTAGGATCATTAATTTTAATTCAAGTTTTAAAATCGTGAGCAAATAAAAAAGTGAAAGAAATATGATTTCTAATAAAATGATTAGCAGCTCTCGTTATAGTGGTTTGAATTTATAATTATTGTTTTAAAATAAATTATTATTAAATAGGAATGCTATCTAATTATCAAGTTTAAAAATAAGAATCTATAAGTATTTAAAAAATATCATTGATAATAGAGTAATAATGCAGCTATTTGGATTAATGATGTTATTTTTTATAGATAAATTAGATTGAATAATTTTAATAATTTATTGTATTATATAATCTAAGAACCTTTAAATCAAGATTAAACAGTATTAAATACATCAACAACAAAAATATCTAACTTATATAATATATTTAAGTGGTTATTATATATTGGTTTTTTATTGTATTTAATTGTTATAAACTTGCTTGAAAATATTGTGTTCAAAAATTAAATGTTACACTTCCGAAATTTACCTACAATATATAAAAATGATATGGAAAACTATTAAATCCGTCGTTTTGAAAAAGCTACTCGTTTTAGAATGATAAATTAGAGTGTAACGAGTAGAAAAAAAATGAATCGCATATAACCTTAATTATTAATGAGTGCTTAAAAAAAATATTTTATTGAACTAGCCTAATTGAATGAAAGAAAAGGGAAATATTTATTGTAATAATTGAATAATAATAAAGTAGATTCAAATATAATAAAAGAGGAAAGAGTTCATAGTCTAGTAAGGAAGGAACTTTGAATGCTGCAGCTTAATTAATAATGGTTTCATTACCTTACTTTTGTTCAAATTACAATCGATAAAGATAAATTATAAAGAAATGGAAATAGATAATGTGGGCTGTTAGGATAATAATAAGATACAAAAATTTATTGAGCAACATGCAGTTCTTTTAACTTCTCAATAGATTACCAAGAAGGCGTAAGGTATCATCACCAACATCAGTTTAACGTAGCCCAAGAAAAAGAAGGTTAGGAGTTTAATCAGTCGAAAATAATTTTACTCTTGCTACTAAAGGTTATGGAGATGAAACCAATTCAAGCAAAACATCAAGGAAATTAAAAAATTAATTGCAAGATAATTACCTGAAATCTACCTACTATTAGGATTTCAAATAAAAAGATTCAAGATTAGCAAGATTAAGAACAAATAGTTTAAACTAATTACAAATTTCTTAATAAAGTTAACAAATATCAACTTCCAGGACTTTCTCAGTGATGATTAGAAAGTTCAGATTGAAAAAATTATGATTAAACTTTTATATTATACACAAGATCATTCAATTGGTGGCCATTTAGACTTTATTAACTGATGATAAGCTTCTTAAACAAAATCTAGACATTCTTAAAGTAGAAATCTTATTTTTTAATATATAATTACTATTTATCTTTTGACCATTTCTTAAGTAGATCATTCTTACTATTAATCTCATTAAACATTAATGCTTTTATTATTTTTTATGAATATGGTTACATATTTGATTCCCTAATATCTGATATTTTATATTTATAATATTTTTAAAGTATTTGATAAAATTACAATACCTCTCCTGAGTATAAAGCTCTAGCGAATTTTGAATAAAATCCAAATTAATCTTTAGGAAATGGTATCTAATTTTTTATTATTAATACTAATTACTTCTATATTCTCTAAAACCCAAGAGTTTTCTATTACAGCACTACCCTTACACATCATTCTATCATTTTTTGAATCATAATATTCACTATTTTCATAAATTGTAAGCTTCTTTTGTAAACTAGATCGAGTGTCCAATTCATATAAGAGAGATTTATTAGGTACTTCCGTTAGATTTACCATATATACTTTAGGATTTGTAATTGATGAAACCTAATCTCCAAAAGTTAAGAGTTAACAATATGAGATATATTCGCAATTTTATTTTCCATAATAAATACTTGTTGGATGTATATGTACTTGTTCAAATTCTCTGGTTGTATAATAATAACGATTGACATTTCTTTCAGGATCTAATTTACATTACAATTTTGCTATTTTGTGTAAACCGTTAGTTTGAATTAATAATTCAGCTAATATCAATTAAGCTTCTCTTGAAGGTCTTTAATAAGATTTTATTGAAGATACACATTAAGTTATTATTGTTTTGTCTTCAATAATAAAATTTAAAATTTCCAGAATCTATAATAAATTATAATAAATTTCTTTAAAAGATTTACTGATAAGATGATATTAAAAGGCCAATTAATTTATTTAATATTAAATATCTTGATCATCTTTAATCTAAGATATTGTAGTTCCAACAATATTCATTATGTATATTAGATCACTTATTTTATATCCTTCACCATGTTTTTCAATAAAGGATTTAAGATTTTTATAAGATTAGAATTGATCTTTAATTTGTTATTCTTATTGCTTTTATTCAAACTCTAATTGTTTAATTTCATCTTAATCATTATCATCAGCTTAAAGTTAAGTGTGAACCTAGAATACTGATTTATTGATGATTTCTTCAACACTCAAAATGCAAACAAGTAAAATTCCATACGATAATAAATTTCTTATTCTTGTTTATAAGAGAAATTTACCATATTTAGGACTTAATGGAATTTAAGATAAGATAATACCTAATTGTGTAATATTAGAATTATCAGAAGTAGCTTCTTATTTTTATTTCATAGCTCCTAACTTGATTAAATTAATTAAACTTTCTTTGATTGATTTAATTTCAGGACTAGTTAAATAAGGGAATTTATAAACATCTTTTATGCCTATACTTTTCATTTGTAAGATTACGTGATCCAAACTGATTTAAGTAATTTCAGGATTATCAAATTTTTAAAATTAATTAGAATATACAGCAGTAGAATATAATCTATAACAGTATCCAGGACCAGTTCTACCAGCTCTTCCACTTCTTTAATCTGCAGCAGCTTATGATATCCATCCAATCACATGTTTTTCTAATCCAATTTTAGAATCTGTTATTTTTCTTTTTTATTTTCCAGCATCAACTACATAACGTATTGTAGGTATAGTAATAGAAGTTTCAGCAACATTAGTAGCTATTACAAACATTCTTTTTTTAGTTGGGTTATTATGAAATATAATTTCTTGATTTTTAAGATCTAATTTAGAATATAACGGAACAACAATAAAATCTGACAGATTTTATTCTATTTTAAATACATTATTTTATGTCATTTATGCTGTTCCTATTAAATTTTTTAATTCTAAATAGTCAGCCTTATCATTTTATTCTTCTTCAAATTATTATTATTACTACTATAATTATTCTTATTCATCTTCTAATTTATTCATTTATTATTATTATTAACTTTCTTCTTCACTATTTGATTATTATTCATCAATATTTAAATTTCTCTTCCCTTAATTTAATTTATCATTTAATCTGCTACAACATTAATGAATTTCTTTTTATCCAGTTAGAAATACTAGAACATCTCCAGGTGGTAATGTCTAATGAATTTTTAGACACTTTTCAATGGCTGCCTAAACGTAATCTTCTTTAGTCCTATAATCATTACAGGTACTTACACTTTATTGAAATATATTTGTACTGGAAATTAACGAGTTTAAATTTTAATTAAATTGAGAGCTCTTGGAAATACTAATTTATTATCTAAGAAATCATCCAATCTTAATGTTGCACTCATAATAACTAATCTTAATGGTTTATTAATCTTGGCTCTTGCAATTACAACTCTCGATAAGACTCCAATCAGTAAGTCTATATTAACCTTTCTTTCATGAGCTTCATCAATGATAATTACAGAATACTAAGGTACCATAACACTTGTTTACATTTCATTTATTAAGATACCATCAGTCATAAACTAGAATTAATATATAAAAATTACTTTCATTTTCATTTGATCAACATCAATACCACTACATTCATGTTTAACTTGATATGCAATTTCTTTACCCATGGTAAATCCTGTTTCATCTCTAACTCTTTATGCTAATGAAATAGCAGCTAATCTTCTTGGTTATGTAATAGCAATTGCTCCAAATTCAGTGAATCCTGCTTCATAAAGAAATTAAGGAATTTAGGTACTTTTACCACAACCTGTTTCTCCTGATATTAAAGTAATAAGGTTGCCTTTGATTGCATCTATAATATCATTTTCTTATGTTAAAATTGGTAATTAGGCTCTCTGTTTAATTATATTTTCATCTCTATTGATTGATTGATTTTTAAATGAATTTATATCAGTAAGTAAAGAATCATAATTAGTAATAGATGAGGGATCAATATCGTAAATATCATCCTTTTCAGGATCATATTCTGATATTAATTCTCTTGGTTGCATCTAAACTTATCCTTTTGGTATTCTTTTTTAATCAAATGATTCTAAACTAATATCTGGAAATAATTATTTGGCCATAATTTCTAATCTTTCTGTTTCTGACATTTTGTAATGAGATTCATGACATTTAATTTCAATTGGATTTTCATTTTCATATATAGCTGTTTGAAATATATTCACTTATTATTTTTCATCATTTTCTAATTAAGATTCCTCTTAATCTTTTGATACTATTTCTTCTTCAATTTAAATCGCTGCAGAATGTTTACGCTCTCTTTTGCTACTTGTGGCATTCTTGATACTATTTAGTTAATTCATCTGTTCTTATGTAAGTTATGATTTAGCCAATGTTGCTAAGAGTTATTGTCTCTTAGCTTCTTTTTCTTTCTTCTCTTATAATTTCTTATCTTTCTTATTCATATATTAAATAATTAAAAAAATGAAGAATTCGATTGGCCAAAGAAATATTATACAAAATTATGGTGTTGATTTAAGTTTTTATCGTGTAAAATAAAATCAATCAATACTAACTACTCGTCATTCAAAATTACCATCATTCAATAATCCAATTCATATTTCAACTCCAACATCTCCTAAAGAATAATAAAAAATGTGGAAAACAAATCTTTGCTTTTAAAATGAAAGCTCTTTCAGTCATTCTAGAAAAAGATAAGATGAGTTCTCCAGTAATAAAAATAGTGTTAGTCCATAATTAAGTAAACTACCTCGCAAATCATATCAGATATAGTTAGATTAGTAAACGAAGATTTTTCAAGCTTCAAAATTATAAGAAAAAAGTAGCTAAAGAAATTCAAACTATTCCAGGCCTAACTCAAGATTGTTTGAAGAATAGTATTCTTTAAGAATCCCAACTAATGATATTGAAATTGGAAGGGGTAATTTTAAATTTCATTTTGTCCTTGGAAAAGGAGGATTTGGTAAGGTTTGGAGAGTTGAGATGATCAAAACACATAAATTATTTGCTATGAAAGAGATGAGTAAAGCCAAGTAAGTCTTAATTTTCCTAATAGGGTTTTGGCCAAAAAATCTGTCAATTCAGTGATGAATGAACGAACTCTTCTTACATAACTTAAACATCCTTTTATTGCAAATATTCATTATGCATTTCAAGATAGAGAAAACTTGTATTTAGTTATGGATTTATTAACAGGTGGAGATCTTAGATATCATATTGGTAAAATGCGTAAATTTTCAGAACAACATACTAGTACGATACTTTATTTTAATATTTTATAGAGTTTGTAATTGCAAGTATGCTTGTAGCTTTAGAATATCTTCATAAAAATGGAATAATTCATCGAGATATTAAACCTGAGAATATTGTTCTGGATAAGAAAGGATATCCAAGATTAACAGATTTTGGAATAGCTAGGGTTATAAAACCAGAAAATTCATAAGAAACAAGTGGAACTCCTGGTTATATGGGTATTTATTGTTAGTTAAATGTTAGCTCCAGAAGTGATGTTTAGATAAAATCATAGTTTTGGAGTTGATCATTTTGCATTAGGAGTAATGGCTTATGAATTTATGATGGGTAAGAGACCATATTTAGGTAAAACACGCAAAGATATCAGGGATGCTATTATTGCAAAATAGGTTTCTCTCAAAAAACATGAAATACCTTAAAATTGGTCTTGGGAAGCAGCTGATTTTATTAATCAATTGTTATAAAGAAAACCATAATCTCGTTTAGGTTTTGGTGGGATTGAAGAAATATAAACTCATCCATGGTTTTCAGGATTTCCATGGAAAGGATTAAATGAAAAATAATTGCCATCTCCATTTAAACTAATGAAATCATCAGATGAAGATTTTATACGAGAAATTTCTTCTGATAATGATTCATAGGATGAATTGATTTAGGAAAATTTACTATTACTTAGATAGGAAACAATTTAAAATCTTTTTCAAAATTATCCATACATTAAAGAACCATAAGTAACAATAAAAAGATTTTGATTAAAAAAAAATATACTTATTATAAATGCTAATATAATAATTGGTTTGTTAAATATTCTTTAATTATTTTCTAAAAATAAATTAATTATGCTATAAAACTTTGAATTATCCTTAAGATATAAAATATAAAAGTGCTAGGTTATATATATATATATTAATAATAATAAATTAACTAATAAAATTGGATTCATTTTATCGGTTTTTCATAATAACTAAGTTAAAAAATGAAAAGAATACCCAAATTCTGATGGTAATTTATATTAACCTGGTCCAGGTGATTCAACTCTGATTTTAGTTAATTCTCTTTTTGCTTTAGTGAAAACTGTAGATTTTGTATCTACAAATTTAGAACAATAATAAAGTCCTTTTGGATCAATATCACCTGTGTGTTGATATTATCCGGGTCCTGGAGTAAGTTCATGAGCAGGTGAGAAACGAGAACTTTTTGCTTTAGGTGGAGAGAGAATGATTGCACCTGAACTTATGAATTTGATAAAATAAATTACTCTCTAAACTTACTAATTTTATATTTTCCATTTTCAGTTAATGCTTCAGGCAAATTGTATTGTCCACTAATAATAGAAATAATAAATTTACGGTCCAGGTTTTCTATCTTTATCTTTCTAACTTTCAGTTCTCATTCTCATTGAATATTTAATAGGAGATTTATTATCTTAAAAATTATATTGCCCTGGTCCTGGAGTTTTTTGAATGAGACCAAGAAAGATACCTTCATATTTATTACTTTTCTTTAGTATGTTTAAATGATGTATACATCTCTGCCTACTGGCATAGTCCAGCCATTACTTATGTTAAGAGTAGTCTTCATTTAATAATTGTTAGGACCTGGTGTAATACTTTCTTAAATTAAATCTGATTTTTATCCATATCCAATTCCAGCTCCACGTTTACTCATCATACTAGGGAGTGTGTAAATATTTGGACATCTAGAAATAGGATTATGATAAATAACGCAGAATCTTTAAATTCTTTGAATCGATTAGCTTTTGGAAAAGAATATAATTATTTGGATATGGAATGATTCAAAGGTGATTTGCTTATTTATTCAAACGATGTATTCATATTAATTATTTTTTATATTATATTATATCTGTTATATCTCATTCTTCAATTTCTTCTTTCTATTGTTATTAAGTAGCTAATTTAGCTTAGCTACAGAAACATTCAAATTATTTAACTTATCTCTTAACTGAATCAAGAGATTTTTCAACTTAAATTTTTAGAGTAATCAAATCTTGAGGAATAGCAACTCTCAATTTTTCAAGTTTCTATAAAATATTATTAATATATATAGATACATTACAAAGACTGGCCAAATCATCAGTAATTGGGAATAAGTAGTCATAAAATGTTTTGCTGAAATCATTACTTTTAGTTTAGAATACTTAAATAATGACTTCAAAGAATTTATCTTAATATGGTTCAACCATTGAATAACGTCTTTCATTATTGAATCCACCCATAGATTCTGCGATTAATTTTGTAGATTCTTTATTATTTGGATCAATGAATTTCTCCCATAGAGCAGCTCTCTCTTATTCATTAGCAATTAGAGCTTAACATTTTAATTAAGCTCTAGTAGCAGCATCAGAATTATCAATTTATAACATCTTTTAAAGAATTTCTTATCTTAATTCTACATTATTATCATAGTATTTAGAAGCATAGACTAATTTGACAATTGCCCATTTATTATCTTTTGTACATTCAATTTATTTAAGTTCTTCATTTTAACCTTAGAACCAACTCAATAAATCATTGATGCATCTATTATCATAAGCAAATGATGATAAATTATTTCTCAATAATATTAATCTATTTTCTTATCCTTGCAATTTACTAACTTTAATTAATTATTTTAAAAGGAATTCAAAGACTTTTCTTCCAAGATTCTTTTTGAATCTAATACTATATAAATTATATTTTACCTTCTTGGTGTCATAGATCCAATAGCAGCTTATAAATAAAGTAATTAAGAATTCAAAATTTCATCTGAATTCTCTCTTGGTAATTATGCCAATAAGAAATCAACATACTCTTCTGAACATATTTTACCATCTCTTACACTATCAAATAAAGCTCTATAAATCAAAGTTCTTGTTAAAACATCTTCAACAGATTGTAAATTTTAACTAAAATATTTTGTAGATTCTTAATCTAAAAGTACCTTTACAAATGATTAATCCTCATAATTTAATAATACTGCTCTATATCCTTTACTTCCATTATAAGTAACAACATTTTCTTCTGTGGCTTTTAATACTGTATCAATATGATCTATACCACCATCTTCACGGAATAAACCTATTTTTATTTTATGAATTCTTAATGTAGGATATTAACTTAAAGCAGGTCTTTAATAAATTATTAATTTTGCTTCATGAGATCTAGCTGTTTAATCCCATTAAGGTTCAATTTCATTCATACCAGCAGTTTCAATCCATTATTATTTCCATTATGATAATGTAAATTCAGGATTATTGAATTTCTTTTATAAATGATCAATTAAATCTTATAAAACAGCATTCTTCCATCCAAATTCTTTAAAATATGCTCCACAAGCTTCTCCGAATTTTTCTGCACCCATTATACACATCAATTATTTCATTACTGAAGCACCTTTAGAATATGTAATTCCATCAAATATATTTTCTGCCACCTCTGTATTAATAACTTAACCAGCTATTGGATGTGTAGTTACCATTTAATCTTCTCTGTATCCCCATCCTTTTCTTTAATTAAACATTACAGGAATATTCGATAATTTAATTGATTCTATTTAAATATTTTCTAAACAAAAATGAGATATGAAATCTGCATAACTTTCATTCAACCATAAATCATTCCACCATTTCATTGTAACAAAATCTCCAAACCAATGATGAGCCATTTCATGAGTAATTGTATTTGCAAATTATGTATAACTAGTAGCTGGTTTCTTTTCTTTAAAAACATAAAAATCATTAAATGTTACACATCCAGGATTCTCCATTGCACCCCAATTATATTCATTTACAAATACAGAATCATATTTATTGAATTAATATTTAACTCCAAAGAAATTCTCATAAAATTTCATACTCTTTTTAGTTACTTCAAATATGAAATCTTTTAAAACCATCATATGATCTTTTAAACTTTCTCTACAATATATAGTCTATGGAACATCATCTTATTCTCCTTAAAATTTTACTTACCAATATTCACCTGCTACCATTGCAAACAAATATGTGGGTAACACTTTTGTTTCACCAAACACCCAAAAATTATATTAATCTGGATTCTCTAGATTTTGAAGCTAACTTAAAACAAATTCTTCAGGTTAATAAGGTTTTATTGTATTAAATGCCTATGCCTCATTATACAATCCATTTTAGTCAGCATTTTCATTTGAAATTACTACCCATTCTTTTGGACAAACTGCTGTAAATCTCAATTTAGCTTTCAAGTCTGGTTAATCCATACATGGGAAACTAATTTAATTATTTTCTAATACAATCTATTTGTGAAATAAGATTCACATTAACTATATAAATATTGTTTTCCATCCTTATCAATAAATCCATGTAATCCACATCCATCTTTAGCATAATTTTAATCAAATTATATATTCACTCTATTCTTTTAACCTGTGGTTAATTATTCTCTTGGTATTCTAATAAACAATCCATTCCATTCCAAATTTGTAATCTTCTGTCCATTTACATACAAACTCACTACTTTTTATCCTCTAAAATCAACATACAAATCATTCAAATTATGTTTAGCTACAAATTCTAATGTTACCAAACCACTATATGATTCACCTACACATCATCATATACCAATACCTTTCTTCAATAATAAATCCACCTTATAAGATATACTTCCCTCTTCTAATTGACCCCATCTTAAGAGAGCTCCTGCTTAAGTTAAAAATCGATTCTATCCAAACTCGTTTTAAGAACCTTATGGATTTATAGTTGACGATTTTGGGTTAACAATTAACTATGATTTCCTTACCTTCTCATATCGATGGTAACCAAAAAAAATTCCACTCAAACCCAATGCAACTGCTAATCCTATTTTGGCTTACTTCGAATCGGTGAGTTTCTTTAATATTTACATATTTAATTTATATTAAAAAGATATATATTAACTTGATAGCACTTATCAGAGTAAGGATGACGTATTTCTTCATTGTGAAGTATAAATATGTACTTTTTCATCATAAATATTATTTTATATATTTCTTGCTAATTAATATTATTTAGTATTTGAATAATATTTTATATAATTTTTCTCTTCATATTTCTCAAAAATATTTACTTTGCAAAAACACTTTCTCACATTTCTTCTATTCCCTTATTCCACTTCAAATTGTGTTCTAAAGAATATTTCTTTATTTATTTTTTTACATCCTTTGTAAATTTTGAATTAAAATTTAAAAATAGTATCATTTTAAACGAATTTTAAAAATCAGAATCAAATAATCATGATATATATTTACAATATAAGTACTACTATTGATTATTAGTAACATAATAATATATTATAATATGTTATTATCAAATAATTCTTATATTAATTTAAAAAATTTAGTAAAATGATAAATTAAAATAATGGCTGCATTCGAGTCATGATGTAATAAGTTAATTTATATATTTTATATTAAAATGTAATAATTTTATGACACAGATCTCTAAAGTGAACATCCACCATCTGATATTTTAAGTGAAAAAGATATTCCTAAAGAGAAGTTACATAGACAAAAAATGCTTTTCAAAAAAGAATTAATTCATATAAAAAAGGAAGTAAGATTGAGAGGGATTAGTTATGAAAAACCAGCATATTATGATAAAGTAAAAATAAAAATGATTGAAATAACTGAAGAAGATTATAATAATGGAGATGAGAAATTAATTCTAGAAAATGCAAACATAGTGGAATAAAACATATTATCTCCATAAAATGATAGATGGATTGATAAAGCATTGTAATCTATGAAAAAACAAGAGATTAGTATTTATATTCAAGAACATTTAAAGTATGATGAGAATTAAATGAAAGTGCTTGATTATAAAGTTTATACTTTGATTGAAATGATAGATTGGCAAATAATAGTCGATCTCTTTTAAGATTAAAGTTATTTAAAGTATATTTTGGAATTAGGTAGAGGTGGTGATCGATGTGAAATGCTTGATGAAATAATTTATTAAATAAAAATTTTTTAGGGTGATAAATTACTTTTTACAGATTCTCAAGATGGTCCATCACCTATAAAATTAATTAAGTCAAAGGTTGTATTTCAAATTTTGAAAACAATGAAAAATAAAGAACATTCATTATGTCATATAAAAAGTGATGCTTTTTTGCAGAATGAAAATGAAGAATTTTTATAATAAATAAATTATGATAAAGAGGATAAAGTGGATTGGAAAATAGATATACATGTAAAAACATTATTCAAAATTGATGATTTATATGGAGATGGAGTTCTAATCAAAACTATGATGTATAGAAGTAAAAATACAGCAAAACCAGAAAAAGTATCATTAATAGATTTTGATATGTGGATTTATTCGATGTCAAATGATCCTTACCCAAAAAAAGAAAATCTCTTATATTCATCTACAGATGAAGATCCTATTTATGATAGAATAGAAGCATAGAAACATAATGATGAAGATGAAGAACCTAGTAAAGGAAGTTTATCCCTTTTTATTGATGATCTAAAAGTATCAAAACTCATGAGATTAGCTCTCTTAAGAATGAAAAAAAGAGAATTGAGTATCATTAGATGTTATGATACAAAAGATCTTATTAAGAATGGAATAGATTATGAAGGAATGAAAGGAATGATTCAAAAAGAACTCATTTATGTTATATATGTTCATACATTCAGTGAAGGTAAAAATAATTTCAGTATGACAATCGACGAAAAAATAGAATAAGCTATTAGGAAGAAATAAATAGGATTAAAATGGATATCATAATAAAATTATAGAAAAGCATTAAAAGTGTTTAAAACTATCAATGCTTATTTTGATTATGGAACTTTCTCAGAGGATGACAAAGAAAAAATGAAAGAAGTATTTTAATTATATCTATATAGTTTTAAATTTCATCACTTCTAAATTCTTCTTTATGTATGATGAAACTCAAAGAATGGAAAGATATGAAAATTGTATGTGAAAAACTATACAAATTAGATAACAAAAATCAGAAGATAATCTATAGATATTGTTTAGCCCTAATGAATCTTTATGAGTATGAGGAAGCTTTGGAGATCATTACAGAAGAAAATGAAGATCTAATCAAACTTAAGAGAGAAATTAAATAGCTATATTCTTAATACAAAAATAAAGAGAAATTAATGTATTAGAAATGGTTATCTTGAATGTATNGTGATAAATTACTTTTTACAGATTCTCAAGATGGTCCATCACCTATAAAATTAATTAAGTCAAAGGTTGTATTTCAAATTTTGAAAACAATGAAAAATAAAGAACATTCATTATGTCATATAAAAAGTGATGCTTTTTTGCAGAATGAAAATGAAGAATTTTTATAATAAATAAATTATGATAAAGAGGATAAAGTGGATTGGAAAATAGATATACATGTAAAAACATTATTCAAAATTGATGATTTATATGGAGATGGAGTTCTAATCAAAACTATGATGTATAGAAGTAAAAATACAGCAAAACCAGAAAAAGTATCATTAATAGATTTTGATATGTGGATTTATTCGATGTCAAATGATCCTTACCCAAAAAAAGAAAATCTCTTATATTCATCTACAGATGAAGATCCTATTTATGATAGAATAGAAGCATAGAAACATAATGATGAAGATGAAGAACCTAGTAAAGGAAGTTTATCCCTTTTTATTGATGATCTAAAAGTATCAAAACTCATGAGATTAGCTCTCTTAAGAATGAAAAAAAGAGAATTGAGTATCATTAGATGTTATGATACAAAAGATCTTATTAAGAATGGAATAGATTATGAAGGAATGAAAGGAATGATTCAAAAAGAACTCATTTATGTTATATATGTTCATACATTCAGTGAAGGTAAAAATAATTTCAGTATGACAATCGACGAAAAAATAGAATAAGCTATTAGGAAGAAATAAATAGGATTAAAATGGATATCATAATAAAATTATAGAAAAGCATTAAAAGTGTTTAAAACTATCAATGCTTATTTTGATTATGGAACTTTCTCAGAGGATGACAAAGAAAAAATGAAAGAAGTATTTTAATTATATCTATATAGTTTTAAATTTCATCACTTCTAAATTCTTCTTTATGTATGATGAAACTCAAAGAATGGAAAGATATGAAAATTGTATGTGAAAAACTATACAAATTAGATAACAAAAATCAGAAGATAATCTATAGATATTGTTTAGCCCTAATGAATCTTTATGAGTATGAGGAAGCTTTGGAGATCATTACAGAAGAAAATGAAGATCTAATCAAACTTAAGAGAGAAATTAAATAGCTATATTCTTAATACAAAAATAAAGAGAAATTAATGTATTAGAAATGGTTATCTTGAATGTATATTATGACATTTATAAATATATTAATTAAGCTTCTAAGTTATTCTTTAAAGTATATCTTGTTAACGCATCAATATTATTTTTTAAAGACTATCTCTTTTAAGAAATAAAGGATAAAATTAAATTATAATGAATGTTTAAGTTAATAAATGTTTAAGTTCAACTGCAATTCATTCTATTTCAATAAATTTATGTTTAATGATTTATGATTTATTGCATAAATGTGGCATTCATATTATTTTCAATAGATAAAATTGGATTCCAATCTTTGCAATTGTTCAATATTGAAGTTAAATTTAAAATAACTGCAGATTATGTAAATCCTAAAGTATTTGAAATGTAAATTATGAGTATGGCATAATATCATATGAGTTTTACGCAACTTCAATCAGATCCTCAATTTTCAGGTTCGGATAGATAAATTCTGTAGTTTGTTTGAAAAACTATAGTATATGAAATTATTAACATTCATGATGTTCAGATATTAAAAATTGAGAATCTAAAATATAAATAGTGGCTTTTAAATACCATGAAGCATTTTTATGTAAGTATCTTATCAATCTGAGAAATTATTAACCCATATCTACAATTATCATTTTTTTATATTTTCTTTAGTTTCTTTAGTATAGATTAGGAAGATTCATAATCTGCAAATTTAAAGGTTTCTATGAAATTCCACATCTATCTGCCATGATTATATTCTTATGTAATCAAGATTATTTAATTTTGTTGAAGCTAATAAATTTGTTCAATTTGATAGAATACTTTAAGCATTTAATTTTAAGTTTTAAACTAATCGCCCTTTATTAACATGATTTTCATGTTTTTTTATGTAAATCTAATTATCTATCTAAAAATGAGAAAATCTTGAAAAAAATCTGGTAAATTTATTTTAAATTTGAATTAAGATACTATTTTTTGAGAATTTCAAAAATAATATTTATCCCTTACTAAATTAAAACAAAATAGGTTTAAATTTTTATATATAAGAAATTACTTATGCTGTAATAAAATTATAAATTTATTTTAGAGGTGATGTTTGTTGTGTAAATCAATAAACTTTATTGACGGTCATTTTTATTGAAATCAAAAGAATATAGTCTTAAAGATAATTTAAATTAATTTTAGTATTGATACTGATTATTACTATTTCAATAAATTGTAATAAATAATAATTTTATTAATTCAATTTCAATAATAACTTAAATTAAAATGTTAACATAATTAGATTAAAATCAATATTCAGAAGCAATTCAAAAATTGGAGTTATTTATTAGTTGCCGCTAATTAGATGACTTGGACACAACAACTGTGAGTGATCCATACGTAGTTCTTTTTTTAAAAAGTAATTAAAGCAATTGTAATAATGTGAAACTATAAAAATAGGGAGTAAGATTGGATAAACAGAATTGATCTGGAATAATTTAAATCCTAATTTTGCTACTTCTATTATTATTGATTATCATTTTGAAGTTTAATAACATCTAAAATTAGAAGTTCATCATTATGTTAATTAAAATCAATCAAAAGTATTGAAAATATCAATAAATAATAGATTATAGGGATAGCAGAGACTTCAGTAGCAGAGATAGCTGGAGCAAAAGATCAATTATTGATGACAGATTTGTTTAATTAATTAGGAAAAAAGAGTGGGAAGATAATTATAAAAGCAGATTAAGTAAAGTAATGTAACGATGATTTGGAAATTACAGTATCTGGATAGAATTTACCTGATACTAGATTTTGGTTTTGGCGTGGGGCTTGTCCATTTTTAAGATTTTATAGATTAAGAAAAGATGATTGTAATCCAATTTTAGTTTATGAAACTGAATTTATAAAGGATACATCAAATCCTTCATGGAAAACTATATAATGTAAAGCATAAAAACTTTGTAATGGAGATTATTAGATGCCCATTAAGGTAGAACTTTGGGATTATAGAACATCAGGGAAACATTTATATATAGGGGAAACAACATTTTGTATAGAGGAATTGAAAGAAGCTTTTCAATAGAGTAAGCCTTAAAAAAAAGAATTTAGAAATAAATAAAAGAATAACTAATTAGCAGGAACGATATCATTTGATAAATTCAGTTTAAAGTGCAAATATAGTTTTTTAGATTATTTAGAGGGAGGTTAATAATTAAATTTGATTGTTGCAATTGATTTTACAGCTTCAAATGGTAATCCAAAAGAAAAAAATTCATTACATTATATGCCTTAAAATGGAGATCCAAGTTAATATTTATAAGCAATAACAAGTGTAGTTGAAATCTTGATAAATTATGATTATGATAAAAAGGTGCCAGTTTATGGTTTTGGATGCAAACCAAAATTAAAGATATTAAATACAAATAAAACTTTGAATATCTTTCCATTAAATGATAATCCATCGGATCCTGAGTAAAAATAATATAAATTAATTTTAGAGTATTTGGATTAGATGGTATAATTTAATGTTATAAAAATTCTATTTAACATTTATAATTAGATGGTCCAACTTATATACATCCTGTTATATAAAAGGCAATGGAGATGGCTTAAGAGGCTAAAGATTAGGGGAGTGGAAACTATTTAATTTTAATGATTTTAACTGACGGATAAACTGATGATTTATAAGCATCAATAGATGATGTTATAGCATCTTCTTATTTACCATTATCGATCATAATTGTAGGAATAGGAAATGCAGATTTCAAGAAGATGAATATACTTGACAATGATGATAAAAATATGTTGAATAGTAAAGGTTAGAAAGCTGTAAGAGATTTGGTTCAATTTGTACCATTTAATTAATTCAAATAAGATTTAACACTTTTATCAAAAGAAGTATTGGCTGAATTGCCTGATTAATTAGTGGAATATATGGAATTGATGAAAATACCACCAAAACCTCCTACATGTAAAAAATGAGATTTATTTAAATAGATAAAAATAAACAAATTTAAATGACAGGATCTATGATGAATGTTTATCCATAGTTTTAATTTTAAAGAAGTGATTAATAGTAACAATAATATATGTCATAATTGGAAGAAAAATAAAATAATTAGATGCCTGTTAAGACAGGATTTACTAATGAAACTTTAGGATAAGGTTTGATTGAAGAAGGAATTTAGAAATAGTAATAAAAGCAAGCTTGATCTTAATATTGATAATAATATATAATTTATATTTGTATACTCTTTAAGATTGTTAGTTATATTAGTATTTGAATGTTAAAATAAAATAATAATGTTGTAAAATAATATTGATGAGAACGAAGCAAGTCTGTTATTCAAATTTATTATAATTGGAGATATTGGTATTAATGATAAAATGAATGTTATTAGCTGTTGGTAAGACATCGCTACTAAAGTAATTTGTGGAGAAACGTTTTTGTGACGACTATAATTTGACTATTGGAGTTGAATTCAATATCAAATATATTTAAGTGAATGATCATGTCATAAAATTGCAGATGTGGGATACAGTAAAAAGATGGTTAATGAAAAGTCTGGATAAGAGAGTTTTAAGAGTGTGACACGTTTGTATTACAGAGCAGCAGCTGGTGCTATCATGGTATTTGACATAACAAGAAGAGAGACTTTTGAAAACATTAGAAATTGGCATCGTGAAGCACTTGATAATGGTAATAGCCGAATGAAATTTCTACTTATTGGAAATAAGACAGACCTCTAAAATCAAAGAGAAGTATAATTTTATGAAGCAGCACAATATGCTAAAGAAAATGAATGTCTCTATACAGAATGTTCAGCATTATAAGGATCTAATGTTGAAAATGCATTCATGGAATTAGCCCATTAAATTTATTAAATGGCAATGGAAGATCCTAATTTAGTAAATGAATAATATGGCATCAAATATGTTAATAATGCTAATAGTTCAATGTCAACAAGTAAAATTGTAAGCCAGCATGCTTTACCTAAGAAATAGTTACAAAAGGTAAACTATTAATTACACTTATAGATTAATAATTCAAATACAGAAGAATTTATGGAATATTATGGAGAGTAAAATTAAACGAATTAGAAGAAGGCCTAATGTAATAATTGTTGTGCTGATATTTGAAATATACTAAAAATAAGAATACTCATAGAGAAAATTTATTTAATTATATATTTGCAATAATATTTTTATTTAACCTATAATCTCTAAATGATCAACGATAATCGAAATCCACCATTCTTTTAACAACCAAATCAAAATCAATATAATATCATACTACCTAATACTAATTAGCCAGTTATAACTTAAAGATAGACATATCCAATTTAATCTCCAACATAACCCATTGTTTAACAGCCATTGCAGTTTCAACCATAATTTCCACTTCCACCATAAGTTAATTATGTACCTTAAACTATTTAAACAAAACCAAATGTATTACCAACTGTCTACTAAGAGAAAACAACCTAAGTAATTAATATGGATGGTAACAATCTAAATTATTATTTTAGAAATCGAAGCACCTTGGAGATTAAAATGTGCAACATTAGAAAGATAAATTTTAGAATTACAAATTTCATTACGAAAAGGACCAGGCCCTACTGAACCAGATGCTATTGAAGTCATAGATGATACTAGATTAAGAGAATTAGAATCAAAAAAAGCATAATTATAATAAATGATTCAAGATAGAGATAGAGAAATATCTGAACTTGAAAATCAAATTCATTAATAATAAGAATCAATTGAAATACAAATTTAAGAAAGAACTGTTCATTATTCAAATGAAATTGAAACCTGGCAAAAAAGATATTAATAATTAGAAAGAGATTATTCATAATCATAACGATAACTCTAAGATTTACAAGAAGAATAAAAAAGATTAGAAAAATAAAATTAAGATGTTCGTGCATCCTAATAAAGAGTTGGGTAAAATAGAAATTATTGAATCCTATAGATAAATACAAAATATAAATATATATAAATCAAATAACATCATCATCTTCATCATCTATTAATTTCTATGATCTATAAGATTAATTTTAACTTAACAGTTTATTACTATATCTACTCTAACGAAATGATGTATTTCGCATTTCTGAGTGCTTCTCTACAATCATCTCTTTCATATTTTAATTTAACTATTTTATTTAATTACTTAAATCCTTATTTTCTTTTCTCAATTTCACTATTCTCTTCTCTAAAACTAAATCATTTCCATCCATTTATTCTAATTAGCTCTTTAAATTCTGATTTTCTAATTATAATGATTTTTTCTCATGTTGAAGAGAATTTATTTAAGCTGTTAATTTATTGAACTTCGATTCTAAATCGTCCAATTATTTATCACTTAATTCAACAACCTTTTCTATCATAAACTCATTTTTTTTGGCTTCAGATTATTTATCATCTAACTATTTCTGTAATCTCTAATTCTCTTGTAAGATTCGATCATATTCAATATTAGTTTGGTCCAACTACTATATTGCATTATTTAGCTAAAAAGATAATTATTTTATCTAAAATATAATTTATAATTACTTCATATTCTGCTTATTTTAATTAATTACTTTGCTGAATGTTTTATTATCTTATTTTCTCCTATTCATATAAATCATATGAACCACCTATTCTCTCTGTTGTTTCACTATGTACTCTACCTAATTATGTTTCTAATTGTTTTGAGATACCGTATAACTAATCGTTTTCTGTTTACAATTTTACTCTCTCCATCTTCATTTAACCATTCTCTTATTCAAATTATTTCATTTAAGTTTTATATTTTTTTAATTTCTCTTTGTATTTCTATAAATATTTTTCCTTCTCCTATTTTAATTATTGATTTTCTGTCTCTAATTTAACTTTTAATCTAGTGAATCTCTATTCAATTTAATTTATATCTCTAAATGACTCTTCTTATTTTTATTTATGATTGTTGACACTCTCACTTAATTCCTTATTTTTTTACTTTTCCTCTTCAATTCTTTTAGATTAATCTTCAATCACCTTATTTAATGTTTTTATATTATCCTCACTGGCAGACAATTATTATTCTCTATTCTTCAGTTCTATAGCAAAATAATCTAATTCTTAATATAATTATTTATTGCGTTCCTATTCCTACTAAATTAAACCCATAAATTCATCCTCTCTTTTTTCATAATGTTTTGCATTCTTAAATTCTTATTCTTTCAACATTTCAATATCATTTTCCAAAACTCTTATTTTTTATTTTTATAACTACGATTCTTCATTACAATATCTTAATTAATGATTCAATTATGCAACAGCTTCATTTAATTCTTCTTAATTTTGTTCATAAATATTCTCTTTTTATTTTGCTTAAGTAAATAATTGGTGTTCCATTTCCATTTGTTTTTTATTATCATCCATATGTTATTCTAATTATTATATTAAAAGATCTCTCTATCTTATAGAATCTTCCTATTAAAGAACCTTATTCTACATTCGTGAATTCTCTTCATATAAATTCTTTAAATCTTTTTCAAATCTTTAGACTCTATAAATAATATATGCATTTAAAATTACTTATAATCTTCCATAACTTCTTTTTCTTTCAATAAATCCTTCAATTCTTAAAATTATTTCGAAAAATTAGCCTCTTATCTACTTGGTTATCTATCAATTGTACTATAGATTTTAGATTAATGTAAAACTGTTTAATCTGATCCTGGTCTTAAATTTTAATCAGATCCAAATCTCATAATCTAATCAGATCCTCCTGGTCTTATAATTCTAGATGCTTAATCCTCAATCGATCCTTTTGATCCAAATTATTATGTTAAATTTTCTCTTCCTATCTATGATTTAGATTTTATTGATTAATTATCCAATTAAGATAAAGCTATTCTTTATGTTTAAGGTTTTATTGTTTATCTTAAATCTTCAGCAAATTATAAGGTCATATAAGCTGTTATATGATCTTATTATACTTAAGAAACACAAAATAAAACAGTGATATTATTGAATTTAGTTTCTCTAAATGAAAGATAAAGTTATAGTAATGATTTACTCTCTAACTCTTTCTCTTAAAAATCCTATTAAGATGCAAGCAATTATTTTAATTTTCCTTGAAAATCTTTAGCCTCTTATGTTACTCTTTTAAATTCATTAAAGAGAATCAAATGTAATTAAGCTACTTCCTGTTTATCTTATTCAATTAAATATTTAATAAAAATATGATTATTTTTTGTTTCTGGATGCTCTTTAACATATTACTTATATTAGAATAAACTTTAATTAAGCATTTTTTTAAATTCACTTCCACTTTTATTTTATGAAAATTTAACAGTTTAATTTCTAGATGACCCTACCAAATCAATCACTTCTATGTTATTTACCAAAGATATTGAAATATTTAATTTCCCCTTCCCTCTTAACTATTTTGAACTTTCAATTAAATTTAGTATGTTCTCAACTATCAATACAGCTAAACCCTTTTCTTATCCTCTTTCTTCACCTTTTATAGTGTATTTTTTTCCACTCTCAGGTCCTCCAACAATTAATAAAGAACCTGATTATCCAGTGATCAAATTATTAACTTTACTTGCCATCACCTAATCATATACCAATTATTAATTAGCCTTTTCTCCAAAAACCTAATCAAATTAAAAAAGATCAGAATTCTCAATAATAGATTATCGTTGTCTCATTATATCCGAATCATTTTTTAAATACTCAAAGATTATCTTCTAAGAAATTGCATTACGTGAACTTACAACTATAGTCTGGGGTGCTTATCATTGTACAAAATATACATTCATTTGATAATACACCAGCAAAGATATTGGTACGAACATCCTTTTTGGAGTTAACAGTGCTTGAGGATGTATTATTTGGTTATGGTCTTAAACGACAAACTAATTTCATTGATTGTTAAAATGATAAATTTAAATTTTTTTATCAACCATATTTTAACTAATTTATACAGAAATTTCAATTATAATATCGTTCATTTCTCCATACTCAAATTACATATTATTAAATAGGTAATTTAGATCTATCAGTATTTATTTATTGATATCATACTTATTTTCAACAAATATTACTCAATTTTGTAAATTCTTAAATCGAATATTTTTTTTAAATATTTAGATTATCTATTAAATACACAAAAATCAAAATCAAAATTTTATCATGCTACTAATAGGAGTTTTATTGCTTCATCTAAACTTGCACATTATGAAATTTTATTTAAGAGAAAAGTTTTTACATTTAACTCTCTTACATCATTTATTTACAACAATATTTTTAAATAATCTATTACTCCTAATAATTCCTTAAATATATGCTATTTTTACAATATCTTTTGCATTATCAATATACGGTATTATTGGTATACCATTTTCAATTTAAAAGGCATAAGAATAAGCAGCATTATCAATCAAAACAATTTCTTTTAAATCCCTATTTATTACCCGTAAATCTTTAACATAGATACCTTATTGAGTTAATATGCAATTTTCTCTATATAATCGGTGAGATACCCATTTACGAGATGGATCAAGTTTATCAATTATTTTATCGGCATATAATTAATGAGAAGCCGTAAAAATAATAATTTCAAAATGCTTTGAACATTCTTACAAAAACTATTATGCATATGGTCTAACACTTATTCCTGCCTAATTAATATACATAAACATACTTCATGAATTTATCCATTTGGCATCTAAATAGGTATTTTAAAATCAAATTTCATTTATTACTATTCATTACAATGCATTAAAGTTTCATCTAAATCTAAAACAAGAGTTTTTTAATTTTCTAAAATAGAATATTTTCTTTACTTAATTTTTACAATTGAAGCATTTTTGTTTCTAATTTATTTTAGTCTGGATACTAAATCTATTTACTTAATTGCAGACTATGAAATTGTTGAACAAAATGATTTATATACATTTAAGCATATAATCCTTCTAAATTTAATCCTTTTAAATAATTCCTTAGATTATCCATATAATATATTCCTAAATTAATCTAGTTAAACTGATTAAATTAAGATTCATCAGAAACCTGAGAATTTTCTTATAACCATTCGAATGACTCAGTTCTTTTTACTCTTAATGCTTTTAATTCTCTATTAAATTCATAAACTTGACATTAAGAATCCCCATCTTATTATTAATGATAATTTGCTTTTCTTAATTTATTTGCTCTTTATTTCTCAGAAGACTTCAATAAATCTTATGATTCCTTTTATCTCAATTAACTATTAATANACTCAATTTTGTAAATTCTTAAATCGAATATTTTTTTTAAATATTTAGATTATCTATTAAATACACAAAAATCAAAATCAAAATTTTATCATGCTACTAATAGGAGTTTTATTGCTTCATCTAAACTTGCACATTATGAAATTTTATTTAAGAGAAAAGTTTTTACATTTAACTCTCTTACATCATTTATTTACAACAATATTTTTAAATAATCTATTACTCCTAATAATTCCTTAAATATATGCTATTTTTACAATATCTTTTGCATTATCAATATACGGTATTATTGGTATACCATTTTCAATTTAAAAGGCATAAGAATAAGCAGCATTATCAATCAAAACAATTTCTTTTAAATCCCTATTTATTACCCGTAAATCTTTAACATAGATACCTTATTGAGTTAATATGCAATTTTCTCTATATAATCGGTGAGATACCCATTTACGAGATGGATCAAGTTTATCAATTATTTTATCGGCATATAATTAATGAGAAGCCGTAAAAATAATAATTTCAAAATGCTTTGAACATTCTTACAAAAACTATTATGCATATGGTCTAACACTTATTCCTGCCTAATTAATATACATAAACATACTTCATGAATTTATCCATTTGGCATCTAAATAGGTATTTTAAAATCAAATTTCATTTATTACTATTCATTACAATGCATTAAAGTTTCATCTAAATCTAAAACAAGAGTTTTTTAATTTTCTAAAATAGAATATTTTCTTTACTTAATTTTTACAATTGAAGCATTTTTGTTTCTAATTTATTTTAGTCTGGATACTAAATCTATTTACTTAATTGCAGACTATGAAATTGTTGAACAAAATGATTTATATACATTTAAGCATATAATCCTTCTAAATTTAATCCTTTTAAATAATTCCTTAGATTATCCATATAATATATTCCTAAATTAATCTAGTTAAACTGATTAAATTAAGATTCATCAGAAACCTGAGAATTTTCTTATAACCATTCGAATGACTCAGTTCTTTTTACTCTTAATGCTTTTAATTCTCTATTAAATTCATAAACTTGACATTAAGAATCCCCATCTTATTATTAATGATAATTTGCTTTTCTTAATTTATTTGCTCTTTATTTCTCAGAAGACTTCAATAAATCTTATGATTCCTTTTATCTCAATTAACTATTAATAAGAGAAGCATCTTTGATAACTCTTCTCATAGGTTATTTTTACTAAATTCCTGAATTATTAAAGAAAGGATTCTTTAAACTGCTAAATTATTTTATTGGTGATTAACACTCTATTTCCATATTTTCCTCTGAATTTTGTTAAATTATCAAATTAGGACTCTTTACTAATTATCAATAATTTTTACATACCTCTGATTCACAATTAATCCTTCCACTTCTATTAGACATTTTTGATGTGTCTCTATTTGGGAATAACAGCTTCTCTAATTATTGTTTACATTTTTACATTAATATGGATTAGCTAATCCAAGACAATCTTTCGGAATACTCCTTCCTTTTCTTTAGAAGCTGTTATCCTAAGATATTTGATTCACATTAGAAGAATTCATATAAATTTTATGAGGAGAAGGTTTACGACTGATACTTAAAATATTGTCTTTTGAAATCTCATCAGAATGGAATTTTGAATTTCTTCTTGATCTCATGAGGTAATATCACCTCTAATATTTGATATAAAATTTTATTAATAATTTTCATAGTGATTTATTTTTATTAACCTAATCATTTTCTGCAATTAATTAAAATTGTTGTAGTTATTTTTTAATTCTAGGATCCCGTATTTCGGAATCAGTTAGCTCATTATAACCTTATTTATTTTTTTGATTTTCTTGACTTATTTTGATGTTGCTTTATGATATTTAAAATTGCTCTAAATCCTTTTAAACAAAAAACCTAAAAATTAAAGTTTCAAAATCTTCATGGTCATCTGCCAATTTTGTAAAGGAGACAAGATAGGCTAAGAGTAATACTGAATATTCAAAACCTAATTATCCTTCATTAGCTATATAATTTTATGATTTGGATACATTTTAAGATCATTGAATCTTATTTATTAGCAATTTATGAAAAAGCTAACAATTAAAGTTAAAAATTTTTATTTTTATTTTATCTATTTATAATAGATTTGTAATCTTCATTTATTCTATCAGTGATTATGATCTAAATTTCATTTTATTTAGAAAGTCTACCAAAAAGCTCTTAGAGATATTAAATCTCATTTTTATTATTTAGATTCTTCTCAATTTTTTTTTAGTACCATAATTTAAGATTTAATTGTATTTATTTTTCTTCAAAGTTAGGTATCACAGACTTGAGACAACCAGCCATTATTTCATTAAAATCTTTTAATTATTCAATCTATTAATCATTAATATATTTCTTAATATCCTCAAGAGCTTAATTTAAATCTATTAATTATAATTTCTCTACTAAGTACATCGTAAAAGTATAGAAAAAAGAATCTATAAATAATTTGATAGACTTTGATTATTAAGATGTTATAATTTAAGATTTAGTCAATTTTAATCCTATTTATGATTGCTTTTTTTAGAGTAGAACTTTTTAGGTCTCTAAGTTTCTTTCTTTTTAAAAATATAAAGAAAATTTTTACTTTCATAAAAAAATTTCTCAGTATAAAAATTTTCAGTGTTTTATAATTTTTCTTTTACTTATTAGATTTAATCTTACCTACCTAATCTCTCTAACAAATATACTATTTATAATATATTAACTATCATTACTTTATTTTAAATAGTATTGAGCTTCTTAAGGTTCCATACTTATTACAATTAAGCAACATTCTAAAGCTTGATCGTATTACTTTAATGCTTCAAAGGAATCCACTATTGTTAAAATATATTATTTACTCTTAGAAATGTAAATATTAACATTCTGATCGCCAGCCTTAGTAAAGTATTATATTGCTAGTTCATGCTATTCCAAGCATTAATAAATTAGACCTATTTTTATAAATAATTAATTACCAATCTTATAAAGTAATTTATAAGAAGGCCTTTTCTAATTTGCAACTTGATAAAATTCTAGAGCCTTCTCATAATTTTTAAGATCATAATACTAATTTCCTAATTAAAGATTTAGCCTCTTTGATTGTGGTTTCAGTTTCAATGCTTTTTCTAAGCATTCTATAATCAATTTTGGATCTTGATCACAAAAAATATAAGCTTGAAACTATACAATAAACATTCTGTAATTTTAAGTTTTATTAAATAACTATTCTGCCTTATTTGCTATTTTTAGCCATTCTGCCTCAAATATTAGATGTCGAGTTTCTCTTATGAGATTCTTTACCTCCGAAGTATTTATTTCCATTTTCCTAATGCATTTATAAAATGTCATATCCATAACTATTATTTTTCCAAATTCTTTAGTCATTTATAAAACATTAATTAGATCTTTTAATTGATTTATATTAGGATTCTTTTCCTCTATTTATTTATCCTACATAAATGAATGAAATTTTATAATAAATATATAAAATAATAGAATAAGAAAATAATAAAATAATAAAATAATATAACGAAATTAATATATTAGAAAAAGTAAGGAAAAAATTGAGAAAGTAGGATTAATAAAAATTTAAGTCAGTCACTAGATTCGATTTTTATTTTTAATCCAACGAAGAAGCTTGCCTTCATACCATTCACCTTCTTTTTCTACACCATTAGATCCTAAATAATTTCCTAAGCCATGTTATTTGTTATTTGCCCATTCACCTTTATATATCTTAATAAAATATAATATTTACTCTACCATCAGGCCATTAAAATTATCCAAAACCTTCTTTTTTTCCATTCTTATAAGATCCTTGATATTTTCTATTATCTGGCCATATAAAAATCTAATATTTAAAAATTAAATTTACTCCTTAACCATCCATTTAGTCATTTTTCCATTCTCCTATATAAATTCTTCCATCTTCCCATTTAAATTCACCTTCTCCTTCAAAATTCCCATCAACAAAGTGACCTTTGTAAATTGATCCATCAGCCCATTTAAATGTTCCTTATCCATTTTTTTCTCCATTTTTATAATAACCTTCATAGAGTGTTCCATCCAACCTAATTTCAGTTCCATAACCATTTTTTGCATTGTTTTCCCATTGTCCTACATATTTAGCACCATCAACACTATAAAGAGTTCCCTATAATATTAAAATTACTATAACATTTCCTGATGCCTTATTATTATTAAATTCTCCTTCAAATATATTACCATCTGCTTGAACTAATCTACCTCTTCCTTAGAACATATTTTCAGCCCAATATCCTTCATAATATAATCCCGATAACCAATATTGCTTTCCACAACCATGTTTCATTCTCCCAAAAATCATAAATTATATTACCCATTTTTCCACTGTCCTTAATAAATGCAACCATCTTCCAATTGATATATTGAAAAATTAAATTTATTTTCTTCTTCATTATCATATTTAAATGATGTATATTATTAGAGAATCTTTAAATTAAAAGTAAAGTGTCATATTACCTTATTCACTCTATTAACTAAATAATCAGGTACTTGGTCCAATATTTTAAATTTTTCGATCTATAAATAGTCTAACTTGGATATTTAAGATAGTTTTGTGTCTTAAAATGGAGCGGAATCATTGAAACTCATCTCATTTGACTGATATTACAATTATTTCCCTAAATTTTTTTTATGTTTCAATTTGTGTATAAGCCACTAATATTATTTTCTCACCAAATAACCTCTGACATAAGCTAATCTCTTTTTTGATTAATTACCTTGTATGAGTCTAATTTATTTAATATATTTCAAATCTCCTTCAGATATTATTGTATTTCGAATTTACGTTTACAGTATTATTTTGCAATTTCTATCTTAATCCTAATACCCTTAGCAGCATTATCCCATTGAATAGAAGGATTAACTTTCAATAATAATTATATTTATAAAAATATAAACATAACTTAATGTATTATTATTCAAGCTGTTGATTCATAACTGTGAATTTATTTAGACATTCTTTCTTTTTAAAATATTCTAATGTAAAAGTGTTAAATTAATAATTATAAAATAATTATGAAAAATTAAGTAACTAAGAGTGTCTCTCAATCAGCAATTCCAAATCCAGAAAAATCTTAAACTCATAAAAGCCCTCAGAAACATGGGATTCCAAGAAACGTTAATTATTATAGCCATTTTTTAGCAGAGTCTTATATAACAGAAAAAGATATAGAGTTTGTGCTTCAGTTAAGGAACATGGATAATGTAATTACTTTTTTGACATTAGGCAGAAATGAAATCAAAATTAGCTAGAATTCCTAATCAAACATTTTCAAGAGGAGATTAAAAAATAGAATCCTAAAAACAAAAACATATTCCTAGAGATGTCCAATATACAGGTAATTCAACACCAATTTTGCATCTTATTAAAAGCAGAATAGGTCCAACTCCTCATATAAGTTAGGCTGAATTTGAAACTGGTCTTCGTTCTTATGCTAAAACTGATAAAAGTCTTATTGAAAAAGAACGAAACTGGACAAGTGTTCCTAAAACTTAAAGAAAAGATGATTTTCCAGAATTTTTACCTAATCACAAAGAAGTTATTTAAAAAAGAAAATCACTCAGTATTAGTGGTAATAAATTAGCTAAACTAACATATAGTGGTAATTTTAATACTATAAATTAATTAGCTTTTGATCCAGATTCACAATACCCTTCCTATTCAATGAAATTTAATGAGTAAAATATTTAGCATGTAAGACATATGTTTGTGCCAGGAATTAAAATGTCAACTGTATAATGGCAAGATCGTTTAAGACCATTAAAACGTATAAAAAAAGAAAGATAGGAAAAAAAGAAGAAATGATTTGCTTAAATTTTTTATAATATCAAATTTATTGTTTTGACTAAATCAATACTAAAAAGAAAAATTCTAAAATATTTATAAAAAATTGTATTAAATATTAAATCAATATTAGAAGACTACTATTTATTTGTTTGTGGGTAATTTATTATTATATAATTAAGATAATTAATATTGAGAATTATTGTATATTGAGTTTAGTTTTATAATTATTAAAAATTGAAAATGGGAAATATATGTGATTTTATGAAATCAGACAAGTAAGAGTTTCGTAGTTCTCTGAATTAATAGACAACTTCATAGGCTAATTAAGAATGTATACTGTTTATTAAGACTCAGAGGAATTAGGTATAAAATCAAGTAAGACTCTTGATAACTCCACATCATTTATGCCTGAGCAAACTCATAAGAGAGTAGGATTGGAAGATTTCATTATGTTAGCAACAGTTGGCAAAGTATAAATTAATTTTATTAGGGTGCCTTTGGAAAAGTATACAAAGTTAAAAAGAAAGACAATCAAAAAATATATGCTATAAAGTGCATAAATAAGAAATTAATATTTGATAGCAAATTAGAATCAAATGCATTACTCGAGAAAGATGTTTTAAAATAAAGCAAACATCCATTTATTGTATAATTAAAATATTCTTTTTAAACTCCAACGAAATTATATTTAGTTATGGAATATATCAATGGGGGAGAATTCTTTAAAATTCTTACAAAAACAAAAGGTTTACCAGAATCTATTGTTGCTTTTGTTGCAGCTGAAGTAGTTTTAGCGTTAGAATATTTGAATAATTAATTAAAAGTAATCTATCGTGATTTGAAGCCAGAAAATATTTTACTTACAACAACAGGACATGTTAAATTAACAGATTTTGGTTTAGCTACCTTAAGAAAAGATGAAAATGTAAAAAATTATACTGTATAAATTAATACTAATAAAAGTTAGCAGGAACACCTGAATATTTGGCTCCAGAAATAATAAATAAAAAGGGACATTCTTTTGAAGTTGATTTATGGACACTAGGCATTTTAATTTATGAAATGATAAATGGATATCCTCCTTTTACAGTTTCAGATAGAAACACTTAAAAAATTCTATAGTTAATTTTATAAAATTAGCCAACTTATCCACCAATTATGAGTGAGTAAGCTGTTAATTTAGTCTCAAGATTGTTAAAGGCTAATCCAAAAGAAAGAATTGGAGCTGAAATGGTAATTTATAAAATTCTATTTTTATTTTAGGGATATTAAGAAATAAAATATCACCCTTTTTTTGCAAAAATAAAGTGGTCAGAGCTATATAATTTAAATATCAAATCTCCACTTAAAACTTTTGCTGAACAAAATGCTTCCAGACCTGATGGATTCAGAATGGCTAATATGCACATTTAAGAAACTCCTAATCCACCACAACCACATATATAAGTATTTAGTTATTAAGGAGGTGATGATACTTACAACTCTAGAAAATTGAATTGATAAATTATTAAATAAGAATTAGTGAAATATAATACTCTAAATTGTATTATTTATTAAACTTCTTCTGTCTTCTAATTATTTAAGAATATAATTTGTAAACCTATGAATAATATATTTAATGTTTATAGATGTAAATATAATTTTTAAACAACTAATCCATATACCTTAAACTCAAATTTTGTTATTATTATTAATTAATTTTTAAATGGCTGAAACGTAGAAGCGAACTGCTTAGGAGGAAACACTTGAAAAGGGACCCTTTGGTTTATTGACAATTACAGTGAGTCATAATACTCAAGTGCTAATAGAGCTTAGAAATAATAGAAAGCTTTTAGGAAGAGTAAAAGCTTTCGATAGACATATGAATATGGTACAATATTATTAGAATATTTCCAGATTCTTGAGAATGTGACTGAAATGTGGACTGAAATTCCAAAAGGAAATAAAGGAAAAAAAGCTCATGCTACAAACAAAGAACGATTTATTCCAAAAATGTTTTTAAGAGGAGATTCTGTAATCTACATTCTGAGAAATCCAAAATGATATTATTGAAATTATTAATAACCTCATTGAGATATTGTAAGAGCATCAATATTACGCTTATCTTAACGAAGCTTCAAAATTTATTCATCATTTATTTTCAATACTTCAAAAATAATTTTATGACATCTAATCTAGATTAATAAATAAATTATTTAGAAAAATCATTATTATTATTAAAGGAAGGAAAATTTTAAATAAAATCTTTATTAATTATCTTTATAAATTTTGATTTCAAGAATTCTTTTGATATGCCATTTCAATCATATTTTTTTTAAATAATTTTTCAAAAAATTCTAATGTTTTAAAAAATCTGGATTCCAGTTTAAAATTTAAAATGTTTAAATTCACTATTTACGATTCTTGTGTTTAAGAAAACTCCAAATTAGAAAGTTTAGATTACTATTCTAATTTTAAAAATGCCTAAGTAATCTAAATTAGTAATATATGTTTCTAATAAGATATTTAAGTTGTTGTGGCTTTCTTAAAATTAAGGTAAATTACTGTAAGATCTATTAGTTTTATTGAAAAGAGATTTTTAATAGATATGCATTAATATATTGATACATATTAAAATCTTGATTTATAAATTATTCCTTATGAATTGGATTCAATAAAAATTTGTAGATAATAAAATTTTAAACTCAGAATGTAGCTTAAAGATTTTCTGGTAGATGGAGCATCTGAATTAAATTAATCTTGGGGTAAGACAGCAAAGAAAGTAATAAATTAAGTTTTTACAATGAGTTAAACAATTACAAAAAATTTAGGAGGAGCTATCTTATGATTTGGTAAAAGCAAATCATCTAATAATTATTAAATTTCAAAATAAACAGAAAAGTATTATAACTTCATGTAATAAAGTAGAAACTAAAAGAAAGGATTATTTTCATTTTGATCTGTAAAGAAAATAACTCTTTGTTCTACATATTGATATTGATGTAGTATTTAAAAATATTGTATATCATGTCCTCTCATTAAAATTTTAATTTAGAAATCTTTTTTAATTTGATCTTTTTTGGAGTAAGCAACAAAATATATTCTACTTCATGTAAAATGTACTTTTTTCACATTTATGCTTGCTATTCTTCAAAAATCTCAAATTCTTAAAAATCATTATGCTATTTAATCATTACACTTAATCCTATCTTTTTTAAATATGTTCCAGTATATTATATTCAATAATTTATATTTTTTTCATTTCTTTCTGAAAATTTAGAAAATAAATTTATTTTATTCTTTTATCAAATTATAAAATAACAATAATATTAATAGATTTCCCTCAAAAAATGACTAATTTATAATTTATTGTAACCAGAAGAATTGTAATTTATCACAATGTCTAAAATTCAAAAAATTAAAAATTGATGTACTTTTGATCTATTTCAAGATTAATTTTGAAAATTAAAAATTAAACCATCTAATAAAAGTATTATCATATCTATAAAATAAATAGATTGTTAATCNTTAGTAATATATGTTTCTAATAAGATATTTAAGTTGTTGTGGCTTTCTTAAAATTAAGGTAAATTACTGTAAGATCTATTAGTTTTATTGAAAAGAGATTTTTAATAGATATGCATTAATATATTGATACATATTAAAATCTTGATTTATAAATTATTCCTTATGAATTGGATTCAATAAAAATTTGTAGATAATAAAATTTTAAACTCAGAATGTAGCTTAAAGATTTTCTGGTAGATGGAGCATCTGAATTAAATTAATCTTGGGGTAAGACAGCAAAGAAAGTAATAAATTAAGTTTTTACAATGAGTTAAACAATTACAAAAAATTTAGGAGGAGCTATCTTATGATTTGGTAAAAGCAAATCATCTAATAATTATTAAATTTCAAAATAAACAGAAAAGTATTATAACTTCATGTAATAAAGTAGAAACTAAAAGAAAGGATTATTTTCATTTTGATCTGTAAAGAAAATAACTCTTTGTTCTACATATTGATATTGATGTAGTATTTAAAAATATTGTATATCATGTCCTCTCATTAAAATTTTAATTTAGAAATCTTTTTTAATTTGATCTTTTTTGGAGTAAGCAACAAAATATATTCTACTTCATGTAAAATGTACTTTTTTCACATTTATGCTTGCTATTCTTCAAAAATCTCAAATTCTTAAAAATCATTATGCTATTTAATCATTACACTTAATCCTATCTTTTTTAAATATGTTCCAGTATATTATATTCAATAATTTATATTTTTTTCATTTCTTTCTGAAAATTTAGAAAATAAATTTATTTTATTCTTTTATCAAATTATAAAATAACAATAATATTAATAGATTTCCCTCAAAAAATGACTAATTTATAATTTATTGTAACCAGAAGAATTGTAATTTATCACAATGTCTAAAATTCAAAAAATTAAAAATTGATGTACTTTTGATCTATTTCAAGATTAATTTTGAAAATTAAAAATTAAACCATCTAATAAAAGTATTATCATATCTATAAAATAAATAGATTGTTAATCTGATTTTTCCATAGATTCTAATTATTTAAACCATAATAGCTGAAGTTACTGAATCATAATATTCTTTTCCTTTAACTTCTATTGGGTTATTTTCAAGCACTCTAATGGATTTTATATACATCCTATTTCATAAGCTCTCCTTATCCAAATTAGAATTTGAGAACTTGTCTAATATTGTTTTCAGTTAATCAATTAAAAATTGATCGTTTTTTCTTTCCAAAATTTATACCTAGTAATTTACATTCTTTTTGTTCCAAGATAGAAAAAATATTTAACAATTGGATAAAGTATTTAGATTGATTTTTTATGTTTTATAATATATGAAGGATTTAAGTAATGTTATAATTAGTTTCTTTAAAATGATTTGAATGAAATTGTTTCATATATTTATAAATATGTTTTTTGTAATATTGAAATAAATAATTATAATAAAATTAATGGATTAATAGCAATTTGATTCTGAATTATAAACATATTTTCTCCATATTAAACATGAAATCAAATAAGAACATATTGAATATTTAAAAAAGCATCCAGAATTAAATCAAATATTAAATGATTTTACAAGTTAGATAATTTTAGAGAAAGTAACTTTTTTAATTATATATCAGCCAGATAATGTGTACCAATATGCAAAAGAATATTTTAGTTTTTTTAATTAAGAAAAAGATCTCAAGACTTTTAAGCCTTTAGTAGTTTCAGGAGCAAGTGGAGTTGGAAAAGTAATTAATTTAGTGATTTTTTCTAATAGGGAACATTATTATAGATGCTTTTTAAATAATACCCATAATAATTTGTATTTAGTGTTAGCTACACAACAAGAGCACCAAGACCAGGTGAAGTTCATGGATAACATTATTACTTTGTAAGTAAAGAAGAATTTCAAAAAGAGATAGAAAAAAATGCATTTTTAGAATTTTGCGAAGTGCATGGAAATTATTATGGAACTCATTTGGCTTAAGTATAAAAGGTAATGAAATAAGGATAAGTGTGTGTGATTGAAATAGATGTTTAAGGTGCTGAAAAGATAAGCAAATCAATGCCTAATTAATGTAATTTTATTTTCATTAATGCTCCCTCTACTGAAGAATTAAGAAAAAGACTTACAGGAAGGGGAACAGAAACAGAAGAAGTAATTTAAAAAAGAATGAAAAATGCTGAAAAAGAAATAGAGAAAGCTCATCAATTAGGGTTCTATAATGAATTATTAAATGATGATTTGCAAAAAACTTTTAAGAAACTTATTGACCTTCTCAAAACATTTTATGCCGATTTAAAATTATGATATGAAGTATTTAATATTCAAAATATACAAAACAAAATTTCTATATTTGTTTATAATAATAAATAAATATTATTAAAAAATTCTCATCTATCATTCTTCCATTTATAACCACAGCTTATACATTCAAAAGTTATTGTACTTTATTCATCAGCTCCTCTTGTTTAAAATTCCCAAAAGAAGGCTTTTTGGCATCCACATTTATCACATGATTCATTGGTAATTTATTTATTTTACTATGGATAAGTTATCGGAGCAGGTTCTTTGGATTAAAATGTTTTAACTAATCTCATTTCTTTAAGAGGATAATAATAAATGCATCCAGGACATTTTAATCTATATCCTTAACTAGATTCATTTTCTAAAGATAAAAAATTTGAACAAACTGGGCAAAAATTCATTGATAAAAAAAATTAATTATATTTGTTTTAAGCAATGAAATTTATCGAAGTAAAGAATATCAAATTGCTATAAACTCACAACTATTAAATAAATCTTAAATTTAATATTTACAAACCCTATCCTATTTAAATCAAAAATCATAATCTTGTTCATTCTCAATTTACCATCCATTTAAATTCTTAAAGGTCTCTCCATTAATTGTATCATGTCTTATCTGTTTAATTCTACTTTTTTCTAAATGTAGCTTATTTGGTTTAGAAAGCCAATCACACTTTTCTTTATTTACATTTATTAACTACCCATAATTCTTTTTTAGCTAGTTTCAATGAAGGTGGAATGAGTACTTTTTTTCCTTGTGATCAATGAATCTAAACACTTTTCAGGTTAATTTTATATAGAAGACATTCTTTGTCTTCTTATAATATTTCGATTATTAATGAAAATTTGATTTAACTGTTTTGTTGAAATGCTTGAAGCTTTCAATTATAATTTATTATTCTCCTTTTTTTGTTACTTAGTGTTTGCAAATGAATTAAATAGATTCTAAGAACTTAAATTAGAAGATGGAATATGAAATGAATTTGATTTAGTAATTTTGGTTTCATTAATTTGAGGTTGATAGATTTAAGGTTTTGTTTTTCTTCTCATTTAATGTAAGTATTTTATTTGGAAAAAATAGATTAAATCTTCTTATTTAACATTTCTAAGGTCGGCCATATTTATAAATAATAATTAATAAATAATATCTTGGATGTAGTCCTAAAGTATCTCATTTTTTAGTTATTATATTAGATTTAAGAAGAGAAACAAAAGTTATTGTAATTTAAATAAAGTTTTTTTATTTTAAGTTTATGAATTCATTTTAGGAAATGACTTTTTTTAAGTTTAAAGACAAGAATATAAGTTGTAATTAAATCCTTGAAATTTGGATGGATTATAAATAATATTTCATTTATTTCAAAATACACGGTTATTAAGTTCTCTTTTAAGGTTATATGGAAAACAAGAAATACTAGGAGTAGGCCTAACAATATCCATTAAATGATTAGGTCTTAATTTATTTTTCACATTACTTAAATGGTTCTTTACCTTTGACAAAATCTCTTCTTTATGTTGGTTTAAGTGGATCACCCTTATATTCTGGATACTTGCCTAAACAACCAGTTTCTCCACTTTTAGTAGGATTAGAAGGTTTGAATGGAGCATCGTGCTTCATTATATTTGGTTTAAATTCTTTAACCTATGTTGGCTATAGGAATTATTAATAACAGAAGACTTACTTTAGGTAGGTTTGTTTCTCCATAAACCACTTTATCTGAGCTGAAATTATCAGTTGTAAAAATAGTGCTTTTAAAAGGTTATTTATCTTTTAATAATTTCTATTCATTGAATATTCTTTCTCTCTCAAATTATTAATATCTATTATATTCATCTTTCTCATGCTTTGGAAATTAACTTAATGCTTTGCTTGCAGGATTTGTTGTTATATTTTTAGGTCCTATATGTACTCTATTATCTTAGCCTTTATGATTATTTGGTCCTTTAGGTATTTCATAATCAGGCATATGAGGATATGAATTTCCCATCATCTCCTTATATCCTGAAGGTGGTATAAAATTCTTTTTATCTTCAGATGCATATTTCTTTTTCTCTTCTAATTCTTGAATTCTAATCCTTCTTTCTGGATCTAGATATTTATCACCTATTGTTGTAAAGCCTAACAAACTAAAGTATGACGATCTTATTTTCCCTGATTTAGGACCAGTAATTTTTATATTTGAAGGAGAAGTAATAGGTTTACCTTAATCATTTCTAGGAGCTATTTATAAAATTAAATCTAGAACGTCTTGGTTTATTGTCATAACTATTATCTCCCATCCCTAATGGAACTGGGGATGAAAATAATCCAAATCTTTATACTGTAGCTAATTTCTCTGTTTCTGCCAATGCTTTTTTACCTATTTCAATGAGAGTTGCTTTTTTGTCAGTCATTTTATATTTTTTTTTATTTTTAGATTTATAATAAATTTATTAAACTTCTATCTATTTATAATAATAAATCATGATAAGAATTATTAATAAATACTTTGGATTTATAATTTTAGATAGATAGGTTTTTTATCAGTATGATATATATCATTATGTTTATTTTATATTTTTTTTTATGTAATTGCCCTTATTTAATTTAAATTATGTCAAATACTTTATGATATATCTTATTTTTTCAATCAAAATTAATCATTTCTCTTAATATACTTTAAATTAAAATGTCTCATTTGACTTGCCAAAAACTATGTGATTATTCTTTTTTATTATCATTCTTTTACTAACTAAAATCTAGTATTTGTTGTTTATTTACCATCTCAAATACTTTAAATTATTAAAAATTCAAATACTTTAAGTCACAAGAAGATTAACATAATTTAGTTGTTTCCTTTAAAGATGTATATCTATTTTACAACTCAAGCATTTAGGAGTTGCTTATACATAAGTTACACCATTATTGCATAATTAAATTCAATTATGATTTATTTTCTTCAAATAATTTATTAGTAATAATAAAATTAATTAATAGATTATAGTTTAATTAAAATCAAATTTGAATTTCTTAAAAATTTAGATCCTTTTGATTGCTTAATAATTTCGAAAATTTAAATTTAAATATTAGTATGATCATTACTTCATCAAATTTAATGGATTAAAATTATACTGATAAATAAAATGATTCTAAATTTAATATAAATTTATATTATTTCAATTTCTGTTTCTATTTCTAGTAATAAAAACATGAAATAATCTATTTATTACTCAATTATTTCAAAACTATTACTTTCTAATTTAATTACTTAAAATAATATAAATTTCATCCCAATATCCAATTTAAAAATTTAAAAACATACAATAGTAATTATAAATCAAGCTAAGCTACATTAAGACCTGAATTTTCAATTGTGAGGTTTTTTTTTTAGCTAAAAATCTTACAAAAGTTTTATTTTAATTTAGCAAGTAGCTATTAGCTTTTTCAAGTCTAAAAATATTATTAAAAAAAACTATTTGTTTAAACATTCTTAATATATATTTTCTACTGGTTTTATAAACTCTTATATGGTTTTAGTAAAGAAATTAATCAATGACTCATTTAAAATATTGGGGATCCTTTATAAGTGTCAGGATATGATCAAGTGCCAATATTTTTCTTTAAATTTTAAATAATGGAATATTAAATTTTTGATAAACTCCTAATCTGAAGCGAAAGATAACCTTTACTTATTAAATAACTATTTATAAATTACCAATGAATGAACCCGTGAGAAAATAGAAGAATGCTACTGAAGCGGAAACCATTTTCAAAGAAGAGGTATTATTAATATCTTTTAGGCTTTATTTAGATTTATGAGAGAAAGAAGAGAAAAAGCAGATTAGAATTACTCGAATTAGAATAAGAGGAAATATGCAATTATTTAGAAGAAATCAAATAGTTAAGGATTTAAATAGAAGAGTTAAAGACTAGCATAGTTGTATTTTAGATAAGATAATTTGATTATTATCAATAAAGTAATAAAATGGAATTCTTTATTACTATATCATAAAGGAAAATGAATTAATCTAATAAAAATTAAGAAATAAAATGATGGAGAATGAAATCAAATTTAAATAAATAGATATTGAATAAAGTCATTATTAAATAGAAAAAAATTTTAACGAAAAAGTTAATTAAAGTTATCAGTTACAAACAACTATTGAGGAAAAAGAATTATTACAGAAACATTTTAAAGATTCAAATAGAACCTATAAAGAATAATAAACAAAATAATTCAAATTGAAGACTTAATCAATAATTTTGATAATTATTAATCATAAATGAAAAAAGAAGAAAATGATTACTGAAAGTTGCAATAGATCATGAAATATAATAAAATGCATTTCTGAAAATTAAATATGAATATAATTATTAATATTATTATTATTTAATGTTGAATTATTAGCAGCCAGCACTTCAACCATAAAATACGACCTAAAATAACTTATAATTTATTTATCAAGAAGTGCTTTAAATGTAACAAATAAATGAAACATTAAAATAACATTAAAACACAACATCCTCTGAATTAGAAGCACTTAAAAATAAATTAGAGTAAAATAAAACTCACCTAATTCAATCTATTTTTTAAAAAACAGGGTAAGATAAATCCAAACCCAATTAAGTTTAAAATATTGGAGAGTTTTAAGGCTATGTTGTTTAAGTACTTTTTTCAATAAATCATAAAATAGTTAGAACAGTCAATGGGTGGCTAATTAAAATAGATTCGAGATAAAAATTAAATCATCATCTCAGAATTAATTAAAGCCCATAAATTGTTAGAAAAATATGCTATCTCAAAAAGAAAATTAAACAAAAATTCAGCCAAAGAATTGGGTCTAATTTAAGATATTGAAGATTTAAGAGCAAGAGCATCTATCATCAACAATCGTCTATAAGAAGTATTATATAATATTAATCATTTAGCATGAAAACAAAGTATAATTTTCTGAAGAATATACTGATTTATCAAAAAATCCAAGAATTATTGATTTTAATGAGCAATCTATTGAGCTCATTAAGGAATTAAAAAAAGATTATTTAGCTAGCAAAATTACATTAGATAAGAGTCAACACAATATTAAAAATATGCTTGAAAATCTAAATGACACAAATAAATAAACAAAATGAGATTATATATACACAATATTATATTAATTAAAAATAAATACTGTCACTAAATAAAATTTTTGAGAATTTAACTCAATTTAAATAATACCTAATTTCAAAGTTATTATTGATAATTGTATTATCATTATATTATCCATAATTATAAAGGTCTTAAAATCTTCAATAATAAAGAAAAAATATTCTTTGTAAATATATATATATATAAAGAAATTTTTTTATTTTTAAAATAATAATTATGGGACTTTTCGATATCATTGAAGAGATAGTAGACGATGATTTGCTTTTTATTATAAAATACGGATTGATCATATCTAATTTCATCACTATATTTTTCCTACTTTATTTTAAATCAAGGAAATAATAAAATTAGAAAGAAGTAATAGTAATTATATTGTAAAAGGAAAAAAAATCTGTTTTGATAGTCACTGCACACCCTGATGATGAAGCCATGTTTTTCTTACCAACAATTACTTACTTGAATGATAACAATTATGAAGTTCATTTATTATGTTTATCAAATGGAAATGCTAATAAAATAGGAAAAATTAGAGAAGCAGAATTATAAAAGTGTTGTAAATACCTGAAAATAGAAAAAGTATACATTTCTTTATTTTTATTTAGTTAACCATAATCAATGATGAAGATTTATAAGATTCAATGACTGCTACATGGCCAATAGAAAAAATATAAAAAATTGTAGAAGAGTAATAATTATTAATTTATAACATGTAGTTATATAACTTAAAAAAATATGAAAGGAGTAATCACATTTGATAAAAATGGTGTCTCAGGTCATTTGAATCATATAGCCTGTTATAAAGCAATATCTACAATGAAAAGAATAGAGGATTTAAAAGTGTTTGTGTTAGAGACTACAAATATTTTAAGAAAGTACAGTTCAATTTTAGACTTCTTTTTATCTTCTGTTCTAAATGATAATTTAATGTTGAATCTAAATATCTTAAAGGCATGGAGATCAATGCAAATCCACAATTCACAATTTGTTTGGTATAGAAAGCTGTTTGTTGTGTTTTCAAGATATGCTTATATAAATACGTTGATTAAAATTTGAGTTAAATTTCGAGGGTTTATTATTATTTAAATTTTTAATGGCACTTATAAACATTACAAATATAGTTTTTGACCAAGGCACAGCTCTTTTCAATACTCCAATTCAAATGCAAATAACATTTGAAGTAATGAGATAACTAGATTAAGAAATTGACTGGAAGTATTATAATTTAATATGTTAGACTCATCTACATAGGATGTCCTAATGATAATAAATAAGATCAAGTTCTTGAGCAATTTTCAATGCCTCCTCTTTAATAAGGAACAATGTAATTTACTTTAATGAGTCCTGGCCCAAAATTCGAATTAATATCATCCAAAGAAAATTTATTTGGCGCGACTGCAATAATACTTAGCGTGAAATATAGAAATCAAGAATTCTTTAGGGTATTTTGTTTGACTTAAACATTATCATAGGTTGGGTATTATGTTTATAATTCGTACTTGGATCCAGATTTAATTGAGAATGATCCTCCTTATGTTGTAATTGATAAAGTATATCGACAAATTAATACTTCAACACCAAGAATTACAAGAACCAACATTGATTGGGAAGGATAAATGGTTTAGCTTTATATTAACCCATAATAATCCAATAATTTATTGATGTTCTAATAACAACCAATATTTAATGATATTACTAATAGCCATTAAGAGAAGTTGAATTAACAATATTATTTAGAATAATAAAACAAATATAATCTTCCTAACTAAGGTGTGAGCTTGTAAAGTATTTTTTGATTGATTTATATTTTTATTTTTATTAGTAAAATTATCAAAACATCTTTGATCTCGAAACTACTTATAATATATATATAGTCATTTTAGAAAATAGCCTAGAAATCTATCTAAGAAGTTTCTTTTTCTTTAATATAGGTTATAATTTAAAAATATAATCAGATACTCTTAATTTATATACATAATATTTATTGAAAAGTTGTGTATTGAATTCATTAGATGATTGAAAATATTTAATTTTATGAAAAAAATAGATTAGGGAAATAACTATTAGAAATGGTATTTTAGGAGTGAAATAAAAGCTTTACTATCCTGTAATTATTATTTTGAAAATGATAATTTTATCAACTTCATTTTTTGATTATAAATTTTACAAATATTTTTATCATTGATGTCATATTCATAATTTTATTTTGAGTAACACGAAACAAAATCAAATTAAGATTAATACATAGATTAATTCGAGAAATGGGAATCAGATTAACAATCAATAATTAGAAGAAATTCACTTCCTTTAGTATTAGAGGATGGAGAAAGGAATCTAAAAGAAAAATATATTCTTTCTCGTATTAAAGAACTAGGATTAGATTGTGATAAAGCCAGCAATATATTGAAAAATATGAGTTATGATATAGTTAAGCAAAATGATGAAAATATGGTTCTACATAGAGTTATTTAAATAATTCTTTTGATGGATGTAAAGTATCAAATATTTATCATAGACCTTTCCAAAGGCAACATCTAAAAAATAATAAAGACATTACTTTGAATAAATTACATAATTGATAGGAAAGACAGGTGCCAATTTTCTAAGTTGTTTAAACTTTAAAAATTCAAAAGGATAATAAGATTTCTTATTAGATCTTACTTGTACGATTTGTTTAAATGATATGAAGAACAAAAATATAATCTTAGATTGTCATCATTAATTTTGTTTGTACATCATGAAAATAATTTTAGAGATTGTTTAAACAACTATATTGTTGATAAGATTAGTAATGGATAAGTAGAAGAAATTTGTTGTCCTTAAATTCTATGCAAATTTTAAATCACAGATGATATTTTATAATCTATAATAGATCAAGATTAAATGAATAAATTGAAAAGATTTAGAAAAATAAAAATATTTTAAATCGATTAGGATATTATTTGGTGTCCAAGGCCTGGATGTGAAGAAGTTATAAAGAAAAGTAAAAAGAAAAATATCAAGTGTATTTGTGGATAATTAATTTGTAAGAAATGCAATAGAAAATTACATAGAGGTTAATCCTGCAAAGAATAATTAGATTCAGACTTTCTTGAAAATGTGAAAAAATTTTAAATAACTAAATGCAAAAAATGTAGATCACTTATTTAAAAAAATGAAGGATGCAATCATATAATTTGTTAATAATGTCGTTATGAATTTTGTTGGCTTTGCAAATCAAGATTCACAAAAAAACACTATAAATACTATAATATATTTGGATGTCCAGGTCTGAAATTTTCCCATAGAGACCCTTTTAAATATCCAAATTTATTAAGATTTCTTAGATTTATATTTATTTTAATATTTGGAATTCCATTATTTTTAATTGGACTGATAATTGGAATAATTGCCTTATCTTTTAGTTTGCCTGCAATAATTTATATGAATTGTGTCCATTTATATAAATTTCAGAATTATCATTTTTGTAAAAAGGCAGCCTACGTTTTATTATTATTTATTGCCTGCATTTTGTTATCACCATTGAGTACATTGATTGTTTCATTATGTTTAGTCATAGCAATAATTACAAGTATTTGCTATAGCTTTTTTATATTTTTGAAATGGGTAATTAAAAAATGACTACTTTTATATAAATATTTATTAATTTAAATAACTTATGCTCTTTTCTTAACAATAAGATTATAACCCTTAAGAGATTTACTAACCTTCTTCAATGAATTATGGAGCTGGAATATATAAACCTTAGAATTAGCAACCTTATTATAATTAATAACCAAGAACTAGAGCTGAAAGAGTAATTTTTAGTTTTTAATAATTTAGGAATATTTAAAGGAAGTTAATTCTAAATAATCTGTAATGCAATCAAGATGTAAAACACTTATTTAAAGTTTGAAGAATTCGATACACCTTAAAAAGATGATATGAAAACACTTTTACATAGTCCAGCTCCAAATACTACTTTATTTTAATAGGGTATGATAAATATTTATTGTTAGAATAAGAAAGGTTTTAAAAGGATTTTGCAGTTCAAGATAAATAGCAAAGGGAATTATAAAATAAATAAAAATAGTTATAATATGAATCAAGAAGATTAGCAAATTTAGAGAGAGAAGGAATGATTTGGTAGAGGAATGAGCATTATTAATAAAAAGTAATTATATTTATAATAACAGGATGAATTGAAAAGGCAATATCATTAAGAGTAATATACATAAGGCAAAAGAAATCTAAATGGATTAGCATATAATCCTTTGACTTTAGAGTATGCTTAAAATGAATAAGGTTAAGCTTTAAAAAGATATGATGAGATGAGTTAAGTGAGGTAATTAGTAAGAGCCTAAAATTTAGATAACAGAGCTAACTGTGGTTATAATTTATTAACAGGTAAAATATAACAATTCTATTTCAAAAGGTGAGAATCGTAAAGGTGTAGAAGATATTGTACCTGATGATCTTAAAGGACATTATTAAAATAAATTATAAGAAAGAGATAATTAATTAAATATCAAACACTATGCTCTTTAATAACAATTATTAACTAAACAATATTGAATTTGATTTTAATCATTTAAATAATAAATATCTATAAATTTACTTTAAATTCTTAAATTTTTTTTATGATTTTTATTAAGATTATAACACTTTATGATAGAATATATATACTTTTGTCGGAGTTCTCGATTTTACCGCAGAAAAAGGTAAAGTAGCAAAAAATTTATAAAAACCAAACTTGTGTTTTACAGAGGGTTGATAAATAATTTTATCCTATGAAAAAAGATTAGATAGAGGAAGACTCATTAAAATATAAATTCATGAAACTACTTTTAGAGATTTACCACATCCAGAGCTATTTTAGTGAATCATCTTAGAAATTTCATATGTTTAACTGAAGGAGAAACCATATCTATTAACTTCTAAAATACTAATTATATAATTGATATTGTCTAAGTAAAACCTAGAAATATTTTAAAAGCTATTTGTATTAATGAAGCTTATATCGAAATATATTTAATTAAACCATTAGTTTGATTTATCATTTTATTAGAATTTCATTTGATGCTCCTCCGAATTTAATTAGAATATTAAGTTCTTTAGTCCAATAAGAGGAATAGGTACTGGAGTATGAATTGATGGCAAACCCTTTAATACTTAAATGAGAAAGCCTTCAGAAGATTTAAAACCATTTGAATAATAAAATCGTCATAAACATAAACTTATTAATGATTTAAAATAAACAGAAAATGCAAATTAATTCGTTGGATTTTATATAAGATTGGAAATACAAACACAAGAAATAAATAGAATGCTTGATATTAATTTAATATAATGAGAGTGTACAAATTAACGATTTATTGAAGAATCAAACTATCTACTATCACAAATTCCATCTCCTCTAAAAACCTCAAATCAAAAGAACATTATATTTAAAAAGGCTTTAATAGAGAACAGTCTTAATTAATCTTCACATCATATTAATAGTCTATTAAGAAATAAAATTTTTTCATTCCTTATCTCAATGAAAGAGATTGTCTTGAAAAATTGCTCAAAAAATCTCTTTCAAATAAGGATATTAAAATTAAGTAACTAATTTAACCTTCTCTTAAAATTCCCAAGAATTAAAAGCTTTGCAACTTCCTTTAAATCTAATCTATCAATATCAATAAGTCTTCTGGATAGAAAACCAAAACTTAATCAACAACTGACTCATTTTCCTCTTTCTTTACATTTAATAAATACAACTCTAACTTCCTATTAAAGCATAAATTTAGCGAACCATTTAGTTAATGAAAATTATTAAATTAAAAATAAAATTTATTACATAAAATTTTTCATTCATTAATTCGCTGATCCTTATTGTTCATTTTACACTTTTTGATATTACTATCTTTTAGGTTTAAAAACTAATAAAAAATAATTATCAATACTTACTTCTTGTCTGGACTCAAATAATTTGAAACTTTTGGTTCCTGACTTTACATTCTCTAAGAAAATTGAGATTGCTTAATTTCATTCTATTATATTAAACCTTTTTAATCATAATATTAGTTATAAGATGATGTAATTTAATTTATATTATTTATTCCTGATTATCTAGTTACTATACCAATACCTTGGGTATTTTAAGTATTTGTTATGTTTGTAATTGCATTTGGCTTAATCTAAGAACTTGATTACCCCAAAAGTTAATTAACAACATAATAATCATTAGGCTTATCAATAATTATTTATTTTTTTAATTTAGCCTCCAATCTAACATTTTCTTATTCTAAAATATGCATTTTTGATTCCAAATCAGTGATATTTTCAATCAATTTCTAAATTTTATTTTCTTAATCCTTTTTAATATTTTTCTATCTTTCAATCTCTATATTTAAAGTCGAAATCTCATGTTCTAAATCAGCGATATTTAATTGCAATTTCTTTACTTAATCTGAATTAACATTTGATTAGTGAGATCTATTTTAAGAGATCTCAATTTTAGATTAATTAAATTATTATTCCATTTACTAATATTTTTGTTTATATTAATTTAATTCCTATTATAATTATTATAATTAGTATTATAGATTTTGAGTTTCAGTTTAACTCTATTTTTAAGATTTACTCTCAAAATTTTATTTCTCTATCATCAATCTAGAAATAAATTATTATTCTAAATCATTTTTTATTCTAATTTCTTAATTTTTAAGATCCATTTACAATTAATTTATTTGCTAATTTTTTTATTGAAATAAGAAATCCTACTCTCTTATTCTAGCCATTAATTTTTCAACTTCTTCTTAATTATATTAATTCATCTCTTCTCCCCTCTACACAACAATTTTCTTATAATTTATTTATTCGATTTCGATTTTATATTTTTAAATTTAATCTTTCAAAATTTAAATATCCTAACTCAATTACATATTAGTTTATTTATATGATTATAGCTAATCCTTTAAGTTTTAAGTCTCATATTAACTTTCCCTTATAGTCTTTTCTTTAACAATCATTAATTCTTTTGTTTATTCTTAATTTCTATATTACAATTAATCATATTAGATTTTCAATTAATTATATTTATCTTATAATGAATGCACTTCCATTTAACTTTGGCTCTTCAATCTTTACTCAATTTGATGCATCTCCAACCTCAATCTCTCCTTAAATTACAATTCTAACTAACTTTCTTAGCTAGACAATTGATTTCTTAATTATTAATTTTATTATTCATATTATTAAATTCTAGATCTCATTATGTCAATTTCTTTATTATTAGTTTGTGAGAATTTAACTTCACTTTCTCTCTAAAATTAAATAAAATTTTAATTCAAAGAATCGTAATCATTTTGATATTTATTTAATTAATTATTTAGTTATTAAATTTCATGCAATTATTTGTTATATTTATCTTGAAGAACTTGATAATCACTTTAAATATTTTAAAATTAATATTATTGGCTATCTGATTATTGTTTCTATTATTTTAATTAATTGTTTTCTTATTATAATAAGTTGAATTAGGATTATAATCTTTAATAATCTTCTCGAATGTTATTCATTTAAAGTGAAGATTATTGTGATAATTATGAACTTTAATATTGAATCTATAATTAAGAATGTTGGCTTTATAGAGATTAATATTAGTTTGCAGAATTTTTAATTTATTATTCAAGATCATTGATTCTCTATTTTAATATTTCTACTTCAAAAGAATTTCTCTTATTTTACTCACTTTATCGTTAAATATTCATGTACTCAATTGATAATCTTTCATAATCAAGCCTATATTTTTCTTTTTCTTCTATTAATTTATTAATTTCGTTTTAGTGCTAACCCTAATTTTATGTCTTCAATATTCTAATTTCCTCTTCATATTCATTTTATGTTATGCTTATTCTTTAATCTCTTTCTTAAAGATCAGCAATTAATATCTAGATATCAGATTCCATTTCTGCAATCTTTCTTTTCAAACTTTCTACTTCTCCTATATCAGTTCTTCTGCTATCGTTATTAGTTTTATGCCCATCAAAATCTTTTCTCTATTTTTCTAATTCAAATCTTAATTAATCCATTTAAACCTCGTATTATTTAATTCTCTCTTATAAAAATTGAATTTAATTGTCTTTTTAAACTACCCTCTATTCCTATGCTTATGATAATTCTTAGACCTCTTTGGCTTTGTAGCGATCTTGCCAAACCAACACTTCATGTTATAAAGCCGAAATCCTTTTCAAATATCCCTCAATCTCAGCATTTGGATTTTTTGAACTAAATTTTATTTATAATTGTTATATTTCTTAAATGTAAGAATTGCAATTAAAATTTAATCTTTAATTTTATTATTAAAATTCCTCTATTCGATCTTCCTAAACCTTAAGTTTTCTTTTTAAATCATCTCTCTCATTTTAAAGCAATTTTAATTGATCTCCATCATAATTATAAGTATTTCTCAAACTACTTTACTGCCATTAAATTTAAGATTACTAAAACTGTTAATTGAGTAAATTCTTAGCTTTAACAAGATCATCATTTTCTTATTTAAGTGCCTTAATTTAATCTTTCAACTGATTGATTTCCTGAGCATTATTACTATTTAAGGATGTTATTTAAGGATTTGATTTAGACTTTAATTATTCTTCTAATGATTTTATTTATTGTTTCAACTGGTTTACTACAAAATCATTTGAAATAACATTGCTATTTCTCTCTAATTTATATTTATAATCATGATTTTCTTATTTCAGTTTGCTAACTTCTTCTTTCAATTACTATAATTCCCAATCATTTGGTGATTATCCTGTTATAGTTATTCGACTTTGACTTTTTTCAGATTGAAGTTATTTATATTTATTCTTCCAAATTTCCAATTCTTTCAATTAATCTTATATTTGATTGTTTAATGATTTTACACTTTCCCTTAAATTTTTTATTTCTTAATTTATAACGATACAATTACCTCTTTCTTTTGCTTCCAGTATTTTCTATAAAGAGCCTTATTCCGTTACCACAATTTATTCATTATCTGGAGGATTCACCAAAATTTGAAACTCTTCATTTCTACAAAATATTTTTATATTCACCTCATTTTTGTGTTCCCAATTTATTATTATTATAAACTTCCTTAAGAGAGAAATCCATCTCCTTTATATTCTGTAGTTTCTATCCTATAATGTGTGAATCCACTCATTTATTGTGATTTTCAAAGATATGTATAAATAAATTATATTAATAATTGAATAGAAACCCAATTCATTCTATTTTCGATATTTTACTTATATTGATATCAGACTTTAACAAGTCATTCATTTTACTGTTCTGTATTAATGAATCAGATTGATATGGCTTATTCATAAGCTGAGTAGTACTTTTACTCTTTACTGATGGGAATTGAGTACTCATCATTGGAGAATTAGGTCCTTTAGATTTAATCTAGCTAAATATTTCTTTAATACTCTAGTCATGTGATCTCTAAGCTTTTCATATTTAGATATTTGTTCTTATTACTTTTCTAATAAGATTTACTTCGTTAATTCAAGCCTTTTTTGTAGTTCTTAATTTTCTTCATCTATTTTTTACTATTGTTTCCTTCTTAAAGGGGAATGAAGTCTTTTACCTAAAGTATTCTCACACCATTGAGAAGTGTCAGCCTAAAAATTCTCTTCAAATACCTTACATATGCTTTCTCTCTTAAATTTTATACTGTCCAAATTGATCTGAATTGAGAGTTCTTACCTTCTTATATTTCTATTATATGTGAGCTGAGATATTAATTTTATTCATCTATTCTTTTTCTCTATTCAGATTTCTAAAATCTAGAAGATTACTCTTTGATTTATTAAGTTTTGCTCAGAATAGGCAAATCCTTAAAAGCATATCTTGCTTTTTTACTATTAGCCATATAAGAAAATCATTACTCTGTTTAAATTTCGTCTAATTTCTTTTTATGGAAATCATAATTTTGATTTCTCAGCATTTTTTAAACCAAATTAGTCTCTACAAACCTTGCCCCTTGCATAAGTTATATATATATTTTTATTAATTGCTATAATAAATAATTAATATACTACATATTAATTATTAGCAAATATATTTTAATTTATTTTTTTAAATGCCTAAGTTTTATTGTGAATATTGCGGAATTTATCTCACACATTCATCTCCAAGTGGAAGGAAATAACATTCCCTTGGAAAAAAGCATATTAGTGCAAGAGAGGATTATTATAGAGCTGTAATGAGTGATTTAGTAGATTAATTGAAAGCATCTTTTTAGAAGAATATTATCCCAACTTTTATCTCTAAAGACACAATCAAAAGATTACTCATTACACATTCCTCTGTCTTTCAAGGCTTACTCACTCCTGCGTTTGTAGAAACTATTGATAGTTTAGGATTGAGTGGCACAAGGACCTAATATATGCCCTAACCTACGTTGATCCTTCCTCCTTAAGGACCATATTAACCAATGCCTTATAATATGATGCCTCCAGGTATGCAAATGAGATATTGAAATCAATAGTGTAAAAATAATATTCCAAATTTGCTTCCACTTTTCTTATTTTATTCTTAATAAGCATAAAATGTTGTAACCAATCTTCCTTCGCAATTCTGTTTTAAGTGCTACAAAAAATTGAAACTTTCATTTTTCTAGACTTTTTTCAAAATTTTCACATAAAATGTATTCTTAATTATTACTAGAATTGGTGCTTTGATATTTTTGCATTATACTACCTAATCGAATTTCTTTTAATTTATATTACCACCTTATAATAATTAGACCTATAGTAAAATATAATAAATAAAAAAATTATAATTTTCTAAATTTTAAATTTAATGATATTTCTAAGAAAATTTTGTCTAATTCAGGAAGAAAAGACATATTTATTTGATGAGAATTTCGTTTGGTTCATTATTTCTAAATTCATGTTTTTCTATAATTGAAAAAAATGTATGTATCTAAAAATATTAATAAAATTGAATAATCATTAGACCTTAGATACTATATATAGCTATGTAATTTTAGAAAAAAAGTTTCAAAATGAATTTAAAGGTAAACCTAATGAAAGGAAAAAGAATGAAAATAATTTAACAACAATTTAATCCCAATTTCAAAGTCTATTTAAGTTCTTCAACTATTATTAATGAGATCGCAATTTATATATTTCTAATTAAAAAAATTCTTTTTTTTTAATTTATTCTGATTAATAAATTATTAATTATAGGATTTGGTTAAACATGAGAATATGATTTATTACTTTTTCTTTGGTTTCAATATAATGATAGTTTTTTAATGATGACAGTTAAAATTAAAAGACATACATAAAGAAAATTCATACGAAAATTGATGAGATTCTAGTTGGAGATTAGGAGTGTCTCAATATAGATGTTGCTCTCTTTCTTTCTTCATTTCTAAGGCTAGGATTAACCCAATCAGCATTAGGCTATCCTTTTAATTTTTAAATTGTCTTTTTTATCATCGTAACACTTTAGCATGGTTTGTATGTACACACAATGAGATTTTCATTAAAGGATATTTTAGAATGTTCAAAATCTAAGTCATCTGGCTCATCTTCAACAATTTCTATTTTGTGATGAATATTTAAAGGTGTCATTGAAGTCAACTTGAATCCAGGAGATTGAGAAATCATTATTAATAATTTTTAATTACTAGATTTGAAATATTAAAACGATAGCTATTAATGATTATATTAATGCGTAGTAAAAATAAGTTGACTTTCATAAGAATCATATTTATTTATTATATAATATTTACATTTTTTTAAGTAAGTCTTCGTTGAGTAAGAAAATTGTCTTAGTGGAATTTACATATAGATCTATAAATTGACTGCCTATTTCTCATTAAGAATAAGTAGAAAATAACGATAATCCTTCATTATCCAATTTTCATCAATAAAAAATGTCTTGAATCTCAAAAATGAATTCCAGTAAATTTTGTTCAGAATGTCTTAATATTTTGCATGGATTAAAATGATATTTTGATTTTATATTAATTAATAAATTTCAATAATGCTTGAAATCTTAAGCACTTTATTAATGAATAATCTAAATTTCTCACTATAATCATTTAATCTTAATGTTTATTATTTTAATGATTAATTTTTTGAATAGTAGGTAATTAGTTCACAAAATAATAAAAATTATGAAAACACACACCTATCTACATTTAGGTATTTATTTTTAATGATTTTTTAAATATTTCAAAAATTGAACCATAATTCCTTTGGTTTAACTGCATTAAAGACTTATTTCATACCTTTTTTATTAAACTCCCTTTTTCATTATTTTATTATTATAAATATTACTAAATCTCTTTGTTTTTATTATGCATATCAATTTAATAAAGTTTTGACAAAGTAGTATAATTTAATTAACATTATATTTAGGTTCTAAGTCGAAATACTTTTTCATTACTTTTTATATCTTTATCGATTTGTTTTTCTATATTTTATCAAGATTCATATATAATTTATCGAAATCCAGATTTATGTACTAATTAAAAATCTCCTTCAAATGTATATCGATTTTTAGCATTTTAATAATGATAGAGCAGAAATTCTGTAATTATTTCGTAAACTGTTTTAGTTTCAGTTTCAGCTGTTTTAATATTAATTACTTTATTATTTAACATGAAAGTATCAAAAATAAATCTGATATTAAATAATAGTGCTCTATAAAATTATTAGAAGCATAATGAAAAAATTTTCTAACTTATTTTCCGTCGAGAAAATTTTTGTATTTAAAAAATTATTAGTATTTATGGTTTGAAACTACCTCTTTTAAAAAAGCCTCAATATTTTCAATAATTATTAATAAAGAACATGATTTTTCTTTCTAGGGAACTATTTTATTAATTCATAAAATGAAGGCTCAGAGTGAAGTTTTTCTAAGATTATACAAGATTAATGAGAATGATTTTTCTTTGGTTTTTCCTAATTCTATATTAGTTTATATTAAGGGAAAATGATCTTGGCTTTATATCTGGTTTAATTAAATTAGGTAGCATATAAATTAATAAAATGTAAAATGATGATAGAAATAAAGACTTTAGAAGTGGAAAAATAATAATTATGAATTAGGAAGACGTAAAGATTTACAAAAATTTAAACTTCATTGAGTTATTAAATTTATAAAATATTAAGCCATAATATATACTAAAAAATTAACGAATGATTCAATTTGACTTTTGTTTTTTAACTAAATTTATTGATGACTGAGGTTTAGTAACAATTTAATTTTTTTGTTTAGAAACAGTAATTTGAGGTTTACTAGGTTTGGAACATTTAACAGTAGGCTAAGATTAATTTTCTTTATTGGATTTTGATTTGTTAAGCTTATTAGTAGACTTAGGGGCTTCAACAGAATTTAATTTATGTAGTAGATTAGTTGTTTCTAATGAGGATCTACATCTTGAAAATGGTTCCTTTGATTTAGAAGTTTAGATCAGTCTTTTCCCAGTTGGTGATTATGAAATTTCTCTAATATTTGGTTCAACTGATTAATTTCTAGTCTAGACTTAATTTTCTATAGGAGTTGATTCTCTTGCTTGAGTTTCGAATTATTCAGTTCTTGTCGTTTATAATGAGTCTATATGTAAAAATGTTTATTAAAGTTGCAAATTTTACCATTAACTCTATTATTTTTAAGTTTATGCTACTTTATTTTGATTTTTATTAGATTATTATTGTTATTATTGTTGTTATTATTGTTATTATTATTGTTATTATTATTATTATTGTTATTATTATTATTATTGTTATTATTATTATTATTGTTATTATTATTATTGTTATTATTATTATTGTTATTATTATTGTTGTTATTATTATTGTTATTATTATTGTTGTTATTGTTATTATTGTTATTGCAATTATTATTATAATTATTATGATTGCTATAATTATTATTATTAAGTTGTTTTATTTAATTATTCTAGATGATAATTTTAATATGATTCCTCTATTAATTGAGATTCTTCTGGTTCTTATTCTAAAGGAACTCTTTACAAATAATCATTCATAGTTTCATTTTAAAATAGTTTTGGTTATTAGAGATTGTCTTATTATAACCCAAAAAATGGACTTTACAAATCGGTTTTCCCTTCTGATTTTTCTTTATCGAAAGAATTTAATGTCTTATTTTATTAAACAGAATAACTTTCATTTGATGAATATTATTATTGTGAATGATCAAATTATCTTGGTTATTATTATCTATTTTCAGGAGTTATAAAGAAACCTCGTCCTCTCATCTCTGCTTCATCACTTAAATTAGGAGTCAAGATATCCTAAGATGAAGCTGTAATAAAATTTTTTTTGGGATATGGTGTAATAAAATGTTGTTATGGTGTAAATGTTAGCTATTATTATTCCATAAGTGTTGTTTCAATCTTTAACAATGATTCTTTTAGATGCTTTATTTAATTTTAAACCTGCAATTATTAAAAATAGTTATACCTCAAATTTTTGTTGATTTTCACCACAAAATGTTTCCAATAATGCTTTTAATTTGCTATTTAACACTACTTTCATCTATATTAGAAGTTATTATTATTTGAATTTTGTAATGTGAGTTTCAACTTATTGAGCGATTTTTAATATATCCTTCCCATTATTAACTTAAGCAATAAATTGTAATAAATTATGAAGAGATTCATAGAATTTAGACTTAAAATCCATCACTGATTATTATAATTCCTAAGAATTTTTTTAGAAATTATACATCAAGCAAACGCTAAGGTTATTAATTGAATTTGACAGCATTTGCAATAATGTTAGTTTCAAGTTCATTTAATGAAACATTGAAGAGATCACTTATTTTTTCTGCCGCATTACTCATATGTCGTTAATTTTATAATTTATTGAATAATACAACTAAAATTTAATCAACTAAATTAACATCATATATCAATTATATTTCTTTTTCTTTTAAGTTTATTGCAGATAATATTTTAAAAACAATTACTATTCTTTAACTCATTATCAAAGCTTAAAAAAATTAAGAAATATTTAGATATTAAAGTGATAAAAAAAACTAAGTAAAGATGAAAATTAGATCTGGCATTTGATTATAAGTTAGCTTATAAATTTTAAATGCCTATATATCAAAAATTATATTTAAAATTCTTTATATAATAATAAAATGTTCAATTTTATATACAAACAATCGACATACATTAAGCTCCTGTTTGTAAGACTAAAATACCTTAATACTAGCAGATTAAATAATATGATATAGTTGAATTACCTTCAACAACAACATTCAAAATTGCTAATTTAAATTAAAATATTTTTACCTTGCTATTCTTTCATTGTCATTTCAACTTAGATTTCTTCATAGTTATTTATTGAATAATTTAAAAATAATTGGCAGTTTGTTTTTTTCTCTTTTGAAATTAATTGCGCCTAAAATCTTAAGAATGTATGTGATCCTTATTATTTTACTTGAATACATTCTATTTCCAAATTAGGTGTTTGTATTAATTGCAATAGAATTTTTGGATAATTGTAAATAGAATTTCTCATTTATTTGATAAAATCTCTAAGTTTATCTCTTCTTAAATTTGGTAAAAACTTTTTTATAAAAAAGCTTTTATTGTATTCAATTAATTTTTGTATGATCAGATTAGAATTTTCGTAGTTTAAAGATTCAATCTCTAAATCAAGATAATTCCTTTGCAAACATAAATTTATTTTATCTAAAATGATGAATTAAAAGAAAGTAGCATCTTCTGCATATGCTCTATTAGTGAAAAACTCAATTTTTGCACTTAAAATAGTAGTTTTATTAAGAAGATTTGTAATTTTTTAAAATAGTTGCATAGCATTGGTTTGATCAATATCAATTTCTTAAATCTCTTTCAAACATTAATCAAATTCTTAATAATAATCATAAATTTCTTGTCTAATTAAATGTTACGTTGAATTAATTTAAAAATTATTCCAATAAGTAAATTCTTCATAATTTTATAAAGATTAAAGATAACTCAAAAATACTTATGTATATGGTTTAGCATTTTATATTTAAGCAGCAATATTCATTGCCTTTTCAACTTAATTAATAGAATATAGAAGCTTTATAGACTATAACATCAAATAAGTGTTCTGATTTTATATAAGTAAACTAAGAATATAGTTAAGGCTATGATTGCTGTCTTTGGATTCAATAAATGTAATATAAGCAGAAAGTAATTAGACAGATAGCAATAATAATTTATTCAAACATTTTTGAGATGAAGAAAAAGGCTTTTTACTTAAGCTAATTTATTTTTCAAATAATTATCCTATTAAATGATCTAATTTGATTAAAACTTGAATTAATTTTTATTCAGTTTAAACACTTACAGTTATGACAATTTCATTACATGCGAAATCATATGAATAAAAAAGTAAATCAAGGAAAAAACACAAATCTTCTGTTGTTAAACTTAAAGTGTAATTTTTTAAATTATCATATTATAATAAAGACTCTATTATATTCTTTTTAGAGTATTAGTCACCGTAGTTTAAATAATTAATCTTTAATTCCAATTTATAGTGTTTGTAACTCAATCTAAACAATTCTTATATTTTTTCTGAGCATTATCCAATACAATTTATAGTATCTTCAGAAGATAAAGTTTTTAGAATGAATGATTCTTAGTCTTTAAAATGTGAAGCTATTTTTAAATAATTGTAAAATAAATGCAGAACTTCTTTTGACATAGGAACTTATTATATTTGTTGTCTTACAATAGCTAATAAATCAGAAATGGGTTATTCAAATAAACCTATTTTAATAGAATGTAAATATATTACAAAATTAGGCTTTTGCTATTAAAGTGCATTTTAAAAGGACTGTCAATTTCTTAGTTTTAAATTATTTAATTTCAGGAAGTTAAGATATTTTATTCATAAATGAATATGAATGATTCAACCTTACTGTATTTAATAATGTAAGGCTTGCAATATATAATTCTTTCTAATAACTTGAATTGATAAAAATATCGAATATTCCTATATGAAAAGTATTATAATGTTCTTTTAAGACTGGGACTATTGAATTTAATGCATGAAGTGATAACATTCTAAACTTAAAAATCCAAAAATATATTTACTTGATAATTACTGCTAAAACATTCTTATTAGAGAAATTCAACAATTTATTTCCAATCTTATACATTATTGACAAGAATAGGAAATTTCTATTAAATGATTTCAATGATTTTAATTCTTTAAACCAAACTGCTAGTATATGAGAAATATTTGGCTAACATATTCAATAGACTTTGATGATTAAATTTTCCATCTAATTCTTATTTGACTTCTTGTAATGTTTATATTTGCATTTCTAAATTCTAGGAATAAAGTCTGCCTTCATATCTCAATAATTTTTATGCAAATTATGCATTACTCATTATATTTTGTAAAATAATTAATTAATATGTATATATATCAAATTTATTCACAAAGTAAATTAAGTTTTTCAAAAATAAACTCTAATTATTCATAATCTCCTATTTCATAACTTTATTTCTATTTTTAAATGAGTTCTTTCATTTAAATTGCTATTTTTTTATATTTTTCATTATTATTAACAGGAGGCAATGAAGTTCTAATTGTTTGATTTGGAGTATTAAAAGATAATCTTCTTAAGCGATCTTATTATGACTATTATGAGTTGTTTCCTCTTGAATTGTTCGAAATTTCTATTTTAGAATTAGGAGATGTGTCAAATCTTATTAGATTAAGATCTGTTGGATTACGAGTATGTTTTGGTAGTCCAACATTACATTAATGAGAATTATAATTCTCTTTATTAGTATTCTTTTAAATTGTTTAAGCTAATTTTTATACAGATGAATCTTTTATTCTATTGTTTTTTTAAGATCTTATTTAATATGAAAAAATTACGTAGTTGGTTTGACAATTGAATAAAATGGTGATTTTTTACTGATTTTAGGATGCTTTGAAGGATTGATCAAATCTTGATTATAACAATCCTAACCGAAAGTAAATGCTTAATCTAAGTTCATTTAACGAGTAAAAAAATTAATTAAGTTATGATTATATAAATAATGTAATTATAAAGAATTAATTAATCAACACATTAAATAGTTTCAATTTATTTATTTATAACCTTTTAATAGATTAGGATGACATTTAAAGTAATTAATAAAGATAAAATTTACTGATTATTGAATATCATTAAATTGAATTAAAATGATCACGATATTTCTTTATCAATTTTTTTATTTCATTTTTACTAGCTGATTTAGTCATGGATGGTTTCAATTTTAATTTCATATTACATTCAGAATATGTCTAAATTTCTATTTTGTTTGGTTCCACTTATGTAATTAAATTTCCACTCAATAAAAGTGTAGCACGAGTTGTAGATTTAATAGTTGGAACACTATATTAAAATATAAAGATACTATGGTTAAAAATTTTGATCTTCAAATGATTTACTAACTTCAATTACAGAATCTTTATTAATAAATTTAGTGTATTTAATATAGAGAAAATCTCTTGGATCCATAAAAAGTATTTTTTTATATCTTAAATAATTGATCTGTAATCTTTCATCTGAATAATGAGATTCAAATTAATCCACTGATGTGTCTAGTTATTTTTATAATTGTAAATCTTTCATAAATGCAAGATAATTTTAAATTGTTGTATTAAGGGAGAACTTATATTTCATTTAAGTAATTTAGAACTTTTCAGATGTTTCATAGTATTTTATTTAGAAAATAAATTCATCTAGATTATTTTCAAGTAATTCATAATTCTCATATTCATCAAGTTATGTTTTAAATAATTCGATAGCTTAAAGTCCAATCTCTGTTAGTCTTTGAGTATTTTAAATTTCTATATTAGGAATATCTTAAATAAACTCTCTTGCTTGACTTATATTAATTTAATTATGCTTGACATCAATATCTTCGGATTTTTCTAATAACTTTTAATTTTATGACTGGACTTAAGTTTCTAAGTCTTAATAAGCTAATTAAGTTTCATAATCTATAATAAAATTTTCTTTTACTCTCTGTCCTTAATTCTACTTTCAAATTATTTTAAATCTCCTGATCTGTATTTAATTCAACTTAACTAAATTATTACATTTGATAGTTCTAATCTATGCTTTTAATCTTTGTATATTGAAGAATAGATAAGCACTTACTCAAAAAATGTTTAATCCATTAGATGCATTTATTCATATAATAATATTATGTGGAAATAATTCAAAAATATCATTTTAGATTATAGAGTAGCATCAAAGTATACAGAAATACAAAATGCAAAATTGTTTATTTCAAATTCAATGGAATTTAACTAGAACATGACATATGATATTAATACTATTTCAAAATTTAGTTATGTTTAAGCAAGAGCAAATCATTCTAAAAATCCAATATTGATAATAGGTAAATCATATCCTATACAAAATTCATTTACTTTACTTGAATACATAACTCTCTATCCTCAATTACTTGGACTATATCACAATAAAATACAAAATGAAACAATTGAAACAAAATAATAATTATTACAAAAAGGAGTAAATATTACTTTATTAGATGATCCTCATTAAATAGATGGAATATATGTTTTAGGATTAGAAAAGAATTGGGAAATCTAAGCTCAAGTAATAACTTATAAAAAATAAAGGTTATTTGTGATCTTTTGAGCACTGAAAATGGACTTATTAATGATAAATTTCATAAAGTTGATTAACACATACCACTTGAATATTTTTATAACATTGGTGATAAAAATATGGAAAATCAATAATTGGCAATAGAATCTACTTATAGACTTATCTATGGTTAAGATGTTAAAATGTCCAGAATCATTTCTGACTTTGATATTCTTATTGACTATTCAAAATCTATTAAAGATACTATTCTTTATATAAATGAAGATTCAAACTTTATTGTGAATGATTAATAAATAGAGAAAATATGAATTATAAAAATTATATTTATATATATATATAATTGAAATAAGCAAATGAAAAATAAGATTGTATCACTTTTTATCAAAAGAGAACATTTAATTCTCTTGTCTAAAATGTAACTCAATGATTAAAATGAGCTCATTTTGAGGATTGATTAAGTTAATCAGAAAGTTGAAAATACTATTTTAAAAACTGAAAGATGGCCTTAATTAGACTTAGATTATTTCTAGAATTCTTTTGTCCAAATAGTAAATTTGTCATTTGCCTATTTTAAAATGTATTTTCCTGTTAATTCAGCTTTACAAATACGAGAGCATTTGAAGTTTACATAATGCTTAAAATAAATTAATTATGGAGGAGTAACACTTGAAGAAGTTTTTAAATAATAAAGGGTAGAAGTGAATCCCTATAATAGTTACGATTAGTTACCTCTCTCTCTATTAGACTATCAGAAGAGCCTCTGATTCCTAAAATTTTCAACACCTAACTAGATTTTGATTATATCTCACTTCTACAATCAAAATATTTCAATCAAAAAAACCCAGATTATCAATAACCTTATTAGATTCTCAATCTTAAACATTTTGAAATGAAAATTAATACTAGACCTTTTAGAGAAATATCAATTTCTTCAATTTAAGATGTTCCTTAATTCTAATTAATTAATCCATAATTAATCTAACCTATTATAAATTATGACACATTTTCTAGTACTTTCGAATATAAATTTAATAAACTAATGTCTAGAAATTTATCAATATAATAAACAATCAAAAATTACTTCTAATAAGTTAAATTATTTGAAGAAAATGATAAAGAAAAAGATCACCTTAAATTATTATTTAATTTACAAACTCAAAAATTAAAAGAAACTATGGTCAATGAAAATTAGAACAAACCAATTAAATCAAAAATTTAAACAAATTTAAGTTAAATTTAAATTGAGTCTGATAAAATAAGCATGTTGAATAGTTTAAATTCAAATGATAGTGATAGAAATAAATCTTTTTAAAAATCAATTAAGAGGTTAACTAAAAAAGACTCTTTTTGTGACCATGATAAACTAAGAGCTGTAGATAGATAATAGAAATTAAAAAATAAGATAAGAAATTTAAATACTATGATTTACAATTAAGCAGATGATATGAGAAAAAATTAAACTAAAGCTGATTAAGATGATTCTCAAAATTTAAAGTAGCCTAAATAATAAACATTAAAAGATTAGCAAAATTTAAGATCTTTGACTCAATACACTATAGAGGATAGTTTTAAGGCTGAAATTAACTTGCACTAAACCTATCATGCATAAAAGAATCCTATATTTAAATAAATTGATAACTAATTTAAGGATGAAGATAAGCAATCTTAATTAATAGATTAGTTAAGTAGCAGTATAGAAATTTAAGGTTAGAGAAAAAATTATAAATTAAGAAGATCACAATATGCTCCTGAAAATAGAAAATTTGATGATGGAAGTTGTAGTAATAATAATACTGAACACATAAAATAAAGTACTCACTCAATAAAAAAATAAAATAATAAATCTATTGAACGTTTAACTTTAAAACCAATTGATTATGTATAAGTTTGTTCAGGAGATAAAAAATTATAATAAAATGAATAATTCATATTTTAAAAAAAGCAAAAGAGATATCAAACACAAGAAAAGGAAGAATTAGCATTAAATGATATTTTAAAATTGAAAAAATAAAGTAACTAAAGTGTGAGAAATGCTTTACTATTACTAACTTGCGCTCGTTCAGAATAATTGTTAACTTCATTGATAGCTAGTGGAACTATAAAACATTAATAATATTAGTCTTTCTTATAACCAATTAAGATATATTCTAAAGCTAAATATCTGACTCCAAAGTGATATATTTACATAAAATCAATGACCTTATAAATTTTTATTATCTGGATAAAGATACTTAAATATAATATCTGCAGTTTAGAATTAATAGTATTTTAATGCAATATATATTGCAGTTATTTCATTATGCTAAAATATTGATATTAAATTAATACATTTTGGATAGAAACATTAGCACCATTTTTGAGTAAATATTCAATGATTTAAGCAGATTTAGATCTTGAAATTAGCATAATGTCATCATCATCATTCTTATAATTTACATCAATTCATATTTCTAATTTAAGAATCTCTTTCAGATCTTAAAGCCTGTGTTCTTCAATCATTAAATAGATTCTTTAATGCAAAAATTTTATCCTTATTTTTATTTTTCTGTATCAACATATTTTTAATAATAACTATTATGGGTCCATTGATAAGTATTTTAGATTATTTTTTATTTAATATATATTACTTTTCTAAATCTACTTATTATTATATTCTTTCTCTTATTCTACTGACACTTTCTAAATTCTAGGAGTTCATATATTGTAATTAAAACTTTGATGATGGTTAAACTTATAAAATATTAATGAAGGTTTTAAAATTATTTAACTATTTATAATACACTTACTTTTAAGAATTTTTGGCTCTTAAGAAGTTCTATGACATCTTAAACATACCTTAATAAATTTGATAAGATTTACTGTCTATATTTCTTTCTATATTTTAAATTGAACTTATTAATTTTAATTGATATTTTTTTTACGATTTAGAGTCATTTTTAATAATAGAATAAAATAAATACAATATTTGATGGAGATTCTGATCTACTTTTAATAAATAAAAGATAAGTGGAACCCTTTATAATAGGATTTTATTATTTTTCTTAAATCTTCAAAAAACTTATCATAATTTTTAAAGATTTAGTTTAATAATTATATTTAGTATGTCTTTTTGGAATGGCTTATAATTACTATTTAAAGAAAAGTTCTATTTGATTAAAATAATATTATTTAGGCAATCATTAAGTTTATGCATGAAAGTAAATGTTAGATTTAGGTATTTAAGTTTTAATAAGGGTTTTGCTTTTTGATTATTTTTCTTCATTTCTTTCTCGATGAGTTTTAAAGATTTAAATAATTTTTAGAACTTTTTTCTGAAAATTTTTTTATTTTGATTTAATTTGGTCTTACAAACTATTACATTTCTCCTTATATTTGACTACTTATAATTGAACTTGAATAGTCACAAAAAACATCTTTGAAGTTAGGAGTTATAACTCAGATATTTTCTTATGATTATTTTGATATCTACTCTGGTTCCCAAATTTGAATAGATGGTGAAGTTTTTATTCTTTATGATATTAATTTGGCACTTGGTTTTTATGATGACACTATATTCTTTGAATTCATTTAAAGCAATTTAATCATATTCAATTTTAGCACCTATAGAGCTAGACTGCAAATATGGTTATTTAAGGGCTGTCTCATTCTTTCTTTTATGTTTATTTCTACAAAATGTTAAATAGGATGTTGGCTTTTATTCATTTGATTTTGTAACTACTTAATTAGTACTCATTTATGAAATAGGTTTAGGTATTCTGTTAACAAAATAGTTATCAGCATGTTATTTCATTATTAAAAAATGTTTAATTGTAATTAAACCATTATTTCTAAAAATGATTAATAAATATAGCTGAATTCGTCTGATCATATTTGTATTTAAGTTTAATTTATCTTAAAATTAAGCTAAACCTATTTGTATTAATGGTATTCATATATCAAGATGAACTTTTTAATTTTCATAATATTAATCGAAATCTGAAGATATATGGATTAGTATACCAAATAGACTACTTAAAATCCATAAAAATATTGTTTTTAAACTAATAATACAAATTAAGGGTTCATAATTAAAATAATAAATGTGTCCATTCCTTAATGCTGTTAGAATACTAATCTTGTGGTTCATTATTATGGCTGTATTTTTAAAAAAGAATGAAGGAAAAAGAATAGCTTAGATGACATGGACTTGTTTTGATAAACTTTGGACTATTTTGTCTAACTTTCACTAAAGATGTATTATATGATTTCATCAATTAATATTTTACAATGAAATAAACTATCATCATTTTTTACATCATCTGCTTAATTATATCCATTGTATCAGTTAAAGGTAAAAATATAACTGATACCTTTAATATATTTTCTTGATTCAAGAATATAACTTATTAGTATGCTATCAAACCTATAGAATAATTATTGATCTAAATGGGTCATCTATGTAAAGAATACATAAGATGCTAGATTATTTACAGATCCATATTTCTTCCCTTTTAAAGGTATTAATTTATTCAATTTAATATTTCTTGGAAATCATAGCTGTTCAGCAAACTTCTTGATGCATTTTAATTATTATAAGAAAATTCAACATATCAATTCTGTCGAATATCTAAACTAATTCTAGTTCTTAAAGTGATTGGAACAGCCCTAATTACACAGGAAATAGCAACTTGAATCATTGATCACTTATTTTTTAAATTAGAAAAAGTTGATAGAGATATATATTCTAGCTAATATTTATGAGAAATAATTTTTGTAAAATTTTTTAGCATGCGCTAAATTTATTTTATAATAGTATGGTATGCTCTCTGAGATAATGGTACTTCTTTTTATGACTTAAGACAATATTCATAATATAGAAAAACTATCAATAGCATATATGGCTTCATTATTTATACTCTAAATACTAAATAAAATAATGGAGATCATATCAAAATCAATTTCAATTTATTTAATTTATCATCAATAATTCGATTCTGCAATCAGAATTCATAAATTATTGGAATAAAATTTAATATGAAGATTATTTATTTAATTATAACTTAAGAAAAAATAACAAATTTAGATGATTAAACACCAAGAATTTTATCTTTATACAGTGATTTTAATATTATAACTACTTTATTTTCTTAAAGTATTAAATAATTAGAATTAGAATTTAAAAGCAAAATTGTATATTTTTATAATAAATTATTTTATCACAATTATAAATAATATTTCATGTTACTATTTTAAGAAGTACTTTGAAATTCTTATTTCGAGATAAATATTATATTAATTCTAAGTGAATTTCCTCTTTTCCTTTTTTGATTATATCTTGTTCAATTAAATAATAAGCTTAAATATCATCATAACTTATGATCTTTATTATTTATTTTACAACTTTTTAATTTAGTTTCTCTTCTTCATCTTTAATCTAACCTTCCTATTAATTCAATTATATTTTCTTTTTTTAATAATTAAATTCTATCTTCGAAGGCACTGTGTTAATTAAATTATGCTAGCATTTTAATTAATTATAATAATATTGCGTTAGTTTTCTTTTGCATTACTATTCTAAAATACTTTATAAATTGTTAGAAAAGATTGTACCTATAAAATTATTATGCTTTATTCTGATTTAAAGAATTTTCTTTAACTGCTCAAATTGCAAAAAATAATTATAAAAAATGTTATAATAAACAATTAAAAAATATGATTATTTAAATACCAGACCCGCCAAACTCATAATTTATTGAGGATTAATTCCAAATTTGATTTGATATTTATTAAATAATTTAAATCAGCAAACCTCAAATTTTGGATGTCATTGATTCTCAACTTTGAAGAGTGTTAAAATGAGATTATTGTAGGAACTCTAGCTTTTTTTTCAATTTTTTTGATTCTAGTTTTATAACTTAAGAAGTAAAATATTTTATAGCTTTTAGATAATGTGCAGAGTAGAAAACTTTATATGAAAAAAGCTATATAAAATAGAGTCCAAAAGAATTTGAATCGAATAAATAGTACTTAACTAAATATCATATATAAAAATTAAAGGAGAATCCTAAGTTTAAAGAATGGTAATCATAATCGAAAAATATTTGATAAATTTTAATTACTCAATTTATATGTAAATCAGATATTATTAATTTATAATTATAATTAAACTCTCTTTGTTTTTATATTAATAATCAAAATACACCTGAAAAATTGAAATAGAAATAACTAATAATATATATAAATATATTATGATATTTTAACATTAAGAAAATATTAAATATAATATTAATTTGATTTCTTAATCACAAATTTTTTTTTAAAAAATATTGGTCTAATTTTTTTTATTTTGGGTCTTCTATGATTTATTGTTTTTTATTGCTTTTTTTTTATTCTTGCTTATTTTCATTTGCATTATCAGAAGGATCTACTGATTTCTTTCGTTAATTTTAGTTCTCTTTAGGTACTTGATTTTAAGTGATGTTTTCTTTTTTAACTTGTTACTTTTTGGCTTTTTTTTCTTTTTTAATTTATTCTTTTTCTGAAGACTTTTCTTTATTTTAATTTTCATCTTTTTATTCCCTTTGCTTTTTTTATCTTTATTTTTGTTGTTTTTATTCTTAATTAAATTCTTATTATTTTTTTTCTTAATTTGTATTTAATTCAGGTTGATTCTGTTCTTAATTTTTTTATTCCTAATTTTCTGGTTATATAATAGATTAAAATTCTTATTTATTATCTCCTTCATTAGGATTTACTTTTTTTTTGGAAGTTTTAGTCTTTTTTTATGAAGTTTATTTCTCAAAATTAAATTAAGTGTTTTTAACAAGATAATAATCATTTTCTAAATTTTCAAATTATTTCAATAGTTTATCTTCAGCATTTTAAGATTTGATATTGGATAATTTATTTGAAAATATTCTAATTTTATCCAATTTATTTAATAAATCTTAAATATGCTTTCTTATGGTTTATAATTATTATAATTCAGGACTATCAATTGATTCAACAAACTTAGTTATTATTTCACTACTATAGTGATCCATTTATAAAAGTTATGATGGACAAGCAGTGTCTTTAATTTAGAACAATTTTAGATAATCATATTTATTACCTATATTGTCTTAATTGATATTAATAGTAAATATTTGTTCACATTAAAGGTCATCTGTAACTTAAAAACCATGTTTTACTAATTATTCATTAACTTTGGTAAGTAGATCTGATTATTTCCCCCAAAAATGAGAAGCTAAATATTTACCTAATAAAACTTAATCATTTTTCTCTTTAATTTCATTTATGACTTGATCAGAGGCAGAATTTACAGGAAAACCTAGATCTTATATTTATTCATAGATTGTTTTATATTAAGAACATTTTTTCTCAATTTCTTCTATTTTAGAAGACTTAATATATTTTATTTAAGTTTCTTTTTAATCTTGTTTTTGTTCTGTTTTGGCACTTTTTTTTTATTTTGGCATACCGCGCAAAAATGAATAATAAATTTAATAAATAATAAAATTTTATTAAGAATGTGAAAATCAAATAATATAAGTCTAAATAAAAAAATATTATATAAGTATATTAATTGAAATAGTAAGAAATAAAATTTGATAATCATTTAATAAAATAGGTTTATGGTCTTCTTTAATGATTAACAATAATTATCTTTTATTTTAATGGAGAAAGTGTTTTTTTTGATTGGAAATAGTGGGTTGAGTTTGATGATATTAATAACTTGGAAAAATCAATCAAAGAGTTGAGATTTTATTTTTTTTAGAATCCTAGAGTAAAGAGATATAATACTTAGAAATATTGAATAGAATAACTAGTATCTTGATCGAGTTGAGTATTATTATTTTTTTATTAAGTATTAAGAGTTGATTATTAATATTGAGAATATTATATATTGGGCAATAATCTTCTAATTGATATGGATTATTATTTTTTATGATGATATTTTGGTGATAGAAATATTTTTTCATAAAGTTGAATGTCTCTTAGAACTTTTTGATTGGAAGCATTATCATTTTTATATGAGTTGATTTTAGTGAAGTTTTTCATAGATTTATTTAATTTATTAATTTAATGTTAAGAATATTTAGTAAATGTAGATTCTCAAGTGTTAATTTTTATTAATTATTGGGAGTTAAAAGAGATGCAACAAATGAGGAAATAAAAAAACAATTTCACATATTAGCAAAATAGCATCATCCAGATTCTCCAAATGCAAAGGAGAGTGATTAAGTAAGAATGAATATAATTGAAAGGAATTATTTAAATCAATAGTAGCAGCATATAATACATTATCAGATGAGAATGAGAGAAAGAAATACGATAGAACTTTAATGGAATAATAACAATAATATAGTGGTACATAATAAAATTAGGAGACAAGAAACTAATATTCTTAATAATAAAGATAATAATAATATTAATAGAGACCGATAAATCCAAATAATCAATTTTATTATGATTTTAGAAGGAAAACATAAGATTTTGAAGAGAAAGACTTTCATAGATAAAGAAATAAATATATAGAAGATAATCCATTATTTCATAGTATGAGAAAGAGTCCAGAATTGTATGTAGTGAGTTTGATATTATTTGTAATAATGTGGAGATGGAATTCATAAATGATAGAGGAGAGAACATAATCAAGATATTAATCATTTCCAGAGGATCCTGAATTTATAAGAGAGAAGGAAAGAGATTATAAGAAACGTTATGGTTATTCACCATATCCAAATAGATAAATATTGTATAAAGTAACAGAAACTGAATGCAAGTAATAGATTACATAATATATATAGGAATATTCCAATAGACATTTTAGATGAGATGGATGAAAGTGGTAGATATAATTTAGCACCATTGTGTTATGAAAGATTAGATAGATTTAGATCTGAATAAGGAGCATAAGTAATATAGGCAAGTCATCATTCAGAAGATACGGTAAATTAATACTTAAAATTGTCAAAAAATAAAGGTTTAAATAAAAAATAAATTGTGGACGAGGATGATGATGAAGATGATGAACAAGAAGATGTTTCTAAATTATATTAATAAGCTAAAATATTTAGAAGAGTTAAAGGTATAGATGGTAATCATCTAAATAAATAAAATATTTAAACATTAAATATTAATAGAGAATAATAATAATAATAATAATAATGATTTTATATATTTATTTATTTGATTTAATAATATTCATATGAAAAAGAGTGATCTTCTCTGATTCAAAATTGGATTTGGCTTAATCAATGATTATGGTTTTCTTGGATCAAATCTATCTCCAATGAAATTAGAACAAACATGTGCATATTGAATAGGTGCAGGTATCTAATAAAAGATTTTGAATTACTTTAATGGCTCCACTGAAATTGTAATACATGTAGCATAACTTATAAGATAAAGCTTATAATTTTTTAAGGATGTTTGGTTCATCAACTAAATCATTAACAAGAACATGATAATGAGTTGGTTAGACAGTACCTTACGTAGTTCTTTGTGAAATCAAATAATAATCATCTTTTCCATTACTAATTTCTGTATCAATTAAAGTACCTTAAGGAGGATTATCAAGATTTCTATTAAAATGATAATATAATATATATAAATACCTTTCTCCAGCATAGAATTTAGCACCTACTTTTTTATTAACTGATAATACTATTAATTTAATTGGTTTATCTGAATTCTTTTCAGTTTTGACTTATTCAATAGCTTATCTAAATTAGGCAACTTCAGTTTCAATAACAGTTTTAGCTTAAGAATTAGAAACGCCATCTCTAAAAATGATAATTCTAGATGGTAAAGGTCCATTTCTATCACCTGAAAAAGATTATAAAGCTTTGACTAAGACAGGACATAAACTAAATGAAAATTCAACTCCAGTTTCCATTTCTATAGATTAAGTCATATATTTGCTAAAGAATTCATCTTCTGTAGATACAAATGATAACATAGATTTCTTTGCTTTTCCAGTAGAATGATAAACATCCATTCCACAAATCATAGTAGGTTAATCAGTAAATGGTAATTCAGATACTCCCCAAGGTGTACCTCCAACTTTAGCACAAATCTATACTAATAATTTATTGCATATTGTTTTAACTTTTCCTTTAGGTTAATTTAATGTAGAACTTAAAATTACTTAAGATGCAATGGGACAATCATTAATTAAATATCTTTTAATATCTGTGTAAAGTGGAGCATTCTTTTTAGGACCATTCAATATCAATAATAACAATGTTACTTTTTATGGTCCTTATGATTATTATACTATAAAATCTATCTATTTAATCCAATCTTCAATCTTATTTGAATGTAATACAAATGTTCTTGGAGCTTTACATTAGAACTTACAATATTCAATACTCTCTCTTAAACAACTCATAAAATCCTCTGCTTATCTACTATCTCTATCACTATATAATATTCCCCAATTCTCTAATCCAACTCCTCTTAACATAGCTGTTTAAGTATCTCTATCTAAATTACCTGTCTCTATATTTATTGCTGTATTATTCCCCATCATTATATTTCCTGGTCTTATTTTTGAACTCTAAATCTATAAACATTTAGGTTCTAATTAAATATTCCATTTCTTTATTAATTCTTCACTCTCCTTATTATGAAAACATTAAATAAATTAATCTGCCTATCTTACTCTATCTACTCCTCTTGGCTTTGTCACTGTTGATAATTATTTCATTGTCTAAAAATTATTTCTCATCTCATTTGATAATCCTGTCATCACACATAACTCAGGTATTAAATAAATTATCTTTTCTTCTTATTTCTTTCTTGATTTCTCTAATACTTCTATTAATGGTTAACTTACATCTTTTATACCAATCTTATACCTTTATTTAAATTATACTATATTCTTACTTATCTTAATAATATTGCATATAACTCATCTTCTCTCCTTTCATATTCTCAAATTCACTTTTTGGATTCATCTCTCTACTTACCTTATTCACTTTATAAAATTTATAATTGTAAACTGTCATTACTATTGCTCCCTCTAATTATGAAAAATCTCTTGAATTTCTCAACTCTTCATACATTGTTGTACTTCTCAACATTTTAAAAGAAGAATCTATATTAATATAATATTTCCCTTATTCTTCCTACTTTATTAAACTGCATGTCACTCCTGGCAAAACCTTTACATTATTATATATACATACTTTTAATCCAAATTAATCAAAATTTATTAAGTTTTTTGTATTAAAATACTTTCTTCCAATTTATAACAATTTTTATTATTTTAATAACATCTTAAAGAATCTTCCAATTAATCCTGTATACTCTGGTTCTCCAGGTTTTAGAACTGCTTTCTCTTCTATTGAAATCGAATGACTATTTCCTTCCTCTTCATAAACTCCTAATAATAAACCCATTGTTTATGCTCTCACTGGTGAATACAATATTTAATTATTTGTTATGAACACTTTTAGATTCTCTTATAAACCTGACTTTGCAATCTTGAATATCTCTCTCCATTTAGATATCTATTATTCAGGGGATAAGAATGGTTAAAATTACAACTTTAAAGTATATATATATTATAGCATACTTGATATCTGTAGATATGACTATTTGGGTTTATTTGAATCTAATAGAAATTTGTATAAACTGTTTATCCTCTCTCAATCATAAATGATCTTAATTATTGTAGTCTATTTTAACCATCGATTTTCAGATATATATACTAAAAAATCTAAGGATTTTATTATGTTCTGTAAAATTTAGAGTAACTATTATTTATGTATAGCTAAATAACTATTTTTTTAAATATCATAAGTTTATATCATAAGATATTTGATTAAAAAAGAACCATTGTTAAAAAGAACTGTGTAATGATGAAGATCAAGAAAATAATTGATCATATTAACAATAAGTGTTATGAAAGGATGAAAAAATAATAAAAACTAATTGATATATGGAGTCTAATAATATAATTATTATTTATGAAATAATTTTAATAATATACTAATTGGATTATATGTCTAGATCCTGATAGTCATTAAATTTATTCGACCAATGGAGACATGATCATCATAGAAAGCAATGTGGATGTTGACTACAAAAATAAATGTGAACACGCTCTATTAGATATGGATTACATTCTGTATAATCATGATAATATAGCACATTGGTTACAAGATTCAGCAGAAGTTGAATAATATAGAAGGAGAACTATCCCTTCTTATCTTTTGCATCCCAAACAATAGCAATATAGAAGATATTTAGTAGAATCTAATATGGGATTCTCATTTAGTAACATTTACACTATAAAATTTAACATCTATTGTAAATGTAGCAATGATTTCTTGAATGGTAAACAAACTAAAATTGAATTCAATCTCATGACAAGTGCAGATGAAACCATTTAAATGATCTTAACCTAATTTCAATACGAATCCTCATCTTCCAATTAATTCATTTTATAAGTAGATGGATATTAAGAATATATATATGGAGAACAACCTTTATTTTAATTTACACGAATACGCAATATTATTAGAGATACTTAAGTCTTGAATACTATTCTAATTGATTATTTGCCATCCAATAATTTTGATTATCCTCCTATTTATCAAAGACCTAAAGATAATTATGAACTTATTAATGATTGGAATAAATATCTAAATGTACCTGTTTTTATATGGTTTCCTAAATAAAAGATACTCAACTAATAGGTCAACATCTTAAAACAAGTAATATTGACTTATATCATAGAATAGAATTGTTAATGATCTAGATTTCATTTATTCAGGATAATGTGATTTCTATTTCAGTTTCAAAATTATTAAAATTGATTAACTTAAAAATTTGTTCGAATCTGATTTTGATCGACTTGGTAAAAAGAGATCAACATATAATGGAACAACTAAATTAAATAATATTACTAAAAATCAACCATCATAAATTAATAAAAATAAAAATATTCTTATGTTTCATAAAAAACACATATAAAATGATGAACCATTCATTCCTAATAGATATATATCCTTTGGAGGAATAGAAAATAGAAATTACATTAAATAAATTTAAACTCTATTCAATCTTAATTTCGAACCCTATCTAATTTCTATTCAAACATCCTTGTATTATGGTGATAAATTACTAACCAATTCATCAATCAAAGAATCATAACTTATACCATTTTCATTTTCACCTACATTCAATGAATCAATTAAATTTACCCAAATTAAATATTCTATGCTACCTTTAGAAGTCAAATTATGCTTTAGTGTATTAATCTATTCCGCTCATGGAGAATCATAAATTATAGGAAGTACTAGTATGTATTTGTTTGATCACAACTCAAAATTTAAACAAGGATTGTAAAACATTAATTTATGGCCTTTTTATGATATTAATCCTAAAATTGGTTGTTTTTAAGATTTTAAAGGTGAAATCAACCTAGATAACAATTATAAAAGATGTAGACCTAAATGCTATAGCTATTTAACCATTAAAATGGATTGTTTTCATTCTCCATTTAAATGGTCTTTAAGAGATCAAAAATTTTAATAATTTCAAGGAAGTTTGAAAGATTGTTTAAGTGTGAGACATTATGCTGATTTAGTCAGATCTGATTCACAATTATAAAAGTAAATTGAAAATAAAAAGAATCATCATTTTATGAAAGATCATAAAATGCAACTTGATTTTGATAAAACAACTGGGTCCGTTATATAATAAAATAAAAGAAAAGGAATCAGTATCCTTTAAAATGCAGAAAGCTAAAGATCAAGTAATTTCTCATAATTAGCTAGAAATTCTTTAAATAATTTTATACAACATTTTATGTCAAATAGAATGACTGCTAATTATTATAAAGAAAATAGCGATAGACTTGGTCTTGCATATCCATACAAAGATATTGATCAAACACCAAAAACTGAAGATCTTGCTTATTTATAAACATTATTATCGGCCACATCATTAGATAGAGTACATTATTCTTAATTGGATAAGTTTTTATTAATGATTTGCCGTCATCATTACAAAACATTACCTTATGCATTATAATTATTTTTAAAGGCTGTAAATTGGGCTGATCCAAAATAAGTACGTGAGGCTCATTAAATGATAAAAGAATGGATTGCATTACCACCATAAATAGCATTAATTTTATTGGATTCTCATTTTCCAGATGAAATAGTTCGATTATATGCAGTAGATAGAATAAGTCTTTTATCTGATGATGAATTGAGTTTATACTTATTACAATTGAGTTAGGCTTTGTAATTTGAGAAAAACATATATAATCCATTAGGAGAATTGCTTTTAGAGAGAGCCTCAGCAAATCCTTTTTAGATAGGATAAGAATTATTTTGGCTTTTGAAATCTTAATTAAATTTAAAACCTTCATTTTTACGATATTTTATATGGTTGGAATAATTGATAATGATATGTGGTTAATTTCGAGAGACAATAGTAAAGGAAGTAAGATTAAACAATTTATTAATGGAATCATCTGTCAAAATAAAAAGTAAATAATTTGGTACTGAAATGAATTAAAAGACTGAGGCATTAAAGAGAGAATTACAACAGATATCTTAGAATATAGCATAACCATTTACATTTCCAATAGATGCAAGAATGTAAATAGCAAATTTTGATATTGATTAATGTAAAGTTTTAAATTCAAAGAAACTTCCATTAAAATTATATTTGAAATCTTGTTAAGAATCAATTAACAAATAAATAAATTAATTATAAGTAATTTTTAAGAATGGAGATGATTTAAAATAAGATATGTTAACTTTGTAGATAATAAAGATAATTGATACAATATGGTTAGATTCCGGATTAGATTTTAAGATGAAACCATATAAAGTGATTGCAACTGATGATTAGGTTGGAATGATAGAAGTTGTGTTGGATTCATTAAATATTTCTGAAATACATGATAAGATAGGTGCATTTGGAGCATTTGATGAAAAAGCTCTTATTGATTATTTGCATTAATAAAATCCAAATGCTGAAGATTTTAATAAATCTAAAGATATATTCCTAAGATCATGTGCAGGATATTGTGTAGCAACGTATGTATTAGGTATAGGTGATAGGCATAGTGGAAATATTATGATTAAATCAAGTGGACATATATTCCATATAGATTTTGGACATTTCTTAGGGAATTTCAAAATCAAATTTGGAATTAATAGAGGTAAAAAGTTAATAACATTATAGAAAGAGCTAAATTTGTATTAACACCTGAAATGTTAACAGTGATGGGTGGTTAAGATAGTGAGACTTTCAAATAGTTTGAGAAACATTGTTTGGATGCCTATAATTTAATTAGAAAACATGGTAGATGGTTGGTTGATTTATTTTTAATGAATTTAACAGCTGGAATTCCAGAATTATCAAATGCAGAAGATGTGAGATATTTGTAAGATAGATTAGCCTTGAATCTATCAGAATAAGAGGCAACAATGAAATTTAGATAAGAAATAATTACGTCAATTAATGATAAATGGAGAAGAGTGGACAACTTTTTTCATACTCTTAAAAGGAAAGGATGAAGATTATATAACTATATTAATAATCATAATTTGAATATTATTTATTTATCTAAATTATATAGAGTATCATATGCAATAGAAGCAAATAGACAAAGGGTTTTATCAAACCAAGGTTTGTGTAATTGATAATGGTATTTAATAAAGTGAATCGTAGGTACCGGTTTTACAAAGATGGGTTGGGCTGGAAATACTGAGCCTTAATTCGATATTCCTACAGTGGTGGCAGATCATCAAGATAAAGTAATGAGATAGATTGACATTAGTAAAAAGTACAAATGAGCAAGAATACAAATGATAATTTAGATTATTACATAGGATATGAAGCATATGACTATACAAAGTCTCATAACATCTTTTATCCAATGAAGAGTGGAATAATTGAAAACTGGGATCTAATGGAAAAGTTTTGGCATAGAAGCATATTTGATTACTTAAGAGCTGAACCTGATGAAACAACCTTCATTTTAACTGAACCACCTATGGTAAAGATGCATAAAATGATATATAGAATCCTCCTGAAAATAGAGAGAATATTGCAGAAATATTTTTTGAAACATTTAATGCTAAAGGATTACATATATCAGTTTAAGCTGTTTTATCCCTTTTTTCTAGTGCATTTGCACCTGTAAATGATTATCAAAAAACAGCAGGATTGACTGGTATGGTTTTAGATTCAGGAGATGGTGTTACACATTGTATTCCTGTTTCTGATGGTTATGTTATTGGATCATGCATTAAACATATACCTTTAGCTGGTAGAGATATTACTTAATTTGTTTAAAATCTATTAAAAGAAAGAGGAGAAAATATACCAGCTGAAGATATTAAAAAAGTAGCTAGAGAAATTAAAGAAAAATATGGATATTGTATTAGTGATGGAGATCTTATAAAAGAATTTTAAGCTTTTGATAAAGGAGAAAAAAATACATTTAAAACATATTATGGAAAGAATTCAATTACTAAAGAAAAATATACTATTGATGTTGGTTATGAAAGATTTCTTGGACCAGAAATGTTCTTCCATCCTGAATTTCTTGATGGAAAATGGAGATCACCTATTGATGAAATAATTGATAAATCAATATAAAGTTCACCTGTTGATTGTAGAAAAAAATTATATCAAAATATTATATTATCAGGTGGATCTACATTATTTGAGGGTTTTCCTGAAAGATTAGAATAATAAGTTTAACGAAGAATAGATTCTAGACTATTAAAATATGCATAAAGATCTGGATTCAAAGTATTATGTTCCTTATTTAATCAAGCCTGCACCTATCAAAGTTAATGTTTCTTAAAATCCATTTTAAAGATATGCTGTTTGGCAGGGAGGAAGTTTGATGGCATGTTAAGTATTTATTATTTCTATTCTAGCCACAATTTGAAAAAGTTTATCATACTAGATAAGAATATTTCGAAAGAGGACCATCTATTGCTAGATATAATGCTGTCTTTCAACCATAATATTGAATTAAATGTTCACATTAAATAAGAAATATTAATATATATTAATGAATCAGGATTCATTATAATACAAACCTCATGTCATCAATGTTTCTTATTAAGAAATCTCTCCTGATATACCAGACTTTTTTACACATAAAAGACATGTATTTATTATGACCAATACAGGAAGACCCATTTATGTTAGATATGGAAGTGAAATCAAAGTATTTAGATAATAAAATATCAAAAGTCATCTATCTTTTTAGCTACGATTAATGCAATCTTTTAAAAGTTTCTTCTCTTCTTTTTTGAAGATAAAGAAAAATAAACATTGTTTAAGATTTCTCATGACAAATGTAATATATACATTCTACAGAGAAATTAAATCACTTACATTTGTAGTACAAATTCTCTCTAAGTATTAAAATGCTTTATCTTAGGATTCAGAATTTATCATATATTAAATGTTGGATTTTCTCAATACTTAATTGATATCAATAGTGACAGATTAAGCAAATGTTCAATTAACTTAGAAACCAAATTATGATTTAGCATTTTCAGTAGGAGGATCACGAAATCTATTGACTTTGGCAATAAAGAATGGATTATATTCGCCATGCATAGCTTTCAATTCAATATGTACATTACCTATGACAGCATCATTAAGATCATACATTCATAATAATCTAAAAGAAATTAAATTGCCTAATATTATATCATCTTTATTATTAACAGAGACTTTTGTTATTGATATTTGGAGATAGAAGAATATGGAATTTAAAACATCTGATATATTGATTATATAAAGTATGATACAAGGATAAGGATAATTAAAAAAAGGTGAGAATTGGACACCAATATGTTTACCAGGTTTATCAGCAATGGGGTTTGTTTATGCTTATATAAATTTCTTCTATCAAAATACAATTGGAATTGTAATGATTTCTGATGATAACTCTTTAGAAATGTTTTCAAAATGCAAAGAAGCAGCCTAAGTATTAATAGAAAAATTCAATTCAATAAATCTATTATAAACTTTATCTTAAACTCTTCAAGATAATCCACCAACTCCAAAATGTTTAGAGAATTAAACTTAAATTAAACATTTCATTGTTAGACATATTTCTGGATAAATATTCCTTCCTGTGTATTAAGCTTTTGGAATAAATAATAAAACTTTCAAATTTTACATGTAACATTATGGAGAATTGTATAAAGATTTTATGATTTCCTAATCCCTTGGCAATTAGGATGTAAAATAAAATTATTTTGTATGGGATTCTAGAGGCTTTGGTATTACACAATATCATGATGTTATAGTAATAATATTAGAATTATAATTAGATTATGTTCTGTTTTAATGAATTGATTGAATTCTAATAAATAGTATAGAATGTTCATATTCTTCATAAAAAGTTTAAAAGTGAAGAATTAAATAACTTTTTTATATTGAAAGCATCCTGATCTTGATGAATGATTATTAAAGATATATATATATGTTATTAAATTATAATTTTAATGAAATAAAAACAATTACATAATCCTGGAAAGAGATGAAAATAATATGAGATTGTATAATTAATTGAATAAGGTGGATATTGTAAAGTTTATCGTGTAAATATTATTTGTATTTAAGGCAGTTAATATTTAGACAAATGAGAATGTTGCAATTAAAGCTATTTCAGTGTAAACATTTAAGAATCATGGAGGATTGGTTGGGCAATTACATGAAACAGAAATATAAAATATAAAAATCATTAATATTAACTATGCTGTTAGATTGATTGATGAATTTCAATAAAATAAATACTTATATATTGTTATGGAATATTGTAATCATAAAACTTCCTTATGAATATATCATAGAAGCAGATATTGAAAAACTATGGATGGATAATAATAAGTAATTTAGTGAAGAATAAGCCATATCATATGTTAAACAAATTCTTAAGGGAATGCAAGATCTTCATTAATGTTATATTATGCATTAGGATAAAAAACATTCTCTTACATAATGATTCAATAAAATTAAGAGATCTTGGATTCAGTAAGTGTAAACCTAAATTTATGCATTTAGTATAATAATAATAATAATCCTATGACTTTGACTATTGGTATGCTTGGCTATATGGCTTCGGAAGTTGTTCAATCTAAATAAAATTTCAACTTTGCTGATATTTTCAGTTTAGATTGTCTTTTCTATTTGATGAATTATGGGTAATTGCCTTTCTCAGATTAAAATCATTAAATCTATTTGTATGAAACTGAAAATAAAAGTATAAATAAAATTCATTAAAAGAAATCATTCATAATGACAATATTACATTTTAAAAAATACAGTTCATTATCAATTCTATGTTAGAATATAATAACGATAAAAGAATTAGCTAGATAAATTTATTAAGTTTTTTGATTAAATCTGAATATCAAAAAATAGAGAATAATCATGTGCATTTGAAGTATATCATAATTCAATATTACCTAAAACCTCTTAAATCTCAAAGGGATAATTAACATTCTTCATTTCTTACAACAATTCATCATCTTTTATTTCAGGATTTTTTAAACTCTAAAGTGTTTTTTCTTAATCTTTAAATTTAGGATATAATATCTTCAATATTGCTATTCCACATTTCCAAAGAATATGTGTTCCATTAAAAAACATTCTGTCCCATATTCTTCCTACAATATCTGGATTCAAAGGTTTTGCAAACAAAGTTAAGATCCAGTCAAGCAAATAATTAGTACAATTTATATTATATTTCTTAAATAATTTATATACTTAAGGAATGTTGAGTTTTATAAGCTTCTCAAATTATTCAAAAATAATTTAAAGATTTTAATCATCAAGCATAAAAATTGAAATCAATTAAGAATGTGTAATTAAGCTACTAAAAATAACAAAAGCTTAATAATCATCAAAATAACTTAATAATATTGATCCAACATAAGTCATACCTTATACATAACCTATATCTGGTCTATATAAGCAAAATACCTCAAGAATAGTTTACAAATTCTCACTAAGAGGTCCTCCTGGATGAAAAATTCTTTACAAATCTTAAAATTTCATATAATTAAATTTATACATTCATTTTTAAAAGTTCTTCCTAAATCTTATTTAATATGATTAAATGATGATAATCTTCCTAGACTTTTTCTTTAGTCAAGTTTAAAAGATTTACTTTGAATTTGTAATATATTATAAAGTTCTTTTGTAATTTATAACTTATTTCCAACAATAAGTGGCCATACTTATTTTCTAGCACTTATTGGAATACCAAATTCAGCTAATTGAAATATTTTAACATCTCTTTTATTTCTTTACCAATCTTTAGCTATATCTTACCATCTTTTTTTTAATTCCTAAATATTCTATAAAATAATCATACTTTCTCATTATCATTTTATTATTATTCAAAATAATTCTTATTCATACTAAACTTCATAGTATTTTCTTCATGTAATGAGGTACTTCTTGTAGAAGTCATACATTTATTAGTAAAATAACTTTAGGCATCTGACAAATATTAATTCTCTTTATTTTAATTCATCAAGTATCCAATTTAGGAGGAAGAATTTAAAAATAAATTATTTATTATAATTTACTATAAAAATTATTTGTTAAATTAACTACTTTTTTAATAAAATGAAATTAAATATCTCAGGAACATCTATTAATACTAAATCCTCACTTAACACTAAAAAAGAATAGGATATAAAGAATCTAAAACAGAATGATGATAATCTCTTTTTTGATCTAACAGAATTTTAGACATCTGATTCAAACACACCATTAAGTATTTAACTGAAAGAAACTAATACTAATATTTAATAACAAAACAAACATTTTTTTCCATCAAAACCCCTTAAATCAGAAAACAAATTGCCTCCATTAAATTCAAGGTACCATTTAGTTCAAGAAATATCAAGAGAACAGATTATAAAAAAAAAACTATTTAAAGAAAATTATTCTGTTATTTCTTTCCCTTCAACATAATCTTTATTTTCTTCTAAAAGTTAATCAATAGATTATTAAAAATTAGGATAAGAAATTGTTAATGCTCCTAATTCTTAAGATTATTATAAATTTTATAAGAATTCAAGAAAGTGTATGGATATCTAATCATTCAATGAAACACCTAATAATATTTATGTAAATTTAAATAAGGCCATGGAATCAGAATAATGTATGCCTAGAAAAATGTAAATAATTGACAATCATAATAAAAAAGAAATTAGTGTATCAGGTCAATTAAGTAGTCAATAATATATTAAAATGTTTGCAGCAGGATTAGGATCATCTACATTCAACTAATTAGAAAGACTTAATATTAGTTCTAATAATCTTAATAATGAAGATTTAGAAATTATATTAGCTTAATTACCTAAGAGTGTTTAATATTTGGATTTAAAAAATAATAAGATCTCTAAAAATGGTTGTTTATTTCTTTAGAAATTGCTATTAAAATAACATTAATTTATGATTGAACTTAATTTAGAAAATAATTAAATTGGGGATTAAGGATTAAAGTATTTAATTGAATCATTATAAAATAATAAATGTCTAAGAATTCTCAATTTATCACATAATTAAATATAGGATTAAGTAATGGAACCATTTGGAAAAATGATGAAAAAAGTATGAAAATTTATAATAATATTAGAATAATATAATATAAGAGTTATATTTGCATTACAATAAAATAACATTTAAAGGAGGTTTCTACTTTTTTAAAGGATTAAGCAAAAATACTGTTTTAAAAGTCTTGGATATTTCTTTTAATAAATTGGGAGGAAATAAAGATTGTACAAATGAAATATGTAATTTGATTGGGAGACCTCATCCTGAATTAATTCACTTAGATTTATCACATAATGATTTCAAAGATGAAGATTCTTAGAAAATAGCTAATGAATTAGAGTTCAATAAGATAATTTATGGATTTCATTTTGAAGGTAATTTAAACTACTAAATAAATCATAAAGGATACCTTAGATAATAAAGAAATAAAAAATTAATAACTGAATCATAATAAGATGATATTAATATAGAAGAATTAGATAAAAAACAACTTGAATTATAGATGTAATAGATGGAATAGTAAACCCAAAAAAAAAAGAATGAGTTTATTAGAATTTAAAGTGTAGACATAGTGAATTTATAATTAGAAAATTGTTGGATATGTTAAGGTTGGGTTGAAGTTATGTTTTAATGGAAACCTCATAAATCTGGACTTTTAGATGTAGATCCAATTTTTATTCATTTAGAATTTGAAGATTACTCACCTTCTCTCATGTAAAAAACAACTGAAGGATTTTTTAATTTATATAGAATGTGTCCACCTAATTAAACAATTAGATATTTTTTTAGTAATCCAGTTGAAAATGTTTAAGTTTATGCTAAAGATTAAAAGACAATTTAAACTTAAATCCATTCTTAATTGAGAAATTTTGGAGTACAGATGGAATATTCTAATGGTAAAGTATTATAAAGTTAACCTTTACATACTGTTAATATGATTTAAACATCACATTCTACACCAATATTTGATAAAAAAAAACATTATTTAACTCATATTTAATGTAAACCAAGAGAACCTTAAAAAATAGTAGAATTTGATGTTGAATTAGCAAAAAAAAGAAAATGGACTTTGGATAATTCTATTTTTAAAGATTTTGATGAAGATACAGAAGCACATTTAGAATAATGCTTAGAAGCTGATTTGGAAAATAGTAAAATATTCAAACATCTAATTAATAACAATGAAATTAGTTGTTTAAAAGTAAAAATATTATAATTATTTTAGGAATAATTAAAGAAATACTATAAATATATCATTTCTTGTTATAAATATTTAGCCTCACAATAGTGTGAATAAGATTTTCCAAGAATTAACATTTAAACAATATAAGGTTTCTATTATTAATCAAAAAATAATCAATTAATTAAATAAGTAGATTGGGAAATCTGTTTGATAAGTACTATAGTTATTAAAGATTTTAATTCTCCTTATGTACAAGAAAGAGCATTAGTTAGACATTAATTTTTAGAATTGTTAATAAGATTAGCAAAAGAAACATATGTTAAATAAGGAAACTGTTCTAATATAGCTTAAGGATTTGAAAAAATGATGTAAACTTAAACTGGTTAATTTGGATTTGTGTTAGATTATGGTTGTGCTCAATAATGGAGAGATGAGAGATATTGGACTTAGATTATGGATATGACAATTAGATTCAAATTACCATTTCTAAAACAATTATTCTCTTATACATCATGTTTTTCAAATAAACCATATGCTAAAGAAAAATTTGTTTCTTTTTAAGATATAAAAATGTTACTTTAAAATTCTGATTTATTTCCTAATTTAATAACTGAATAATAACTCTATTATATATATTTACAGTCTATTATGATGTAAGTTGATGAAATTACTTAAAAAAGACATTTTGAAATGCAATTTATTGAATTTATAGAAGCTTTAGCAAGAATTGCAGAATTTATCTCACCAAATTCAAATAATTATTAAATAAAATAGTTAAATGCTAAGCAAAGAAGGACCTTACCATTATATATAAAGTTTGAAGGTAAATTATAATAAAATATATGAAAGGTCTATTATATATATTATTCTATAAAATAAAAAGAATAGATGTAGATATAAATGTAATCGAAAAAAGTGTTATAAAGAGTCATGAAATAAAAAAATTAGGAATTTTTATTGAAGATAATTATAGTAGTAGTAGCAGTGGAGAAGAAGATAATGAAATCTCGAATTTAAGATTGTCTTATTCAGATCCACAAAATATAATAAACAGAATGCTTTTTGATGATGAATGCAGAGTGAGTTTTAAAGATACAATGAGTAACTAAAGTAGTGGAAAGAAGAGAAAGAATTCTATTTAAAAATAGGATTCAATAACATTAAAAAGAAGTTTGTTAAGAAGAAATACTTTTTAAAATTAATTACAATAAATAAAAATTGCTTAATTAGAAAATGAAATGGCTGAATTAGCTGAATATGAAGAAAGTACACCTTTAAATAAATTGAGAATTTAAAATCGTAAGATTACAAGATCAAAATACGACATAGTACTTTGATTTATATTATACTATATTGATAATTAATTATTATTAATTCTAATTTTTATATACTGATAAACTATGGCAGATTATTATGTTCAACAAAGTTCAGAATGGTATATTTTAAATACTTTATTTAGTGATTATTTATTTAAGGTTTTATTAATTGGAAATAGTGGAGTGGGTAAATCATGCATGTTAATGAGATTTAGCGTAACAATTAAAAATTTAAAAAATATAGGAAAACTAATTTACAAATCATTTTTATAATACTATTGGAGTTGATTTTGTAATTATTTATGCTTAAAATAAATTAGAAAATAAAAGTATTTTAAATTGATAGATCAACTGTGAAATTGTAAATAGTAAAAATCCATAATTCTAATATTTTAGTGGGACACAGCAGGTTAAGATAGATTTAGAACAATTACAAGCAGTTATTATAGGTAATTTATAATTAATATTCAATATAAGAGGAGCTTAAGGAATCATTATAGTTTTTGATGTTACAGATAGAGAATCATTTAATTAAATTAGATAATGGATGCAAGAAATTGATAAATTTGCAGCAGAATAAGTGAATAAAATTTTAGTTGGAAATAAAATAGACAGTTCACAAAGAAGAGTTTCAACAGATGAAGCAGAAGCTTTAGGTATATAATTTTATCATTCGAGCTAAATCATATAATATATCTTATATTGAAACATCTGCTAAAACCAATATTAATATTGAAAATTGTTTCAGTTTAATTACTCGATAAATCATATAAAGAGTTGGAAAACCAAAATAGTAATGATATATACTATTATTATTATTAGAAATGAAAAAAATAAAGTAGGAATGAAATTGTAATAAAATTCACCATAAAAATAAACATAAAATAAAAAAGGAGCTGAACAAGATAGTTAATGTTGTATGTCTTGATTGAATGATTACACTTGTATCAATAATAATCAATTTATTTTTAATTCATATAACAAAGAATTTATTCTTAAATATTAGTTAAATATTCATTTATTCATTCGTGATACTCTTAAAGTAATTAGCTTAAAGCATCCTTTTATTTACTTTTTTATAAATCTAATATTTAAGTGTGATAATTTTATTTTGAGTGTTGAGAAATTGATTTTGAACGAATTTAATTCTATTATTATTGCTGAAAATTTTCAAAATAACCTGATGGATTTTTAGAATTTTGATTAGTTATTTAAATTAATTTAGATTAGGTATTTAATTAAACTTTATCTAAGAGATTATCTTTGTACAATTATTCATGTTAAATTTTTTAATTGAACAAAATTGGTAATTCATAATCATATTTACTTTAGTTTTTATTAAGAAGTGAAATAGCATAATCTTCATTAAAAGGTTTATTATTATTATTTTTTTAAATTATTTATTATTCTTTTTCTATTCTTTTCTTTCCTTATAATAATCCAATTTAAGCCAAATTTTTTGCAGCATGAATTTATCTATCCAATTATTGTTATTATTCAATCATCTAATGTCTTATTTTTTCTAATTATAAATTTTATTATTCAACATAACTGAAAGATTTACTCTATTTAATATTCGATTCAACTAATTATAATTATTATTATTATTATTATTATTATTATTACTATTACTAATATTATTACTATTACTATTATTATTACTATTATTGTTATTAGTAGATTTCTTCTTAAAATTCATTATTTGAGTATATCTATTATTCATAATTTATCTCCTGTTCTATCATCTCTAATTCCTCTTTAAATTCTTCCTCTATCTTTGATTATTAAAATGTATTTGATTTACTTCTGCTTCTCCCTTATTATTGTTTAAGTTTCATTTAATGCATTCGTATATTTTCCTATTAAATTTCTAAATAATTCATTAAGGATAATTCAATTACTTCCTTATTATTCCTTTTTCAATTCTTCTTCTTTTTTTTTCTCCTCTTTCATCTTCTAAATTTCATTTTTCCATCTTTCTTCTGCCAATTTATCTTCAGTCTCTTATTGTTTTTTCTCTTCATCTTTCTTTTTTTATTTTTCTAACATTTATTCTGTTAAAATTTTTGAAACAAAACTCTTCTATTATTGATTTTTTGCTTTTTCTTCTTCATCTTCCTCTTAAAATTTTTTCTTTTTATTATGATTTTCAGGAGAGAATACCTTTTCTTTAGTTTTTTCATGAATTGCTGTTGATTCTTCAAATTTCTATTGAAGTAAAAGTTTACGATCCTTTTAATTTTTTTCTTCCTAATATTATTTTAATTACTTTTAAATTATTTAAAATTCTTTTGATTCCTTAGAATTTTGATTTTTATTCTCTTCAACTTGTTATTAATTTTTATGAGGAGTAAACTATATTTTATTATTGCTTTATTTTTCTTAAATTTATTACTACAAATAATTTTAATATTCTGCCTTACTTAAACTATTAATTTTATTAACTTAAGGACTTTACTAATTATTTGTAAATAAATCTGTGCATTCATGTTTTACCTTTTGGTATTTTAATTAATTTTGCTTTTCTTCAACTTATTTTTATAAAATATCTCTATATTATAATTATTATTGCTTTTTATTAGAACTTAAATCTTTTTCATTATTCTCATAGCTTAATTTAAATGAAGAGGTTTTATTTTAAACAAGTTATTAATTTTATAAACTTATCTATTTCTAATCTAAAGGCATATAAGATTAATAAAATGATTTATAATCTAATTAATTTATTGGAACTGAAGGATTATCTTTTGTCAAAGTATAATCATATTTTTTTGGATATGATTATTTACTAAATTAATTTTCAAATAACTATTTTTCCATTCCTTTATTTATTTATAAATGCTTACTTTGAATTCTATATTCCCTTTCTTTCATTTCATCAGCTGTGTATTCAGTTTTTTAGATCATTAAAAATAATTTTTTATTTAATATGTTTATTATAAAATACAATCAAATAGATTTGAGTTTAAAGTCTAATAATTCAGGTAATTTTGATTCTTCTAACTTTTTAAAATAAGGTTTTTAATCATCAAAATTCATTCCTTTAACTAAATCAATTAAAAAGATCGCAAAAATATATTAGTTTGAAGTACCTTATTTTGATTCAATAAAGCTACCATTCCTTTAACTAGTTTATTCATAATTAAATGACTAATTTTGATAAATAATATATCAATTACATTGCTTTTAATTTAAGAGTTACTTCTCATACTTGATCGAATTTATCCTAAATCCATTGCAATTTATTTTGCTATCATAATTAATACATTATCCACATATTATTCATCTATCATTTCATGTGTATTTAATTCTTCATGTGGACAAGTATTCTATTAAAAATGATAGTATATATCATACCATTTATTTAACATGTTTGTAATTTGCAACTAATTCATCAAAATCTTTTTATAAAATTTTTATTATTTCAGATCTATTCTTTGAAATAGCCCATTATCTATCAGTATTTTAACATATGTCTAACATTTCATTAATGCATTTGATAGCCTTTTTTAATAAAAATATCATGCAAATCTCAGTTTTTATTTTAGCTGACCAATTTTCTAACTATTCAATTTTACATGTTCCTTATATTATAATATTAAATTTATGTCTTAGCTCATTTAATTAATTTTGAATTTATCTAACTACATTTTACGAAGAATTATTATTAGTATTATTATTAGACTATTAAATTTATAAAGTTTATTATTGGGATTATTATTATGATATACTTTGTTCTTTTTCTGTTGTTTTTGCAAATATTTATGCTTATTCATTTTCTTTATTAATTTTCATATTTTCTTTGTCAGAAACATTAGTTTTTCTTTTCACTAATTCATTTGGACTGGTTGTAATATGATTTTATAAAGATTATTATGAAATATAAAAATTTTACCCTCCAGTCTCAAATTATTGCACTTAAGAATTAATTTAATAATTAGAAGCAAAATTTGTATTTGTAGAATTTACTAGTCCTGACATTGTAGGTACTTAATCTTCATGAAACAATGTTTACCATTCTATTCTCCTTGCTTAATCTATTTATAACATTCCATTTAAAATATAGGCAGTATTCTCAGATAAATCTTCGACAATAGGATTGAATTATTAATTTCTATATAAATCAATAAGTTGATCTTAAGTTAAATTTTCTGGGAATGGTAATTATCCAAAAAACATTTTATAAAATACTAATCCTAAAGAAAAGATATCACATTTATCCTCGTATTATGGTTGTTATGTTTTTAATAATAATTCAGGAGCAGAATAAATAAAGTTTTCTAATTAAAAATATTGAAATACCTGGATCAAATAATTTTTAACTGGCAGGGGATTTACAACAAAAGAAATTCTTTATTTTAACAATTCCATCATTAAAAAATAAGTTATTTGGATTAATATTTCTATGAATAATTTTTTCATGATTTAATGTTTTGAAACCTCTTATTAATTATGATTAAAATAATACTTAAATACATTTGACATAATTTATCTTCCTTCTGATTCAGTTAGACGACCTTTTTCATATAAATAATTTGCTAACGATCCTCCATTTAAGTGTTCATAAACTAAATATATGTTATTTGCTGATTTAAGCATTTTGATCATTCTAACAATGTATTAATCCTCTAATTTTTTCAATGCTTAGATTTCGTTAATAATCATATCTTTTAATATTGAGTCATTTAAAAATCTATCTAATTTAATAGTTTTAACAGCGACTGCTTCTTTTGATATTAAATTTCTGCCTTTATGTATTTCTCCAAATGTTCCTTATCCTATTCCTTCAATTAATATATAATTATCTATTATTTTTGCCATTCAATATTCAAATTATTTATATAAATTAACAGCTACGAATTTTAATTTTATTATACTCTTTAACATATATTTTATTAAATTGAATATCTTGTTTTTAATATAAATGTCATAGGATCAGAAATTATCATAATCATAGTCATAGTCTATTGGAGGTTATTATGAGATTTAATTCATATCAATTGTATGAATAGGATTTAATTATTTTTGAATTTTCATAGCAGCCTCATGATTTCCCATTTAAAAATAATGCCTCAAGAGTTCTTATAGCTGTTTTTATTTTTGCATGTCTTTTGCCTTAATAAATAAACAATTTATTACAATATTCTCAAATTCATGAAGATGTTAATATTCTCTTTATAGTTTTTATCTCTTTTAAAATTCTTTTTCTTCTTGTTATTCTTTTCTATTAAAAATTAAAAAAAATAAATGTACTATTTTTCTTTTTCATCATCAAAAGTGCGCATTTCAATTTCTGCTTACTATAAATGTCCTTTAAGTTGTTCTTTCTCAAACCATACTTTGAAATTATAAAATTTCTTTGATGGAAAAGTAGCAGTATTATAACATTCAACATATTCTTCAAAAAACTTTTTCTCTTCTTATGGTGTAATTGCTTCAATATTAAGCCTCTTGACATCTGAAAGCCACATCAAAAACTCTTCACGTTTTAAGTACATGTCTGTATTACTTTAATAATGATATTATATAACCTTATTGTACCATACTTTCCCCATTAATTTTTCTTTTATTATTTTTGTTTTTTACCCTCTTTTCTTTATTTCTTCTCCTTTTTTTTATGTTTCTCTCTCTTCTCCTTTTTATCCTTTTTGCTTGTTTTATTTGAAGATTCCTTCTATCATTATTATATTGATACATTATAATCCTTTCCTTTCTCTAAATCTCTACCCATTTTAATTTTTAGATAATATAATTAATATTTATATCAAGATTTATATTTACAATATATACAAAATAATATTTAAAATCCAAAATTTTTATTAATATCTATTTTGGATATTAAATATTATTGTAATAATCTAATCAATTTTTCAATTTTTATAAAGTTTAATATACATGTTAACCAAATTGAGTATTGAATTAACTTGAATCATATGATAATTTTAATAATTAATTATATTCAAGTAATTTACAGAAATTCTATATTACATAATTACCATAACAATTATTAGATAATTTATAAAAGATATTCATATTATGTATGAATACTTTTAATATTTCTTTTCTCATATAAACATATATGTTTACACTTTTATCAACCACATTGCTATTTATCTATGATTGAAGAATACCTTCCAAATTTATCACAACTTAATTTCTCTAAATTTTTAATGATATTATCTTGAATTTTATAAATAACATCAGTAGGACCTTTTTGTAATAATATTTAAATGATATAATTTCCATATTAGGACAAACATAATTCATCTTGTAAAACTAATAATTCTTTATAAATTTCATTTAACTTTGTTAATATATAAGATTACTTATGAAATTGAAGATAATTCCAATATCTATTAAATTAATCTACATCCATGAGAATCATTAGATAGTTTTTAAATCTACCCTAATACACCATCAATTAACCAATCAGTTTTTTATGATTTGACCAATTCAGCAATTTTTTAAATTACATGATTCCCATTAGTATCAATTACTAAATTCCTAATCTAAGATTAAATAATTTTGAATATTTATTCAAACTTATAAGTGTTATAAGATAATTCTAACAATTTTTAAGCTACTCTACATCCATAAGTATTGTAACTTAAAATTAAAATTTATTTAGATAAATGTTCAAAAATCAATTCTCTTTATAATTGATTACCTTGTTCTAAAATTCTTTAAACAACGTAATTTCCAAATATATCATTAGCAAGTGATGTAATTCCAGGTAACAATTTTTAAAATATAAATTATCTTTATTCTTCATTTCCTTTTTCAAATAGACTTTGTATTTTTCTGCTATTGGTTTAATCTTTACATTTAAGAATCTATTTATTAAATTTATACATACTAAATCTCCATCTAAATATAAGTCATCATCTAAACTAAATGGCTATATTGTCCAACAATCTAATTTGAATTCTATAATAGGACTTTAAATCTTTTTGATTGAATATCTATTAATATGAGTACTATTACTAAGAGTATTGTAATCTTTTGATTTAAGGTGAATAAGTTCTATTTGTATTTGATATTGTTTAGGAAGGTGACAATGATCTTTCTTCATCACTTTCTAAAGCTGAGAAAATAAAGATTTTTAGTACCATTTAAAATAGAATCTATGATTTCTTAATCATTTTCAGGATCCATTGAATTATTTATTAATTATAATTTTACAATTTATTTAATATTGTAATATCTTTAATTAGTTAAAGAATAGGAATACAGATATTATTTCTCTTATTGGTAATATCTAATTACAGAATTACAATTTTAACTCTATTACATAATTTATTTTTATATAAATAAATTAAATATAAACATAAATGGCTACACAACCATTATTAGAGACATTGCCAAAGGATTTCCATAAAATGCCACCAAATTATGATTTCTCACATAGAGGTATTTTAATATGTTATAAAATAAGGAATTAATTGGAAAGATTATGAAAAAGATTTTGTGTTAAGAACTGATGCAGTTTGGGAAAAGGATTAATTGAAAGATTGGTTTAGATTATATACAAAAGTATCATTAATATAAATGAATAGTGTTTCTATTTTGATACTACAGCTAACAAATATTCGTTAATGGAACCTGATGATGTTTACACAATTTTATTTGAAGGATGTAAGATATTATTTAATCAATAATAGGGGCATTGGAAGATTGTCTATTTCCATTCAGAGGTACAACACCAACAGGTAGAACAAATTGTTTTTAAGTTGGATTACCTCCAAAATAGAAAGTTTATGTTCCTTATCCTACTTATTAATCATAATAAGATTATTTTACATTATGTGCTCTTAGATTTTAGAAATGGTTTGATTGTGATTAAGCTGAACATTTTAAAATGGATAAGACAGAAGCTGATTATTTGAAAAGAGCCAAAGTCTATCCATGTTATGCAATGTTTTATGAAGCTGCTTATGCATGCACAGTATACATATTAATTTAATATTTTAGGATGATATGTTTGACTTTTTAATGGAATTAGCTTATACTAGAAGATCTAATAGAACATTTGAATACAATCACTTCTAGCATGAAATGCGTAGACCACCAACTGTTTATGATTCTCCTAAAAATGCTGAGAGAATCAAAAAAACATATTGAAATATTATCATAGTAAATATAATATTATTATTATCTATAATGCAAGTATAAACACATCAAAATTCACTATTAAATTGAATATTATATAATTGATTGTGTAACATTTTCATTGCCATTCCTAATTGCATTTTCTACTATTATTAGGTTTATGATTATGTTTCAATTTCTTATGACGTCTCAACTGCTTTTGAAAAATCAATTCTCTCTGCTTTCTTAATAGATTCATATTCCTTTGAAATTGGATGATTGCTACTATAATATGATTGGTTCTACATTAAATAATTATAATTATACTGTCAATACAGCTTTCTTTTCTGAACTTAAGTGAGAATATGGATTATTCAATAACATATTCTTTTCTTATTTTAATTTTCTTGCTTTTTCCTGTCTTTGAATAAATGAATCCATTCCTTTTGTGTTCTTAATGTCTACTTCAGGTATTTATGGAGATGGTCCCAATTAAGGTTAAAATGAACATTTCTCTAAACTCTTATCTTTAGCGCCATCCCTTTTTTCATTAATCTTTTATTTCCTATCATCTAACCATTTTAATTGTCTTTCATAAAAAGGTTTATCATTTTATAGTTCTTATTACAATAATATTTAATCTTACAGATCTAATTTATTAAAGAAGGCTTAAAAGTACATTCCGGATCTAATTCCTCTTCTTTTATTTTCTTTTCCTCAATTTTTTTCTTTATTTCTTCTTTTTTACATGAACCCTATATAAAATATTAAGTATACTCTTTCTAATAAAGATTCCCAAATAGGCTTTTTTGGAGAATCTTCTTCTGTTTTTGCTATGCTTTTCATTATTAAATTTCAATAATTATTATACAATAATTTTTAATATGGATCTCTAATATTAAGAATAATTAAATATTAAAAGAACTCTAGAATATTGGATTCCTGGAGCTACATTTGAATAAATGAAATAGAAATTAAATTAAAAGCCTATATCTTAATTCAAAAAGGATGATTTTTTAAATGAAATCAAATTCGGAAAAGCCAATATATATTAACAAGACGATAAATATTTATCAGAAACTGAAAAAGCTTATTTAATTGCATACAACCCAGAAAAAAGAGTAAGAAGCGATTATGAATGTATGTTTATGAGCAATGATGAAAAAACATCTGATAGAGAAGAATAAACTAATTAAAAATGTGAAAACCCTAATTGTCCAGGAACAGACACCAAATGGATTGAATGCAGTGAAAAAAAATGTTGGTATCATTAAAGTTGCGCAGGAATACCTCTTAATAAAACACAAGAAGAAATTGACTAGATGGATTGGAAATGCAAAAAATGTAGAAAAAGGTGATGAAATTAAATAATATTTATATATATTTTTATCAATGTCTTAATAATTAGAAGATTTTCTAGGATGTCTATAGGTTATAGCTAACATTTATAAATCTTAAGAATAAGCCTGTATTCTAGTTTTTAGATCAATGTCACCAAATTAAAAACAATCATTTATAAAATGAAAAAGAAAAATTTTAGAGAGTATAGTTTATTTTTTATTTATAAGCATATAGTTATTTATAAACTTCTAATTCAATCCTAGAATTGACTATTTAATTAAAAATTATAACAAAATCAGAGGAAAAATTATAATAAACAATAAACTCTTTTTATTTTTTAGATTCTAATTTTAAAAATTCATTAAGAGGTGTAATTGAAGAGGGAAGCAATAGCATTTAAACAAAAATTAGAGGTTGTACAAGAGTAATTTAAGAAGTTGCTCCTGAAAAAGCTATTATTCCCATAATGTTGTTTAGTAAATTTAATATCGGGAACTTTTCAAATTTAAAATAAATTAATTACTTAAAAATCAACATTCATAAAATAAATAAAGTTTATTCATTTTTAAAGTACTTAATTTACGAAATTTTAATTAAAATTCGAAAAACTTTTTGATTTTTTAATACTCTTATCATGTTTTTATATTGAAGGATTACTTTAAAAAGAATTCAAAATGGAAAATAAATTTAATCTCTATTAAATATTATTCCATACTCAGCAAATTCCTTTGTCGAAATTTTTTTATCAATAGCTAAAGTTATGCTAAATCATTATTTGGTTCAACAATAATATGCAAATCTAGTCTTTCTTTTGTTTCCTAAGATTCTATTTTACAGTTATAAACCATTAATGTTTAAATGTATTTTTCAATTGTAATTGTTTATGCAAGTAATTAATTCAATAAATCTCACTAACTAATTCTAAATAAAAATTTAAATCGCTTATTTTCTGTATTCATATGTTAAAATAATTATTTTTATTATGTTATCAGTTTTAGATCTAAAAATTATTTAATTTTATCCTTTATTTCATAAAATGTTATTTAATAAAGTAATTATCCTAAATTTAGCAAGTCAAGAGATATGCTTTTGTTATTATTCTTCAAATATTTTGGAAATAAAATGATAATTTATAAAAAGGCACCTGACATATTAATATAGATTGATTTAAAGTTAATATTTCCATGGTATATTCCTGAATTTTTATATTTTAGAAAATTTTAAAGAATTAAATAGATTATACATACTAATGAGGCTACTCTAAATTAAAAATCATGTAAAAGCAAAGATTCTAATAATTAAAATTTTGAATATTTCATAAATAAAAAGTACATGTATTTTTCTTCATAAATTTTAACAATATTTGTTTATTCACTACTGAGATTATTATTCATTATAATAATACTATTATAAAATTGTTCTTTATCTAATTTAGTTATAATTTATCTCTTGTCGATTTACAAAATACAATTCAACTCTTGATTCTATTTGATAATAAATTTCTTACATTACAATTTTAAACTATAAGAAGAAAGCCTCTTTATTCGATTAATTTATCTTTATTGAAAAAATTCTCACTCACAGAATCNATTAAGAGGTGTAATTGAAGAGGGAAGCAATAGCATTTAAACAAAAATTAGAGGTTGTACAAGAGTAATTTAAGAAGTTGCTCCTGAAAAAGCTATTATTCCCATAATGTTGTTTAGTAAATTTAATATCGGGAACTTTTCAAATTTAAAATAAATTAATTACTTAAAAATCAACATTCATAAAATAAATAAAGTTTATTCATTTTTAAAGTACTTAATTTACGAAATTTTAATTAAAATTCGAAAAACTTTTTGATTTTTTAATACTCTTATCATGTTTTTATATTGAAGGATTACTTTAAAAAGAATTCAAAATGGAAAATAAATTTAATCTCTATTAAATATTATTCCATACTCAGCAAATTCCTTTGTCGAAATTTTTTTATCAATAGCTAAAGTTATGCTAAATCATTATTTGGTTCAACAATAATATGCAAATCTAGTCTTTCTTTTGTTTCCTAAGATTCTATTTTACAGTTATAAACCATTAATGTTTAAATGTATTTTTCAATTGTAATTGTTTATGCAAGTAATTAATTCAATAAATCTCACTAACTAATTCTAAATAAAAATTTAAATCGCTTATTTTCTGTATTCATATGTTAAAATAATTATTTTTATTATGTTATCAGTTTTAGATCTAAAAATTATTTAATTTTATCCTTTATTTCATAAAATGTTATTTAATAAAGTAATTATCCTAAATTTAGCAAGTCAAGAGATATGCTTTTGTTATTATTCTTCAAATATTTTGGAAATAAAATGATAATTTATAAAAAGGCACCTGACATATTAATATAGATTGATTTAAAGTTAATATTTCCATGGTATATTCCTGAATTTTTATATTTTAGAAAATTTTAAAGAATTAAATAGATTATACATACTAATGAGGCTACTCTAAATTAAAAATCATGTAAAAGCAAAGATTCTAATAATTAAAATTTTGAATATTTCATAAATAAAAAGTACATGTATTTTTCTTCATAAATTTTAACAATATTTGTTTATTCACTACTGAGATTATTATTCATTATAATAATACTATTATAAAATTGTTCTTTATCTAATTTAGTTATAATTTATCTCTTGTCGATTTACAAAATACAATTCAACTCTTGATTCTATTTGATAATAAATTTCTTACATTACAATTTTAAACTATAAGAAGAAAGCCTCTTTATTCGATTAATTTATCTTTATTGAAAAAATTCTCACTCACAGAATCTTTTTATCATTGCTTGTATTTTTAAAAACTAATTAGAATTACTGATTATTAAGTATTCCTCACTTTTTTTTTTGTAATATAATTATGTAAAAACCTTGTTTTTTTTATTTTAATTTTGTTTATCTCATTTCATAATAACACTTACATAATAGAATATATTTATTTTCAAAAAAAATATGGAATTTAATCCAAAATGAATTAGTTATTATACTAAGTCTTTATTTTATGAATATAAAGAAAGAATAATTTTTGAAATACTTCCTTGTCTTATAATTTTTTTATAATCTAACCTACAATTATGTAAAATAAGGTCTTGATTTCATTCATTTTCAACTCATACAATCTAAGGATGATATTAAATATATTCCATTTAATATTTTATAAATTCTGAAATGTTATGTCATTTAAACAAATGATCTGATTTCTATTTTATCATAATTTATGTAAAGTATCATTTAAACATAAATTAATAGGTTCATATCAAGAAAAAATAATACATTTCATATATCTTTATAACATAAGTTATTCAATTATATCAATATATTTATTCAACGCTTGACTATATAATTTTGATGTTATCTATTTGCTCCTTCACAAATCAAATATTAATAGTATTCATGGTGTTTTAATAATGCAGATTTATCAAAGGTGTATCTCCTCTTAAAGTTAAGATTCAATATTTGCTCCTTTTTATAAAAACAATTAAAAACTATTTATTAATCCACAATTAACTGTATAATACAATAGAGTTCTAGCCATCTATTTAAATATATTTTATTTTATACTGAATCTGTGATTTCTACATTTTGTGATTTTTCAACAAAATATTGAACAATTTCAACACTTGTTTGTGAAATTGCAAAATGTATTAATTTCATTTCTAATTGCCATACTCTTATTCAGGTGAAGGATTAAAATTCTTTAACAGTTAGATTCTTCTTTTAATACAAAAAATCTATACATCCTTTAATTGCTTATATTATTTATTTAATATTATTGATTTATAAAAATTAATTTATTTTTGCAAGTTATTTCATTTGATTATGTCAAAAATAATAACTTGGAAGAATCTTATATTAAATAATAAATAATAGATATAAAATATTAAGTAAATTAAGGTCATCTATTATAAAATAATCCACCATAATTTCTTGAATATCCATTTAATGTACTTTTATTATGATAATCATTTAATATATATTCTTTCTTCTTTAAGCCAGATTATGTTTATATTTTTGGTTAACAATTCTTTAGTAAACCTAATTCCTTTAGCTTAAATAAGTTCTCTTTTAGATGTTAATTAGTCAAAACTACATCAGCTTCTTTGACAATTGACTCTATAACAGGATTTTTCTAAGGTCTCTAACCATAACGACTCGTCTATAAATTGTATAATGATTCCTTTAGTTTTTATGTGGCAACTTGATTCTCATATAATGATTAAGATCTAGCTTTTTTCTGGCTCAACTTTGGCAATTTTTCAGACATCATTATTTTATTTATATTATTAAATTTTATATTTCATACAATCATTTAAAAATGAGCTTAATATCTAACAATTATATTGCTTAACAATTTTAAACTATTTCTTTCTATTACATTATTATTAAATTTTCTTTTATGGAGAAATTCATAAATTTTTAAATTATTGACAATTTTTTAATCTCAATTTCTATAGCTAACAGTATAAATATAAAGTAAATTTCACTTTATGTTTGAGTTTGAACATTAAAATTTTAAATATATAAAATTCTAGAAGTGAATATTTTTAATAATGCCGTGTTGAGTTTTATATGACAAAAATTTAACTATCTTAATAATAAAGTAATTTACGTCTATTGAAATTTAGTGAAATATCAAAAAATTAATATTTTTAAATAATATGACAGAAGAATTGAATTCAAGTTTAGATTCATTGGAATTAGAAATTTATCATCGACCTAATCCAAAAATTCAATCGATTATAAACTATCTAAGGAAAATTGAATTAAAATTTTGCACTGATCCTCGAAAGAAATAAGACGAGTATAAATCAAGTAACTTCACTACTCCAAATGAAGATTTTAACATTAAACAAAATAAATTCTTTTTAAGAAAAAAAATAAATAAAAAAATAGATTGTCCTGTTATTTGAACATCATGGCTTTGATTACTATTTTATTTATCTCAATCTTATATATAATTTATTTAATATTTTATAATTAATTTAGTAGCAATTTAAATTTTGATCTAGTTTAGGTGAACAGAATCTAATATATTATGGACTAATAATGTAAATAATGAAAAAAAGGAATTTTAATTATAGAGACAAATGATTTAATTTTTAAAAGAGATATTAATTATTTATAAACTAGTACTTTTGTGATTTTAATTATTATTAAAATATATAATAAAAACAAAAAATAAAATTTTATTATTAAAATCTTTCTTATTTATATAATTAATACCTGATATAATCTATTTATTTATTGATGACTTAAAAAAGATCAACTTTTGACCCTTTATAGAGCATTAGAAAATAATTATATTATTTTAGATCAATCTATATGATATCTGTAGAATTTTCAAAAATTTTATAATTATTCAATATATAATTACTATCTTAATTGATTATTTGCTAACCTATCAAATTATAAAACCTGTGGCTTTTTAAAACTTCATAATATATAAATATAATTTTTTTGATAAAAGTAATGGAAATTTCAGATAAGAATAAAGCTCTTTAAAATTTATTATCAAAATAACTATATTCTGTTCCATAAGAAATATGTAATAGATTCATTCTGATCAGATATAAAATAAAACAGACATACTGAATTATCTTATAGCCACAATATATTTTTTTAAATTCTAACGCATTAAAACTCTAAAAGAAATAATAATAATAACATAAAATTCTTCTTTGCTCAATTTTAATACTTCTTCAACAAGTTCTAGAAATAAAAATTTTTTGTTTCATTTCAATAAAATCTACAAAGCTTTAGATTCTTTATTCATTTTGGATTTTAAAGTTATTCTGATTAAATTTGAATGGTATTAGTTACTAAACTATCACTAAATTCTCTTTCAAAAATTCTATCCAATTAATTATTTAATTTACAATTTTATTATTGATAATTAACTTTTAAAATAAATTTCTTGTTAAAGATACAAACATTAACATTGTCTAAAAATTTAAATTTCTCTCTTTTCAACAACTAATATCAATTAATCCATTGTTTATTATTTAAATGGATTGCTCTGTATAATTATTCATATAAAGACATCCTAAAGACGATAGATTAGTTTTAATAGTTTATTCCTATCCTTTTATTATATCAGTAGCCATTAGATAATCAATACAACCATAGTTAAAGATATATTTCAAGGTGTTTTTCATGTCTTTCAAAATCCAAAATCCTCACATTTTTTGACTATTATATAACATTTTTACCTTTAACCCTTAATGACGACTTCTAAAGTTTGACTTTTACAAAATTCATTAACACTANTTAATAATAAAGTAATTTACGTCTATTGAAATTTAGTGAAATATCAAAAAATTAATATTTTTAAATAATATGACAGAAGAATTGAATTCAAGTTTAGATTCATTGGAATTAGAAATTTATCATCGACCTAATCCAAAAATTCAATCGATTATAAACTATCTAAGGAAAATTGAATTAAAATTTTGCACTGATCCTCGAAAGAAATAAGACGAGTATAAATCAAGTAACTTCACTACTCCAAATGAAGATTTTAACATTAAACAAAATAAATTCTTTTTAAGAAAAAAAATAAATAAAAAAATAGATTGTCCTGTTATTTGAACATCATGGCTTTGATTACTATTTTATTTATCTCAATCTTATATATAATTTATTTAATATTTTATAATTAATTTAGTAGCAATTTAAATTTTGATCTAGTTTAGGTGAACAGAATCTAATATATTATGGACTAATAATGTAAATAATGAAAAAAAGGAATTTTAATTATAGAGACAAATGATTTAATTTTTAAAAGAGATATTAATTATTTATAAACTAGTACTTTTGTGATTTTAATTATTATTAAAATATATAATAAAAACAAAAAATAAAATTTTATTATTAAAATCTTTCTTATTTATATAATTAATACCTGATATAATCTATTTATTTATTGATGACTTAAAAAAGATCAACTTTTGACCCTTTATAGAGCATTAGAAAATAATTATATTATTTTAGATCAATCTATATGATATCTGTAGAATTTTCAAAAATTTTATAATTATTCAATATATAATTACTATCTTAATTGATTATTTGCTAACCTATCAAATTATAAAACCTGTGGCTTTTTAAAACTTCATAATATATAAATATAATTTTTTTGATAAAAGTAATGGAAATTTCAGATAAGAATAAAGCTCTTTAAAATTTATTATCAAAATAACTATATTCTGTTCCATAAGAAATATGTAATAGATTCATTCTGATCAGATATAAAATAAAACAGACATACTGAATTATCTTATAGCCACAATATATTTTTTTAAATTCTAACGCATTAAAACTCTAAAAGAAATAATAATAATAACATAAAATTCTTCTTTGCTCAATTTTAATACTTCTTCAACAAGTTCTAGAAATAAAAATTTTTTGTTTCATTTCAATAAAATCTACAAAGCTTTAGATTCTTTATTCATTTTGGATTTTAAAGTTATTCTGATTAAATTTGAATGGTATTAGTTACTAAACTATCACTAAATTCTCTTTCAAAAATTCTATCCAATTAATTATTTAATTTACAATTTTATTATTGATAATTAACTTTTAAAATAAATTTCTTGTTAAAGATACAAACATTAACATTGTCTAAAAATTTAAATTTCTCTCTTTTCAACAACTAATATCAATTAATCCATTGTTTATTATTTAAATGGATTGCTCTGTATAATTATTCATATAAAGACATCCTAAAGACGATAGATTAGTTTTAATAGTTTATTCCTATCCTTTTATTATATCAGTAGCCATTAGATAATCAATACAACCATAGTTAAAGATATATTTCAAGGTGTTTTTCATGTCTTTCAAAATCCAAAATCCTCACATTTTTTGACTATTATATAACATTTTTACCTTTAACCCTTAATGACGACTTCTAAAGTTTGACTTTTACAAAATTCATTAACACTATAGAAATTATGAGAAAACTTAAGCATTTCTATAAATTTTTCAATATATGGATTATTAATCTTCGCCAAAGTTTGGATTTCATTCATTGTGAATTCCTCAGATATTACATCTTCTTTAAAATTTTCTATATAGAAGAGTTTCAATCAAACAAAACTATTATATATGATGATCACCACTATATTGCAAAATCTAAAGATTTTAAGAAGGGAATCATTCACAACAACTTTTAAACTCATAATTTTTATATATTTAATATCAATTCTATCAAACAACCTGAACTTCTAATTAAAATTGATCCAACAAATAAACTTATGATTGACCATCCTAAAATATCTCTAGTTTTCTCTTCTAAGTAAGTTATACTTATATAATCTAGCAATATTATTGCTGTTATCAACATTAAACAGAGTGTCATAAAAATCTCACTCCATAACATTAACAAATTTATTATTCTTATTTTGAATGGGAATTTTGTAGCTAGCAAAGTAACAGTTATTATTTATGTTATAACTAAAATGGTTATACATATATTTTGTTAATTGTTTAATAAAATTATACAACTTGTAAACACTAATTTCTTTGTTTCTTAAAATAGATTAAAGTTTCTTTTAAAAAAAGCTTTTGTTTATAATCCATTTAATTAACCTAATACTTAAGAATAATTCAATAAAAAACTATCATTAATATAAATCTTACAAATATTCAAAAAAATAAAATGTTAAGATTGCATAACTAAATGAGACAAATGTTGTATTTACGATTTCTATTGTATTTTATGTTTCAAGATATTCAATCTCTATAAAACCATATAATAAAAACGGTAATGCACATATTGAAGTTGTTCTGAGCAATAGTTAAGGAACATGTAATTTTGGTTTAATGAAATTAATAATTAAAATTAGTATAATAGATGAAACANCAAACATTAACATTGTCTAAAAATTTAAATTTCTCTCTTTTCAACAACTAATATCAATTAATCCATTGTTTATTATTTAAATGGATTGCTCTGTATAATTATTCATATAAAGACATCCTAAAGACGATAGATTAGTTTTAATAGTTTATTCCTATCCTTTTATTATATCAGTAGCCATTAGATAATCAATACAACCATAGTTAAAGATATATTTCAAGGTGTTTTTCATGTCTTTCAAAATCCAAAATCCTCACATTTTTTGACTATTATATAACATTTTTACCTTTAACCCTTAATGACGACTTCTAAAGTTTGACTTTTACAAAATTCATTAACACTATAGAAATTATGAGAAAACTTAAGCATTTCTATAAATTTTTCAATATATGGATTATTAATCTTCGCCAAAGTTTGGATTTCATTCATTGTGAATTCCTCAGATATTACATCTTCTTTAAAATTTTCTATATAGAAGAGTTTCAATCAAACAAAACTATTATATATGATGATCACCACTATATTGCAAAATCTAAAGATTTTAAGAAGGGAATCATTCACAACAACTTTTAAACTCATAATTTTTATATATTTAATATCAATTCTATCAAACAACCTGAACTTCTAATTAAAATTGATCCAACAAATAAACTTATGATTGACCATCCTAAAATATCTCTAGTTTTCTCTTCTAAGTAAGTTATACTTATATAATCTAGCAATATTATTGCTGTTATCAACATTAAACAGAGTGTCATAAAAATCTCACTCCATAACATTAACAAATTTATTATTCTTATTTTGAATGGGAATTTTGTAGCTAGCAAAGTAACAGTTATTATTTATGTTATAACTAAAATGGTTATACATATATTTTGTTAATTGTTTAATAAAATTATACAACTTGTAAACACTAATTTCTTTGTTTCTTAAAATAGATTAAAGTTTCTTTTAAAAAAAGCTTTTGTTTATAATCCATTTAATTAACCTAATACTTAAGAATAATTCAATAAAAAACTATCATTAATATAAATCTTACAAATATTCAAAAAAATAAAATGTTAAGATTGCATAACTAAATGAGACAAATGTTGTATTTACGATTTCTATTGTATTTTATGTTTCAAGATATTCAATCTCTATAAAACCATATAATAAAAACGGTAATGCACATATTGAAGTTGTTCTGAGCAATAGTTAAGGAACATGTAATTTTGGTTTAATGAAATTAATAATTAAAATTAGTATAATAGATGAAACATAAAATATCCACAAGATGAATGTCTAATTTATATAATTGAAACCAGTCATATAGTTATTAAATATTGTGATCATCTCAAAATTAAAATTAAAATAGCGCAAATATTATGTTACATCCTTCATTTATATGGTTAATTATGTGTTAAAATAGTAGAATAAACCGCAGATCTACAAATTTTCTAATAACTACCAGAACATAAAAATGTTATATGAAATATTTAAGTGCTCATTTTTTAATTTATAGATTATATTAGCGAGTAATGATAAGAATGATAGAAAAAATAAGCTATAAATAGAGATTGCTAGTCCATATATTGTATTTTATTAAAAATCACTATAAAAGACATATGGACCTAACAAAATATTTATAGTTTATTAATTTTTATTCAAATACTCTTTAGAATTCAAATCAATTATCTAATAAGGTGCTAAAAATCTAATTATGCAATTTGCATAATAGAATTAGTTTGCAAAATTTAGATTAATGTAATATGTTTTATTATCCTGTGAATAAATATTGTAAGTATAATTATTTTGTTAAGGAAAGTATATTGCTGTAATTTATTCCATTTAGTTAGAAGTAACATTTATATATTTTGAAAATGTCAATATAATCTATGACTAATTTTAACTCACTTCATATTCCAATTTTAAAGTATTAGATTGTGCTAAAATTATAATTCGAAACAGAATGTAAATTCTTAAATAATGAAGCATTTTAAAAATTAAATAATAAACCACTTAATAGTATACATCATGACGATTTTCAATCGTATTTAAATCAATTATTAATTTCATAAGAACTATCCTACCATTTACTCAACATTATCGATCGACTCAATTCTTCTCTATTTTTCAAACCAAAATACCAATAAATTAAAATTCCAATTACAAATATTACAAATAAGACCATAAAAATACCTACTGTGATTTTAAAATTGCTATCAATTCCTATGAAACCTAAATTATATAATTTCTCATAAAATACATAGGGCCCACAATAATATAATTAAAAGATATGTGACACAAATAATGCCAATTAATCCAATCCACTCTTAACAACTAGCTTTTGTATTTTGTTTTTTTTTAAAATTTTATCCCTCTAAACTAGCTGCATATCTCTTCGGTTTACAATCTTCTTATATATTTTCATTGTCCTCTAAAATCGTTCTTTGATACATAATAAATATAGATAAATATTTTAATATATTATCATTTTTTAATATTATGATTATTCTATAGTTAAATTTGCTGCATTTTTGTAGTTGTTTTTTATAATTGGATTTAGCTTTCTTATAGATTTTAATTAAATTTGTCTACTTCATCATCTGAATCGTACATCAACATCAAACATCCACCACTAACTATAAATAAATATGTTACATTTCTTCATTATTATAATTAAAAACTGTTTATTTTTATTAAGACATTAATTATAATTATTAATGAGAAATTTAAATAAATTCATAAATATTTAAAAAGAGAAATTATACTTATAATCTAATAAAAAGATATTACTATTTTAATGTTATTGTTTTTTGAAATTCTTAACAATAATGAATGATAAATTAATGTTTATTTGAAATATAATTTTCCATATAATATAAATATTAATTAAAATAGGAATGAGTCAAAAAAGAATGACTATTGCTCCAATAGTTAAAGCTTAATTACCTAAGATTAATTTCTCATAGGCTAAAAGAGAACAACTTTTAGTAGATGAACTATTACTAACTCAATAACATTTTCATGATTCCCGGTATGCAATCATTTAAATTTAGTGAGCTTGTCAATAATATTATTAATGAAAAAAACATGGATGCAGTAAATTAATCTTTTTAAGATTAATAAGTGAGTTATTAAGCAATAAAATAGAAGCTTGAACCAACTAGAGAAATTTTTTAATAAAAGTAACTTTTTTAGAAATTAAATAAAGAATTATTACTAAACCATTTACTAGATAGGCAAGATCAAATTCAAGGAATAGAGGTTAGCATTCTATGATTATTACTATAAGAGAGGATTCAAATTTTTAATGGATGAATGATTTATACAAAAAAAATATTAAAACTAATTTACCGAAACCAGCTAGAAACCCTGTAAAAATATAAGAGAATTTTAGTCGTTTGTCAAATAGGAAAAATATGTCATTTCAAGAAAAAGTAAATGATGAAGAAATGAATTTTGAATTTCAAGGTCTAAATACCAATAAAACTTTAAAAAATTATTTAACTTGGGATGATCCCTAAACTCCAGAAGAGATTATACAATAATTTAAGAACGATAAATCTTATCATGCTAAATGTCCATTTTACGAAGGAAATGGATACCTTTGGACAGAAGTCTAAATTTTAGATTTTGATTAAATACAATAAAAGTATATTGTTAAGATCATGAAAAATGATTAAGTAAAAACTATAAGTAGATTATCTTTAATGTTAAAAACTGAAAATGAGACTGAATTTAATTAAAGACTTTAATAATGTAGAATTTTATAAAAATAAGCTGAAGAAGAATTAAGATTTTTTAAATATGTCAATACTATACCTGATTAATTAGTGACTGCTATGCCTATTTAGACAAAAATAAATATTAAGAAGAAGTTAAAATTGAATAAATAATAGCATGTAGATTTTGAATAAATTGAGTTTGAATATAAATTATTTATGAAGAAATTCCTTACACTTTAAAGAATGAATTAAAGCGAATACATTAAAGATTTTATATAAAATAGAATAAAAATGAGAAATGTGAATGATATTTTATAAAAGTATCCTAAGCTAAAGAATTTAAAAAAAGATTTTCAATAAGTGAAATAATAAATTTCTTTGTCTCCTATTTTAAATAACAAATAGATTCTTTAAACTTTTGTAAAAATTCAAACTATAAAAGTGTAATCTTTTGAATTATTACCTACAAGTTATGCGTATGGATAATTACCATTTATTTTATCCAATTTAGAAACATATAATTAATAAATGCATAATGTATTAAAATTAACAATGTTTAACAATTGGAGAAACTAAGTTATTCAAGATGTTTAAGATAGTTTAAGAACATAGTTTAATTTTTATTAAACTGATGATATAGGATATTAAAAATCCTAGTTATGTTTATTATTAAAAAGGATAGATTAATAATTCAGTTATCAAAATATGATAAATTTGGTTGAAATGAATATATAGAAATGGGTTAATCATATAAAATCTTTTACAGAAGAATCTGAACAATTAAGTAAAGAATCCTTTATATAAATAAATATTGCTATACAATAATTAATTCGTAAGAAAACAGTGTTACATAAATAATCAACATTTGGAGAAGAGAGATACTTAATTTTTGAACCAACTAGATAATAGATTATAGCTGCATTAGTAAATCCAATTTAATTAATAAAAGAAACTATTTAATAGGTTAATAAGGTAGAAAATGATATAATGCCTTTATTAGATTTAAGATAAACATAATCTGTAGATATGGAGTTAATATATCATCAGTTCGATTCGGCAATAGAATAAATTGTATCGTTTATTGATATCTCTTTTAAAAAACCAAATTTAATTTTAGATTAATTTAACGAATTCTCTTATTTATATACAAAGAGTCAAAGTCATTTAATGAAACGATTATTTGGTGATTCAAAAGAAAAACCATCAATAACATATATTGAACTTGATAAAATAAAGGAAAAATTGAATTATTATTTATAAACAATTTTTTAAATAGAACGAATTTGTATAGATGAAAAGAATTTTTCATTTTTTTAAGTGAAAACAAAATAAGCAAAATAAACATTAATTTAAAAGTCTCAAGAAATTATTAGTGGAATTTTAAATAGATTAAGTGAAGTGTTAATTGATAATATATAAAGAATAGGTAAATTATATTAAGATATGTGTGAAAAGATATTGGAAGAACCAAAAGAAGAACATGAAATGGTTTAATTAAAGAATTTTATAGCAGAAACAGAAGTAAATTTAGCAAAATTAGCAAATGAAGTAAATATGTTATTTTAAACATTGGATCTATTACATTAATATTAATATTAATTTGATAGTAAAGAAATTGAAAATTTATGGTTATTAAAATAGTGGCCTTCAGAAATAAAAATAGCCTTAGTTGAAGGCCAAAGAAATGTAAATTTAAAAGAGACAAAATTTACAGAGAAATTAGATTAAGAAAAGGAATAATTCATAAGAGAATTATTAATTTTGGAGAAATAAGTTGATGAAATTAAATTTTATGAAGATTATTCTTAAGTAAAGATTTATGCATAGAATGTAATGGGATTAAAAGAAAAAATAAATAATTATTAAGATAAGGTGAGATCATTTAATGATAGAGAGAATTTATTCAAATAACCTTTAAGTGATTATGATGATTTGATTAAAATTAAATAAGATTTTGATCCATTTTATAAAATTTGGGATTTAGCAATAGAATTTGACATTGATAAGTAAGAATGGTATTAGGGCTTATTCATAAAGTTATAATACAGTTAGATTGAAAGAAAAGTGATTTAGTATTATTAGAAAGAAACATTGTTGCTGATAAAGTTTTTTTAGGATTAATCTAATGATAAGGCTTTGAGATTATTAAGTGACTTAAAGAAGGATTTAGATAAATTTAAAGAAGTGATGTGGTTGATAGAATTTTTGAATTGTGAAGCTATATAAAAGAAACCTAAAACATGGGATGAGATATATGCTACATGTGGTTTTGTTGGAGATGACATTACACTTACTTAATTATTAGAACATAATTTATTATAATTTAAAATTTAGATAGAAGATATATCTAAAAGAGCTACTTATTCATATGATATTGAGAAAAGACTTAATTCAGTTGTCGATAAATGTAAAGAAATTAAAATAGAATTCATTAGTAATTCTAATATAATGAAAATTGATGAAACATAAATATTATTAGATGAATAATTGAATCTTGTTTTATTATTGAAATAGAGTCCTTATGTTGTAATGGATAAGGCACAAGGTTTAGAGAGAAAGATTATTCTTATATAAGATACATTAGAAAATTGGAGATCTACTTAGAGAGGATATATTTATTTATAACCAATCTTTTAATCTGAAGATATAAGAAAAAAATTACCATAAGAAAAAAATAAATTTGATTATATAGATAGATTTTGGAAGTAAATAATTGATAACTTTTTGAAGGATCCTTTGGTATGGGAAAATATTGAAAACGAAAGATATAAATAAGAAAGCAAACATTGTAATGATTTATTAGATTATATTCTAAAAGGATTAAATGATTATTTAGAATAAAAAAGAAAGGTTTTTCCAAGATTCTTTTTTTTATCTGATGATGGACTATTAGAAATATTAGCATAAACAAAAGCACCTTTACTTATTAATAAACATATTTAAAAATGTTATGAAGGTATAAATGAATTACAGTTTGATGAGAATAATGAAAATATTCTAAAAATCATTTCTCCAGAAAAAGAAGTAATTAGTCTTTATAAATCATGTAATGTTATAGAAAATGAAAAACTTGGTAATGTTGAAAAATGGTTGTAAGAAACAGATTAGATTATTATTGAAACAATGAAAATAACAATGAAAGAATGTTCATAAGATAATGATAAAAATTGGTATATGAAATGGCCATCATAATGTATTTAAACAATTACACAAGTTAAATGGACTTAATCAATTGAGTAAGCTTTAATTTCTTAAATTTCTTTAGAAAACATATTATATCAAATAAAATAATAAATAAAAATATTAGTAAAATTTTTAGAGTAGAAAAATTTAAATATTTATTAAAGAATTTAAATAAGTTAAATAATTATACTTTTAGTACATAATCGAAGCTAAACAGAAAGATTATGCAAAATTGAATATTTAAAAGAGTCTGATTTTAATTGGTTAATTAATTTGAGATTCTATGATGAAAAGATTTTAAGAGTTTCGTTATTGTCTTGCAATATTTAATATGGTTTTGAATATTATGGTTTAACATAAAGATTAGTGATTACTCCATTAACTGACAGATGTTATAGAACTTTGATTATGGCATTTTAAAATCATTATGGTGGTGCTCCTGAAGGACCAGCAGGAACTGGTAAAACAGAGACTGTTAAAGATTTAGCTAAATGTTTAGGAATTTAGTGTATAGTTTTTAATTGTTCAGAAGGCTTAAATGTTATATCAATGAGTAAATTCTTTAAAGGTTTAATTTGTTGTGGAGCATGGTGTTGTTTTGATGAATTTAATAGAATTGATTTAGAAGTCTTATCAGTTGTTGCTTAATAGATTATTATTATTTAATAAGGTATCAAAGAAAAAAAAAAATTATTATTTTTTGAAACTGATGAATATACTTTAAATAAATCATGCTAAATAAATATAACTATGAATCCAGGATATATTGGTAGATATGAATTACCAGACAATCTTAAAATATTGTTCAGGCCTTGTGCAATGATCTAACCAGATTATTAATTGATTACTGAAATCTTTTTATATTCTATTGGATTCCAATAGGCTAATTTCTTATCAAATAAAATAATCGTTGCATTACAATTATTCTAAGAATAATTATCTACCTAAGATCATTATGATTTTGGAATGAGATCATTAAAAACTGTTTTATAGACTATTTCTTAATTTGACAATGAAGATGAAGAGGCTAAATGTATTAAAGCTTTAATCAATGTGAATTTAGGAAAATTAATAAAATAAGATGTTTAACTATTTTTTTCTATTATATAAGATTTGTTTCCAAATAGTAATATTGAATAAAATTATGATAATCAAAGTTTGAAAGATATTTGTTAAATTTTAAAACTTTAATCAAATGAAGTTTTCATTTAGAAATGCGTTTAAATGGATTAATTAATGGAAGTAAGCCATGGAATAATGATTATTGGAGAAACTATGAGTGGAAAATCTTAATTAATAGATGTTTTAGCTCATAAACATAATTATTAAATAAATAAGATTAATCCTAAAACATTATAAATTGACTAATTATTTGGGAAATTAGATAGAAATACAAAATAATTTTATGATGGAGTAATCCCAATAATATTTAGATAATAAATTAATCAATTTATTGTGTTTGATGGACCTGTTGATACATAGTGGATTGAGAATTTGAATACAGTTTTGGATGATAATAAAAAATTATGTTTAAGTTCTGGAGAAATAATTAGACTTTATGATAAAACATAAATTATTTTTGAAACTTCAGACTTATAATAAGCATCTCCTGCAACTGTTAGTAGATGTGGAATGCTGTTTATGGAATAATTAGATTGGAAAATTATTTTAGATAATCAATATTTTAATGAAACTATGTAAAAGAAAGCTTTATGGCTATTTGATTGTACATTAGGTTTTATTTAAGGTAAATTTTATATTCCATGCACAGAATCTTAATTAGTCTAATAAACTTTGAAAATGATGAGAACATTTAATTATAGGAATGATGATTAATAATTAAACGTTTTATTATTTTGCATTTTATGGGTAATTGGTGGAATATGTGATGAAATTTAAAGAAAAATTATGAATTAAATGATTATGAAATTAATCACTGCATCAAATGATGTGATTCAATAATTCTCAATAAAAAATAAGTATTAATATGAACCATAAGCATTACATTTAAGATTCATGGAACCTGTAAATAAACCTAATTTATATGATTTTTATTTTGATATCAATAAAAATTGTTGGCTATTTTGGAGTGTTGATTCTTAATAATCATAAATTAATCAATAAAAATCATTTGATAATCTTTATATAAAATGTATAGATACTATAAAGACTTAATTTTGGATAACTTAAAGTTTTTAATAAAAAATAAATTTAATTTTAATAGGTCAAACAGGTTCTGGAAAAACAATCTTAATTTAATAAACTAGATAATAATTTTAAAATTATGCCTAGTTGCAATTGATGTTTAGTGGATAGACTTAATTAAATTATATATAATATTTAATAGAAAGCAAAGTTAATTAAAGAAGATGTAAAGGACATTATGGTCCTGAAGAAAATAAACCACTTTGTTTAGTTTTTATAGATGATTTATCACTGAATGAATAACCAAATGAATTAATTAGATAACATATTGATACGAAAGGATGGTATGATATAGAAACTAAAGAATTTAAGCATTTAGAAGATACAATTTATGTATGTGCAACATAAAAATAAGTTAATCCAAGATTTATGCGACATTTCTTACTGTTATATGTTCCTTAGTATTCCCCTGAATCATTGCTAAAGATATTTAATACTTTAAATTAATGGATTTTAAATTAATGGGGATAGAAATAATTAGTTAATAATGCAATATTTAAAATGAGTAACCTTATTGTTAATAATACAATACAATTATTTAATTTTATAAAATAAGAATATTTACCAACACCTTCAAAATGTCATTATATTTTTAATTTGAAAGATGTTTGGAAAGTCTTTAAAGCAATGCATTTAGGAGATATTAGATTAATTCAGAAAGATCGAGATTTAGTAAATCTATGGTAGAATGAGTGTCAAAGAATATTTTCAGACAGAATGATTGATTCTGAAAAATTCAATGAAAAATTATTAGACTTAATTTTATAAAATATGAAAAAGAATTATGAATTCAAGTAATTTTATTACACTAATATTATTCCCATTAGTATTGAAAACCAATATTATTCTAAACTCTATTATAGCGTAGATAAAGAAGTCATAAAAGAATTTCTTAGCTAGAAATTAAATGAATATTAAAAAATCATATAAAATGTCAGCATTGTTTTATTTGAATATGCTATAAATCATATAATAAGAATTATTAGAGGTTTGGGATTTGGAAATATGCTCTTAATAGGATTAACAGGTAGTGGAAGATAATCGCTTTCCAATTTGAGTTCTTACATTATGCATGATAAAGAAATGAATAAGTATACTAATGATAAAGATGAACTTCAATAGATCTTAAGATAAGCAGGATTGGAATTAAAATATACTATAATATATGCTAATTGCAATCAAATAAAGGATATAAATTTAGAATAAATCTGTAATCTGATCAATTTCGGTGAAATGTAAAATTTATATACTAGCGAAGACAAAAATAAATTAATTGAAGATTTAAATGAGTTTCATGTAAATTATTCATAATTTGTTAAATAAACTCATTAAAATTTACACTTTATTCTTAGTATCAATCCAAATGGTGAATAGTTTAGAAATCGTCTTCGATAATTTCCTACATTGATAAACAATACAACCCTTGATTGGTTTACTGAATGGCCTTAAGAAGCCTTAATAGAAACATAATCATAATTTGATGTCGATGTCTTAAATATATTTAGTGTAATAAAGAAAGAAAGTCAATAATATTGTAGATAATTTAAAAATCAACAACCTTACCTTCAAATTTATTAACCATCTTTCTTAGAATACTTAAAATAATATAAAATCTTATATTCTTAAAAATAGAATGAAACTGATAAATTTATATAAAGATATACACATGGAGTGGACAAAATATTATAAACTGAATCTGATGTAACATTGATGAAAGCAACTTTATAAGAGTTACATCCAAAATTACATAAACTAACTCTAGAAAATTCTCATTTGCTTATAAATTTATAAAAAAAGCAAAAAGAAGCAGATATTAAGAAACAGCAATGTGAATAAGAAGAATATGAATGTACTTAAGAGAAATTAAAAGCAGATAAATTAAGGAAAGAGTGCTAAGAAGAATTAGATAAAGTTTTGCCAATACTAGCAGCAGCAACATCTGCTTTAGAGAAAATAACTAATGAAGATATGATTTAATTAAAATCATTTTAAAAGCCTCCATTAGCTGTTTCAATTGTTATGGAAGGAATGTGCTATATATTTGATGAATAAGTTAAATTGAAACAAAAAGAACCAGGCTCTCAAGAAAAAGTTTAAGATTTTTGGGAACATGCTAAAAAGAATTTGCTTAATGATAAATTGATTAAGAGAGTTAGAGATTTTAAAGAAGAATAAATTAAATCTATTACACCTATTAGAATTTAAAAAATTAAAGGACTTTAATTAGATGATAAAGTATTTAATGCCTCAAAAGCTGCAGGAAATCTAAGTTTATGGATTAGAGCTGTTGTTGATACTTTTGAAGCCTACTTAATTGTTGATCCAAAATAAATTCTATTAAAAAATGCAGTTTAATAATTACAAGTTACTGAATAAGCATTAAAAGAAAAAAACGATGCTTTAAAAGAAATCTTAAGATTTTTAAATGCTCTTTAAAATGATTACAATTAAGCTAAATTAGAAAAAGATTAACTCTAAGAGGATGTTAATAGATGTTAAATATAACTTGAAAGAGCAGAAAAACTAATAAGTGGATTGATTTAAGAAAAAGAGAGTTGGAGACAAAAAGCTAATTAATATCAATAAAATAAACAATTTTTATAAGGTGATTGCATGTTATCTAGCGCAATTATTACATTTTTTGGACCATTTCCTCTTGGATTCAGAGATTCTATTTTGGAATAATTTAAGGTTTAATTATAAAATATACCATTTAGTTAGAATTTTTAATTATAAAATACACTCTCCAATCAGATAATAGTTGGATAATGGATCAATCAAATGAAATTACCTAATGATTAACTATCAATTGATAATGCTATAATTATTTAAAATTCTACTAAATGGATTTTACTTATCGATCCTTAAAATCAAGGATCTTAATGGTTATAAATATGGAATGAAAAATTAAATTCCTAGTTCAATTTAGAAAATTGTATGTAGATTGGTCATCCAGTTTTATTGTAAGAGCCAGAAGAAAGTCAGATACCATTTCCTTATGGAACATTTGCTAAATTAAACGATAAAAAGATTGACTTACATTCAGATTTTAGACTTTTTATATAAAGCAAGAATCCATAATACAGCCCAGAAATTTGTATTCACTTGAAATTTATTAATTTTGAAGTAACATAAGAAGGATTAGAGGATTTCCTATTAAATTATATAATAGGAGTAGAAGAACCTCTAAAAGAAGAAATCAGGCAAAAGAATATCAGAGATTATTATGAAAACAAACAAAAATAATAACAAACAGAGGATTCAATCTTAAAATTATTGCATGGAACACATGGCAATATTTTAGAAGATGAAACCTTGATTTTAACTTTGTAGAAATCCAAAAATGAGTAAATTGAAATTGAGGATAAATTAAAAAAAGCAGAAAATGATAAAGAAATTTTCTAAAAGATTTCTAATTTATACAAAACTATTACAAAAAAAATATCCATAATTTATCTTGTTATTAGAGATTTATAGAAATTAGAATTTGTTTATATTTGGTCCTTGGAAAAATACATACAACTTTTTGATTAATCAATTAAAGCATTTAAATCTATTTCTTAAAGTCAATAAGTTGAAAAGAATAAATTTATTTTCTAACAATTCACAAAGTTACTTTACTCATCAATTTGCTAATCACTTTTAGAAAAGGATAAGCTAACATTTACAACTATGCTTTTCTTTAAAATATTATTAATAGAAAATATTATCACTCAATAAGAAATCAACTTTTTACTAAATTTACATTCTAATTATACTTTAATTCAAAGTTAGATTTAATGTCCAGAGTATTTTACTTAATCATAGTGGAATTAATTAAATGATTATGCATTTTAATTCAAAAATGATCAAATAATTCGAAAATTAAAAGATCACTATTTTGAATTTATGAATAATAATTATGAGTTAGAACTTAAACCATTTCATTTACTTATAATAACAAAGATAGTTAAACCATATTAATTTATATTTTAACTTTAATAGACAATTGAGTATTATCTCGATAAAAATTTTACAATTATCCCCTAATTTAACATAGAACCCTTAAAGATTTAATCAAATACACCTATATTATTTATTTTATCTTCTGGATCAGATCCACTTAATTTTGTTAGAAGAGAAGCAGTAATTGAGAAAATTAAATTATAAACATTATCATTGGGGTAAGGATAAAATTAAATAGCAGAAATGAGCATCAAAAAAGCAATTGAAGAAAATTCTTGGATAATAATATAAAATTTACATTTAGCAAAAAGTTTTATGAAATTAATTGAATAAATATATGAAAATGAATTGTAAAAGGTTTAAAATGATTCAAAGTTCAGATTATTTTTAACAACAAATCCAATAGATTAATTTTCAATTTAATTATTGTAAAAATCTGAAAAATTTACATTTTAATACCCTTAGGGATTTAAGAATAATTTGTTAAGAATATATTCATCTATTTAAGAAAAGCATTTCAATGATAAATCATTATAATATAAAAGTTAGCTATTTGGTTTGGCTTAGTTTCATTCAATAGTATTGGGAAGAAAAAAGTTTGGAAACATAGGATGGAATTAAAGTTATGATTTTTCTTAAGCAGATTTAGAGATATCATAAAAGTAACTTTTAGATTATGATATGGAAGGTTTGAAATATTTAATTAGTGAACTAAATTATGGAGGAAGAGTTATAGATAATAATGATAGATTATTATTAAAGATATTATTAGATAAATATTTAGTAATTGAAGATTCAGAATATCCAATGATGTTGAATGATTATTTAGATTAGATAAATGATATTCCTTATTTAGATGATAATCAATTATTTGGTTTACATTTAAATGCTGAAATCAATTATAAAATTAGTGAAGTAAATGATTTAAATGAAAAGTTAAATAATATAAACAATGTTTTAAACATAAATGATTAAGGGGAGTAACTTAAAACACTGATATCATCAATATCTTTAAGTTTTTTATAATATGATAATTTAGAACATCAATATGCTACTCCTTTAAATACAATTCTTATATAGGAATGCTGTAGATTTAATAAATTGATTATTTAAATAACAAATGATTTAGAATTTATTTTAAAATCATTGGATGGATTAGAGGTTATGAATTAAGAAATGGAACAAATATGTTATGAATTACTATAAGGAGTAATTCCATCTATATGGTTATAAAAATCATATTTGACAACAAATAATCTGATAAATTATATCGAAAATTTATAGGAAAGAATTAAATATTTTTAGAAATGGATAGAAAATGGAATTCCAGAATTAATAAACATATCTTATTTTTTCTATCCTCAAACATTTTTGACAGGTGTGAAATAAGATTTTGCAAGAAAGAACTCAGTTCCGGTTGATACATTAAACTTTGAATTCAAAATTAGTAATCATAATTTTGAAGGTTATTTGATTGAAGGATTACTTTTTGATTAATGTTAATGGGATGAAGAGTAATAAACAATTGTTGAACCTAAAATTAATGTATTATATTCATAAGTTCCTATTATTTCAATCAATCTAACGACTTAGTTTTAAAATTTTGAAGATCATTTACAAATTCCTGTGTATAATACAAACAAAAGAAATAAAAAGATTATGGACATCTCCATAAAAACTAATGAACCACCAGAATTTTGGATTATTAGGGGTGTTGCTGTAATTTGTTAAAACTGAATATTAATACAATATTATTTATAAAATATAAATTTCTAATCAAATGGAATCATGAATTATTCTTCACCTATTTTATGCATAAAGATTTAAATGATCAAACTGAAAGAAATGTTCTAATAACTCACAAATATATAATAAAATCAGAAGAATTAATATATTTATTAATCAGTTTCTGCTAATGTAATGCAAAGATTAAGGTGAACTTTATACTTAAACTTTATGAATACTTTTACAAATATTCTGAAAATAATAAGTAGATTACTAAATTATATCAATAATTATCTTTGAAAAACTATAAAATTATTCTAGTTTAAAAAAATTAAAATTCATTTTTTTTAAAATTACAAATTGGTTCCCATTTGCAAAAGGAAAAATTTTTTGTTTATTTTATTAACAAACTATTGAAGAGCAATAATTGTTAGTTTTGTGTCTTCTAATTGAAGTATTAGAAATAATAGAATTGGATTATAAATAGTAACCTAATTTTTTTAAGATAATGAAAAAGTTTAGTCTAAATTTTAGGATCATTAAAATAAAATTAATTTCAATTCAAGAGTTTTATTAAGAACTTCTTGTTCAATAATCATTTTATAATATAAATTAATGGCGTTTATTTTGATTATATAGTTTTAAAAAAATAAACAAAATTAAACAATCTTGAAAAAGGTTGGATATCAAAAAATTAAAGTAATCAAATCATAGAAGAAGTAAGAACTTTAATCTTGAATTAAATGTAGGGATAACTTTTAGAATTTAAACAATTTGTTTATTAAGAAAACTTTTTCCTTATTTTTATTTTAAGAATTAGGATAAAAAATAAAATAAATTTTGAAATGATATTAGTTTATATAATGAATATAAGTAATCAAAATAATCTTTTTTAATATTCTTCTTTAATTTTTTTTGCATTTCTTAGACTTCCTAATAATTGAGTAACAATATCTTCTTTCTTTTTATGAGATTATGAGTTATTCGAAGTTTTAATACTGAGAGATGATTTTGTATTGATGGCTGATTTAGGTGGAGATTAGAGTTGAACTCTATTCAAAATTTATGAATTTTTTTTGAGTAGGTTATGTGCATTATCTCTAGATTAATAATATAAAAAGCATACATTAATTGTATTATTTGTTTTCCATCCTTAGTATTAGAAGTGCAAGTGTTTTCTATAATATATTAGCTTTCAGCAAGTTAGATAGTAGATTGTTTTTTATTGATCTAATCTTTTTCATCTTTTTTGATAGATTACTAAGATTTAGTATTTCGTATTTTATGTTTTTAAGGAGTAATTAATTCACAAATATCTAATTATTAATTTTCATGATTAAATTTGCAAGATGATCTTTACTCTGTTTGATATTCAGAAATAAATGGTTATTTATAATCATTTTTTAAGGTTTCTTATCGAGAATTACTTTGTTCACTAGATTTAAAATGTTCAGTTTGACTAAATTTGGTTGCAGATTATGATTCGTATTTATATTGAACAGATTTATTGATTGATTTATTGATTGATTTATTTAATGATTTTTATCTGACTTTTTCAATGATTCGATTCGCAATAGTTTCTGCTTCTTTGTCAACATCTGTTGATATATTTTCTTTCATGAAAATATTACCAGAGATTTTATAATCTTTATTATCTAGTTTTAAGTCTAATTACAAACGGCCATTAATTTACATAATTTTATTATTTAATTTATTATAATGAATACAGAAGAAAAATAAATACGTGTATATGCAGATGGAGTATATGATATGTTTCACTATGGACATGCACGTTAATTAGAGTAATGCAAAAAATTATTTCCAAATACTTATTTGATAGTAGGAGTATGTTCATAGGAAGATGTAGAGAAATTTAAAGGAAAATCTGTAATGGATGGTTACTAAAGAACTGAGAGTGTAAAACATTGTAAATGGTAATAATCAATAACTATTTTTAAGGGCTGATGAGGTAGTATATCCTGCACCATGGATAATTGATGAGAAATTCTTAAATGATCATCGTATTGATTATGTAGCACATGATGACATTCCATATTAAACTGCTGATGTAGATGATGCTTATGCTTTATGTAAGAAACTTGGAAAATTCAAAGTAATATTAAGATACATTGATTAATAGGCAACAAAAAGAACAGAAGGAATATCTACAACTGATATCATAGGAAAGATATTAAAGGATAGACATAAATATTTAAAAAGAAACATTGAAAGAGGAATGAGTCGATAAGAATTAGGAATGGGATTATGGGAATATTATTAATTAAAATATGATTGGTTATTTTGTTAAAAAAGAAAAAGAAAGCAAGATTGATTATATTTGGTATAATGTATGTAATATATCAATGTTTTGTTTATTATTACTTTCTCATGGCTCTATAAAGATTTTAAACAAGTTCAATCTTTCTTTTTCCTCTTCTATTTGTACCCAATCTCTT